CTTCTCACCTGTAAGGACGTGCCCTGGCAATGGAAGGAAGAGCAAGACCAAGCCTTCAGTGCACTTAAAATGGTGTTTACCTCAGCCCCGATCTTACAACTCCCCAACGACATTGCACTATACCATCTAGAGACAGCCTCCTCAGACTACACAACTGGTGCAGTACTCGAACAACTGGGAGAAGACAAGCTATGGCATCCAGTCGCATATTACTCTAAATCACTCAATGAACACGAGCGAAACTATGAGATTTATGACAAGGAAATGCTTGCAATTATTCGGGCACTAGAAGAATACTGGTACTATTTAGAAGGACACCCAGAACCCATTGAGATTTGGTCAGACCATCTCAACCTTACATACTTCTGTCAGGCACAGAAATTATCCCAGCGCCAAGCACGCTGGTCATTATTCCTCACATGCTTTAATTTTGTACTCAGTCACTGACCTGGAAAGACAATGCTTCGTGCCGATCCTCTGTCCAGGAGGCCAGACCATGAGAGGGGGGTGGACAGCGACAATTCGAATCAAATGCTGTTAAAACCTGAATTTTTTGCTATCAATGCGATTCGACCCGCTCACGCATCTGAAGTTGATGATGCTCAACTACTGGAAAGGATCAAGAAGGCACTCACAGATGACACGATGACCAAGGATTATCGTGCACTTTTGACTACAGGACAGCGCGAATTTGGGAAAAACCTCGCAGAATGATACTTTGAGCACGGACTGCTTCTCCATCACGTAAAGGTTTATGTCCCCAAGGATCAACAGCTATGCCTTGACCTAATAAAACTCCATCATGACACCTTACCTGCCAGACACCCCAGCAGGTTCAAGACGTTGGAGCTTATTACTCAGAATTATTGGTGGCCAGGAATGTCTGTAATGGTTAAACAATACATACAAGGTTGCGACAGTTGTCAACGCAACAAGTACTCAAGGGAAAAACCATACGGACTATTACAACCCAATGAGGTACCAGGAGGACTATGGGAAATCATTACAGTCGATCTCATCACTCAACTTCCTCCAGCCATGGACTTTAGGGGAGAAAAGAAGACGGCAATACTTGTCGTCGTAGACAGACTCACGAAGCGAGCGCACTTTTATGCAACGGATGATACAGTCACATCTTCGCAAGTCACTAACATATTCTATAACAAAGTCTTCAAACTCCACAGACTGCCACGCCAGATTATCTCAGACAGAGGTACTCAATTTGCGAGCAAACTATTCCAGGAGTTCTGCCAGAAGCTCGGTATAAAGTCAACAATGTCTACAGCATACCATCCCCAGACAGACGGTCAGACGGAAAGGGTTAACCAGGTGTTGGAACAGTACCTCTGCATGTACTGTAATCACAGGCAAAATGATTGGGTCTATTACCTGCCAACGGCAGAATTCTCATACAATAATCAGACCCATGAGTCCACCACACTTTCCCCATTCTTCGTCAAATATGGCCGACATCCGAAAATGGCACCAGACATACACGAATCAATACATCACCCCTCTTTGGAACATCTATTCGCCCACCGCTCCGAAGCACAAGAACAGGCAAAGGCAGCATTGGAAGTCTCGGCTTCACGGATGAAATGGTACTTTGACGAGAAAAAGGGAGAAGTCCCATTCAAAGTCGGAAACCTAGTACTACTCAAGGGAAAGGATCTCAGAGTAAAAGTCAAGTCCACGAAGTTAGGCACACAAAACTTCGGACCTTACAAAGTACTTCAGAAGCTAGGCCCAGTCACATTCAAACTGAAACTGCCTAAGCAAATGAAGGTCCACCCAGTCTTCCATGCTAGCAAGCTGATCATGTATCATCAAGACACGGTCACACACCGTGAACCCCCAAACCCCCGGCTATAGAAATTGAAGGAGAATCAGAATTCGAAGTTGAAGAAATACTAGACTCAAAGGTCGTAAGGGGAAGGGTCCAATACCTCGTCAAATGGAAAGGCTATGACCATTCTGACGATACATGGGAACCCCGAACAAATCTTACCAACGCCGATGAGCTTCTTCAAGAATTCCACCAGCAACACCCAGATGCAGCCAAAGCACCAATCAGGGTCATCACTTTTGGTGGAAAACGCTTTGAATTATTCTCATACGAAGTTGCACCGATTTCCACACACCGAATCAGCATGTCCGACCATCCAGACGAGTTCTTCCTATATCATAAGATGACAGATCTCGCTAAATCACCGAAAAAATCCTCAAATGAAGCAGCAGGATGGGATCTTTATGCAGCAGAAATGCACGAAATCCCTCTGCATTCACGAGCTGTGGTAGGAACGGGAGTCGCAATTGACCCTCCTAAACACACCTACACATGAATAGCTCCATGCAGTGGACTGGCTGCATGAAGAATTAACGTGGGCGCAGGAGTCGTTGACCCTGATTACACTGGAGAACTCAAGGTCGTACTGATTAACACAACGGATTTCATCTTTTCGGTCAAACCAGGAGACAGGATAGCCCAGATAATCTTCGAGTATTACGCTGAAGGGCTTCCCTCCCGGAGTTACCAACCGTTGCGAGCAACTAGAAGGGGAAATAAAGGTTTTGGCTCCTCGGGACAATGAGCCTTGAGAGGGGGGTAGTGTCACAGATTTTTGCCACAAAGTCTGCACGTGACTTTTCTCATACCACAGATCACGTGCTTCACCAATATCTCACGCCACTCAGCCACAGACACGATGCATACAGATCAGGTGATAGTCCACATCACATGTTATGGTCCAGACCCGCGGATGATACGGTCGGACCTGTCTATTCCAGGATACAATAGAGGCACCCATTTGGGAACAAAGGGAACAAGGACTATTGTTATGCATCAGCCTTCCGCTTCCTATTAGTTTAGCCAGAAGCCTAGATAGGCATGATGTTCACACCAGAGAACAAAAGGGAAACCAAGATAGGCATGATGTGCACATGCATTACTGCGGCAACCATCGATCTTCCCACTTATTGTTCTGCTTCCGGACATCCTATTGTTTCATGTATGGCCATTAGCTTATACCCGTAGATAGGTAGCTTAGATAAGATAGCCCGCTATATGTGTATATAAGACCAGCCATGTAGAGGACGAAACTTCAGATTGTTTCTCCTCATCTACTATCGTAGCACCCTACTGAGCTTACCAGCTCCATCATATACCTCTTACCCTTTCCTGTGTCAGCCACCTCGACTAGTAAGTCTCAGGCTCTTGCATCACATAGGGTTCAGGGGGATTCCTTGGGATCAGGGGGATTAGGGCAGCACGTTCCACGTGACTGTCCCTTTTTAGTCTTTTTGATCTCTTGTCCGGTGTTGCTGTGACACTCCACCAATGTCGCTTAACATTTGTGTCACCACCACCATCACTCGCAGTACATCGGAGCTGGGACCACTTCTCAACAGTGATGGAGATGAACTCCCACCTCCGACCAACCTCAGTGATGAAGCATTGGCCGAATCATGGAGGAGTGCACATTGGGAAGATGATGAAGATAGGACAGGTCATTGGACGACAGGAAGAGCCTGGGGAGGAGATGATGAATAGGCAGGAAATGCTGACGATGAACAACTCGGCTACCCCCACCACGATGGTGCTACATACAACTATGTTGACCCACCTGAGGATGAATCTCAACCCTCGCCAGCCAACATCATCAAGGAACAGACAAGGTATGCTCAAACAGTCACGTCCTCAAGCAACCCAGCAAAAGGACAAGTGTCACTCATCGCCCCAGATGTGGCATCACCCTATGATGTCTTCATCGTGATGCCGCTAACATTCCTGATGGAATGCGATGGCCATCATCTTTATGTCCATCGTATGGGCATGGGCGACTTCACCACCTTCCATGCCTTCGTCCTCACTTGGGACAACCTGAAGGTGGCATGGCACCTCTACTCAGAAGTCTCACCTCACCGTGTCTTCAGTCAGTAAGTCGCTCTCCTCTATCCGCCACCTCTTCCAGGAATGCACGATTGGCATCCAACACCTAACTGAACATGAGTCATCAGCATTCATTTCACGGGCAAGGAAGAAGGTGTCGAACAATACGAGGTCGAACTATTCAGGATGTTCTTCGATCAAGTCACCTACGGAGACGTCAAGACACCTCATGAGTTCACGTCAGTCATCTTCCAACCCCTCATCACCATGATCGAGCATCCTGGATGGCTCACCGATGGGGTGAAAAAACTGGAGGCAGTTCACTATCAAGACAGATCCATCTCGCACTGGGCACCTACTGATTTCCATCCTCATCACTAGGAGGATCTCGACAATTGGGAGGTCATACATCACACCACCATTCCAGTCTACAGTCGAGTGGGTGTCCGAGAGGAATGTTGATGGGTGAGTGGTCGTCAAGGGTCTTGCCGGTTGGAAGGGGGAGCTTGTGTTACAGTTACAGTGCTTCATGGTCACGTGACACTTATCCATTTATGGTTCATAGGCCTGGTGAACATATTCTAGGGTTAGCAGTTTTTCATTTTCATGATTAGACTCACTCTGATATCTGCAATCCAGACTTCGCTCTAGGTTTTCTATTTCACCTACGCTTTTCTTAGCTTGCCAATTACCTGGCTCGCAGCAGCTAAGCTTCGGTGTTTTATCTATCTTTAGAATAGTGGAACCCCCCTGCACTAGTACCCCAGACTATAGGTCTGCAACTATATAAGGGGCACGGATCACGGAGAGAAGACCAACCTCTTCCTCCTTGTTTTTAAGACCTGTTCTTTCACTAGAACCCTTCTTGACAAGAAGCTTTCTTGATACTTCTGATTCTAGCAGATCAGAAGGGATCTGCACTCGCTCTCAAGGGTTATTCAAGCTCCTGCGCTTGGCTAGAGATGAGGGCAAACCTAGTAACCTGCGGGTGAATGTGCAGTAGCCTCCAGCGATCTAGCAAAGAGCAGAGTGACCAAATCTCACTGCTGCACACTCCTAGGGTGGACCCTACTATAACATTCAATGAGGAAGCTAGCACGTGCTGTAAGGGCACGTGGTTAGGAAGGTTCTGATGGAAAGCTTCATAACACCCCCGCATGTTCGACAGAAAGGCAGACAATGTCATTCCATGGGTCAAGGAGATATGGACCGCCGTGCATCTCTCGTGTGCTCAGCTGCTGAATGACTATGACCAGGTGATGTTCACTAGCATGTTCCTCAAGGATAGCAACCCAACATCCTGGTTCAACGCCATCCAGATTTCAAATCTGAAAATCCTGCATGACTTCCAGGGCTTCATCCATGAATTTAAGAACCACTTTGAAGACCCTGATCTCGTCACCAAGTACCTCCGCGAACTCAAGGTGCACATGCAGATGGGCTCAGTCACCAACTACGCCGCTCGTTTCTGTGAATATCTGGTGCACGTTGATCTCAACGATGCTATGCAGATAGATTACTTCTATGAGGGTCTCAAGGACCACATCAAGGATGTGCTTGCCACGGTTCTAGAGCTTCCCAAGACCCTCGACGCATATATTGCGCTCGCTACAAAGATTGACAACAAAGCACATGCTCGCGAGATTGAGCGCAAAGCAGCTAAGTCATCTTCTAGCTCTCATCACATTTCACACCACCATGAGGCTCCCCGAGCCACTCCTCCTCCTGCACCACCATCGGCTGCTCCTGTGCAGTCATCTACTAACAACGACATTGTCCCTATGAAAGTAGACGCCATCCGCCATGGCCCGCTCACTGATGCCTGACACCGAGAAGGAACACCATCGCAAACTTGGCCTTTGCTTCTACTGTGGCCAGGGCAAGCACCACATTAACGAGTGCCCGAACATGTCAGATAGTGCAAAAAAGAACTGCAAGGCTTCTCCCTCATCGGGAAAAGCCTAGCCAGAGGTTCATCACAAGTCCCAGGGCCTCCAGATACTACAGGGACTCAGGCACCCTCCTCGAGGGCTCCATCACACGTCCGCTCAACAACCAGTGTGTGGATCCCAAAGGCTGCTGGTTTGCCTTCTCTTTTTTCTCTTTCTACCCATGTCCATGCTTCTCCTAGTTCTTCTGACCATTTCTTTATTAGTGTCTCTCTTCGTTTTCCTAATAGAAAACCTGTCTGCACATATGCGCTTGTCAACAGCAGTGCGACGGGCTCCTGTATCTCTTACAATTTTGCTAACCGCCACTCTCTTCCACGACATCTCAAGGACGTTCCAGTACCTATCACAGCAGTTGATGAGCATCCCATCGTGCCTGGACTGATCATCCATGATGTGCTAACCTCGTTATCTGTGCAAAGCCACTCAGAAAACATTTCTTTAGGAGTTGTTTCAGTGCCATATCCAGTAATCTTAGGTCTCGATTGGCTGCAACGCCATAATCCATCCATCAACTGGACCCGAAAATGTCTTGCCTTGTCATGCTGTGGTGCGACCTCCTCGCATCCTGTCTCCGCACTCAGGAAAGGCTTCAGTCTTGCCCGTGTCACCTCCTTCATCTCATCCTCGCACTCTTGTCCTGCCATGCACATTGGCATAGGCTCCGGTCTTAGTCATGCATCTCTCGCTTCCTCATCATCGCCCTCTGTTCCAGCACCATCAACACTGGCTTTGCATGGTGAATCCTATCTCACAACTTCGACAACCTCGCCTCTCTCACCTCGTCTCTCACCCGGCATCGGCTTCAGTCAAACTGGGTCGTCTTCACCTTTGTCACCTCGTGCTTCTTCACCCACTCCTATATCCTCGGAGCACCCCTCACTCGACATCACATTCATCAATCCAATGCGATTCTGCAAGATTGCTCAGAATAACGAGGTGGCAATGCTTTGGTATCATCCCGCTGGCTCTCATGGGTATACTATCGCATCCATGAATCTATCTGCTGCCTCTGTGACACCTGAGGCTCCTGGCTCCTCTGTTCCCTCTGAGCCTCAGCCTCCTGACCCCGATTACTGCCTCGCATCCATCCCCTACAAGTATCATGATTATGCCTCGGTGTTCTCTCCTGTCGACGTTGAACAGCTTCCACCCCATCGACCATGCAATGCATCGATCGACCTCGAGGATGGCACGACACTGCCCTTTGAGCCCATCTATCACCTCTCACAAGATGAGTGTGCCGTTCTGTTTGACTACGTCAAGTCAAACCTCTGCAAGGGGTTCATTCAGTGTTTGACATCCTCCGCTGGCTCCCCTGTCCTATTTGTTCACAAGAAGACTGGTGAGCTGTGCCTCTGTGTCGACTACCATGACCTCAACTCTATCACCAAGAAGAACTGCTACCCGCTGCCCCTCATCGATCATCTCCTCAACCGCGTGCAGGGTTGCAAGGTTTTCTTTGTTCTGGACCTCAAGAATGCTTTCAACCTCATCTACATCAAAGAGGGGGATGAGTGGAAGACTGCATTTCACACCCATCTTGGTCTCTTTGAGTATAGGTAATGCCCTTTGGGCTTACTAATGCTCCAGGAATTTTTCAGGGATTTATTCAAGACACCCTCCGTGACCTCCTCGACATCATCTGTGTCATCTATATTGATGACATCCTCATCTTCTCCCGCACACAGGAAGAACATGACCACCATGTCAAGATGGTACTCGAGCACCTTCAACGCACTGGCTTGTATGCCAATGCCAAGAAGTGCACGTTCGACAAGTCCAAAGTCGAGTACCTCGGCTACCTTTTAGGTGCCGATGGCATCAAAATGCACCCGTGCAAGCTCAAAATGATTGCGAATTGGCCTATCCATGATCTGTCAAGGACGTTCAGTCCTTGTTAGGGTTTACTAATTTTTACCATTGTTTTATAGACCACTACACGCATCTCGTCCTTCCACTCAACGCGCTTACCAAAAAGGGTCTCTGCGATGAACTGTTTGCGTTCACAAGTGACGCCGCTGATGCATTCACTGCACTGAAGCGTGCTTTCACCTCATCTCTGTTGACTTTCCTGGCCAGCACACTGCGCAGCCAGGAGTTCGGGAGTTGCCTGTGTTGGAAGGAGAGTGCGCGTGGCACTCAGGTACGCTCTTGTCACAAGCGGGAAGAAGTGGCCGGTCAGACAGTCGGAGTGACATGCCCTAGCAACAAGTGGGCGTCATACGATAGGGTCCAACTGTGGCATTAGTCAATAAATAACGGACCGAGAAGATGTACATACCTCAGTAGTTTACTACATCTAAACGACTCTAACGAGGTCCCTGGACAACGGACTCATATTTGCTGTGCTCTCACTGTGCTTAGACCAGGAAACTCCGAGATAGACTACCCCCATACCTGATTCTTTAGCCTCTGCTGCATCTGCTCGCATTCTCCCTGTGCAACTGGCATCAACCTGACATGTCCGAGACAACCAAAACCACGAAGTTCCCTCTCTTGGGTGAGGGCAACTATGGTGAGTGGGCAATCCAAATGGAAGCGGAGCTGATCAGGAAGGAGCTGTGGGAGGTGATGACAATTGAAACATCACCACCGACAGATGCGACGGAGATGGAGGCAGCAGTGTGGCTGGAGGTGGAAAAGGCCAAGCGCTTGATGACCAAGATGGCGAAAGCACAGGTGGAAATGGTGCTGCAGGTATCAGCAGGGCAGCTGGTGCATCTGGTGAGTCATGACCCTATGGAGTGCTGGGTGACTCTGGCACAGGTGCACTGAGCATACGGGTTTGCGATCTGACTGGCGATGTGGCGATGCTTCTACAGGGCAGTGAAGGGCCCCGACAAGGTGATGTTGGCATAGATTGGGTGGGTGAGGAAAATGGCCGCAGATCTGGAATATGCCGGGGTAAAAGTAGAAGAAGAGGACATGGTGTTGGGACTCACCATGGGCCTTGGAGAACACTACGACCAGCTCGTAGTCACGCTCGAATCGATCCCACCCGAACAGCTCACCGTCGCAAATGTTACAGCGAGACTTCTGAATGAGGAGACCCACCAGAAGGATACGGAGGATGACCGGGATGCGGTGGCCATGATGGCTAAGGCTGGGAAAGGGAAGTGGAAGGCGGCTGCAGGGGGCGAGAAGCGTAAGTGCTTCAAGTGCGGAGAAATAGGGCATGTATGGAAGAACTGCCCGACCAAGTCAGATGATGGCAAGGATGATGAGGATGATGAGGAAGGGAAGCCAGATAACAAGGGTGTGAAGGCCAAGGTGGCGTATACTGATGACCACATTCACCTATTCTGATGGCTTGACAATGGCAATTGAGAGGGCGTGTTGGAAGGAGAGTGCGTGCAGCACTCAGGTACGCTCTTGTCGCAAGCGGGGAGAAGTGGCCGGTCAGACGGTCAGAGCGACATGCCCTAGCAACGAGTGGACATCGTACGATAGGGTCCGACCGTGGCATTAGTCAATAAATAATGGACCGAGAAGATGTACATACCTCAGTAGTTTACTACGTCTAAACGACTCTAACGAGGTCCCTGGACAACAAACTCATTTTTGCTGTGCTCTCACTGTGCTTAGACCAGGAAACTCTGAGAGCCTGCTCTCTAGAAGGTGGCTTCATGGGGCCAAACCGATGGCCTGTCCCATTGTAGCCATGCCCTATTATATACATGCATGCTACTACTCTCCCATGCTGGTGGCGCAGGTCACACTGGGGCCTCTCACATCTGCGCTCCGTGCTCAGATTCCAACAGTCTCTGGTTCTGTGCTACTTCGACCCAAGTCTACCTTGCACACTGTCCACCGATGCCTCTGACTTCGTGATCGTGGGCATCCTTCACCAGCCTGATCCTCAGGGCTTCCTACACCCCGTCGCTTACTATTTGTGCAAGTTGTCACCTGCTGAGATCAATTACGAGATGTATGACAAGGAGCTCCTCGCCATCGTCAACTCCTTCCGCAACATGTGTGCCTGGTTAATTGGCACTGTGATGCCAGTTTCGGTCATCTGCGATCATAAAAATCTTGAGTATTTTATGTCTTCTTGTGTTCTTAATCAGCGCCAAGCATGCTGGTCTATGTTTCTTTCTGAGTTTAACTTCTGTTTAGACTATGCTCCTGAGCTTAAAAACCCTGTAGATGCACCCTCGAGGTGATCTGACTTCACGCCTTGAGAGGGAGATGACGTACTGCATCTCCAAGCAAAAGTACTACTAATCCCTTCTCATACAGAATGACTTTTTTCTTCTTCACAGGCTGTCACTTCCATGTCTGCACCACCTCCTCAGCACATCTCCGCAATTACGACGATCACGCTCAACAACTCCGAGCTACTCGAGCAGTATAAGTCCACAATCTGCATGGACACCGAGTGGCATGAAGCGATCGCCCAAGGAGACACGGATTTTGTGCTCGATGGCAACCTGGTCTTCCATAAAGGCCGACTTTTTGTTCCCTCCTCGTTGCATACTAATATTCTACATTCTCATCATGATTACATAATCTCAGGTCACTCTGGGCGAGCGCGCACGCTGGCGCTCATCTCTTGCAATTTCTCGTGGCCGAGGTATGCAAACGTACATCTGCCACTATGTTCAAGCCTGCAACACCTGCGCTCGCATCAAGACACCATGCCACAAGCCGTATGGCTTGCTTCAACCCCTCAACATCCCCACACGACCGTGGAAATCCATTTCCATGGATTTCATTGTCAAGCTCCCAGTTTCGCATGGGTACGACTCGATCTGGGCCGTTTGTGACCGTCTCACATGCGCTGCACATTTCGTGCCATGCAATGAGACAATCGATGCTCCTGGCCTAGCTTGGCTGTTCCTGGATCGGATTTTTTGACACCATGGCCTGCCAGACTCGATTGTTTCAGATCGAGGTTCCGTTTTTGTCTCTAAATTTTGGAAAGAACTTACCACTCTTCTTCGAGTTGACCTTAGGACTTCTACTGCATACCATCCGCAGACGAACGGACTAACTGAGCATACAAATCAGATGCTCGAGACGTACCTCCGTGCTGATGCATTCTATCAGCAGGATGATTGGGTCGACTACCTGCCCCTCGCCGAGTTCGTGTCCAACAATCACGAGAACACGTCCACCAAGCAGATGCTGTTCTTTGCGAACTATGCATATCACCTGACATTCAAGCTGCAGATCAGTGAATGTTTGACCGTTCCCCTCGCCATCGATCTCGCCTCACACCTAGAGCGTCTTCACGACGAACTGCACGCTGAGCTCAAGGACGCTCAAGAATGTCAAGCCCGAGCCTACAACACGCACATTACCAATGGACCCCGCTTCAAACATGACCAGCTCGTCTGGTTGCTGCATCGTAATATCAAGACGACCCGACTTTCTGACAAGCTCAATCATCGATGTCTCGGTCCTTTTCCCATCGAATGTGCTATCTCCGACACTGCCTACCAACTTCGACTTCCCTCCTACCTCTCTCATCTTCACCCTGTCTTCCACATCTCGCTCCTTGAACCTTACTCTGACCCCTCTGAATTCCATCCCCATGCCACACCTGAACTGTTCAACCTCGATGACCTGACTCCTCCTTCCGCCATCGCCAGCATCCTCGACTGCCACAAGCTCAGTCAGCGCTACGAATACCTCATGCGCTGGCAGGGTCTCTCTGCTGATGAAGACTCCTGGATCCCACTTACCGATATCCCCATCTCCAATAACAAGCTCCTCAAACGCTTTCATCGCCGTCACCCTCACGTGCCACACCCGCATCGTCTTATTATTGACCATGCCGTGCGCGCACCATCTGATTCTGTCACTACTGATATACATGCATTTTTTTTTGACATGGCATTTATTTATATCCCACGCTATGTGCAGCATTGTACAGCAGGGTAATGTACGGGGCAAGGGAGGGCCCAGTGCGCTATTGCGCCAGGCCAGGGAGTCACGTAGAGGGCAGACCAGTATATAAACGGCAGCTACATGACAATGTCCACTTCATCGCCATGCTCTCCAGAGGTGTGGTCAGTGGTGGGGGGGCTGATGACACCTGTGCCATCTTCAGGGGAAGTGGGGGCAGCTGGGTTCCTATACTCCGCCCGCTTGGGGCATGCGATGGAGTCTGCGTGGTGGAGACCATGACAGTTGACACACCTGGAGTGGGTGCAGGGATCGGAGGTGGCACGATTCTCCTTCGTGCACGATGTGCACCGCAAACGATGTGAGTCTTCATGATGATGGCCGGCACAGACACGGCATCTGAGTGATCTGGTGCACCCAGTGGCTAGGTGCCCATATGCCCAGCACCTCGTGCATTGGTGAAGGCATGGCTTTTCATGCCAGCACGAAGCAGTTATGGGCGCACTGAAGGCAAACAGGGGGGTGCGGAGGATGGAGGCAAGGAGGGAGCCATCCGAGTCTTCAAAACCAAGGACCACGGATGAGCGGGTACCAACGATGAGCTCAGGTCATCGTGCCCAGCGTGGAGGTTGAGTGATGGTGAGGCACTTGATAGCCGGGTTCTTGAGAAGCTCCTCGACAAGCACGGCTGGGGAGTGGACCTCTGCACCAGTGTGGGTCTGAGTGTAGATGTTGTCGAGGAGGATGCGGGACCATTTGCTATCCCGGGTGATAGCTTGGTCATGTCCAATGCCCAGGGCGAGTCATATTGTCGAGAGGTGAGCATCAATGTGGGGGTGGGAGGGGTTGGGCAGAAAAACCAGGACGAGGTTGCCAGAGGAACTGGGGTATGCAGCGAGCGCAGCGAGCCCTTCAGCAGTTGGAACCATGGCCAGGGCACGGTTGATGTCGCTGAGGATAGCAGCAGGGGAGGTGGAGGTGATGCATTCCGGGATGCGACTGGAGTATCAGACCACATACCGGACTGGTGCCCCAGCACCCTGTGAAGTTCAGGACCAGCACGAGAAACGAGCGCTGGGCTGAACACTTGCTTACTAAGCAGGTGGGCGCAGAAGAGACACGCACACCTGACGTATGCGCTACATCTCTTCTCACCCGCCACGACCTTCGCTACAAGCTCATTGGGTCTCCAGCTGGACTGGACGCCCAGACTACCCAGGACGCATCTCTGATCATTAGGGGTGACGATATGAACATTATCATCGCATATGAATGTGGTCACATTCGCCACTCGAACGACTTTATTCGTCATGTCGAGATTCTTACCATGGCCTCCAGCCCAGCCTTCTTTCCTGTCTGTGTTATTATTGCAGATCAATTTGCCACTTCGGCCTCTCAAGGTGTACTGGCCATCTCGCTACCTCATTTTGCCACCTCGAAGCGGACCTTCAACCTTTCGTTCTTGTTATCATAGCACAACCTCACATCCAACTCTTGTGCAGGCCGGCACAATGGTGCTAGACCAGGGAACGTTGTCCCATATCGTCATCGATGCTCCGACCACATGCGCCCGCTGCTCAACACCTCGTCCTGTGGCAAACCTCACATGGCATCCGATATCAAGCTCAACCTTTGTCTTCTCTTTCATTGAGAACCTCCGGTGTTCTCTTCTCTGTCCTTCTTGTCTGCACTGGAAGGGAGGACCCAACCTCATTCGTGATGCTGGACTTCTCAGATCTGCTCAGTTCGTCTGTTCGAGTGATTCTGTCGTCATATACCCATACCTCATTCTTCCTCTATGCGACCCAGTGTGGGAGAGTCATGGCGTCGGAGGCAGCACGACTGTTGTGGGTCAGGTGGTGTAGTCATGCCCCCCCCTCGTTAGGCTGCTACGCTGCCACTTCATGCTCGAGAGTTCGGCTTAGATGCGCTCAGAAGCCCTGGATCGCCGGCCAGCGAATCAGGAGCCTGGGCATCAATGCCAGGACCCCGAACACTCATGATCCAGACCCCGAGCACCTCTTATGCACGGCGGAAAAAGCCGCGTGCTTGCCTGGCTGAACCCTCTCCCCCACATATTGTTGTAGTATTCCACATTGTTCCATACTACTCTTATCTCACCTCGCAAGCACCCACTGAACTTAGGAAGCTTGGTGCTTGAGCCTTGCAGGTAGACGGAGGGTTCGGGGCACACGTGGGAGGAACCGGATGCGAGGGCGCAGCTGTCACTGCATAAGACCACCCTTTGGCCATCTTAGTCAGAGGTGTCGTGACCTGGGGGCAACCGGAGGAAGCTGGCACAGCAGACACCTAGCTCACACATGCCTCGAGGGCAGTGAGCCGAGTTCTCAGATCGTTGCGAAGGGCTGAGATGGCGGCGGCAAAGTCGCCGCCTGCTTGCTGAGGTGGGGGAGTTTGCAACAAAGGTGTGAGGTGAGAGGTGAGGTGAGAGAGTGGACCTGCAGCTGCAGGCAGGGACGCCAGGGCAGGGTCGACGGGATTAAGGCCAGCGAATCAGCCAGTGACCTCATCGATTACCTTGTGCACAAGTTCCAGCTGCGCCACCAACTTTCCTGATTCCAACCCAGCAGGTCGAACATTGTCGAGAGTGTCTCGCAGGCAGTGGTAGAGCTTGAGGTGGTGCGGCAAGGCCACAAGGCATTCTTCAGGAGAGAGTGAATGTCAGGCAAGTGCACTAGATGCCCGTGTAGATGGTGGTGGTTGCAGTTCAAGATCCATTGCATGCATTTTCTCCTCCACAGGTCCCTGCTGAGCCATCTGCACCTGCCACCCCAAGACCTCCCACATCCACGCCTGCTGCCTCTGTGCCCGCTGCCTCCGTGCCATCCGTGCCTGCCTCCTCCACGTCGTCCGTGCCTGCTGCCGTGCCTCCTGCTGCCCCACGTCCTCTGAGCCTCCCATCGTCCACGAAGACCTGCGTCGCATCTATGTGTCACCCATGCAGACCACAACGCGTACTGGCCATGTCTCGAGACCCCCAGTTCGTTACGACTCATCGATCTAAGGATCGCATGTCGTGCTCTCCCTTGAGAGGGAGATGATGTAAGGGCGTGTTACAGTGCGCCATGGCCTTTGGTTTGTTTAGCTAGCTCATGGACTGTTTAGGTATGCTTACGTATGCACTCAGCTAACCCTATAGTAAAATTGTCTTCACTGTCCTGGCTCGCTTCTCTTCGTCGAGCCAACTCCAGTACATGGGCTCTATCGCTCTCGTTGTCTAGCTACTCTCTCTAGAATCCCTATCTCGTGTTCTCTTGCTCTCGCCTCTCGTCCCTCATCTGACCTGCCCATTACATCGCATGCCCAGCGCTTATTCGGCTGCCATTCCTGCAGCCCCTGTACCCAGCTCCGATGCCCCCGAGGTCCACTGCTATCTCGCAGTGCCTTCCAGGCCCCACAAGCCAACAGTACAGAGGATGATTGCAATAAAATGGGCAGAAGATCGTGGTGAATGCGAGTGAGATGCATTGATTACTTATTTCCAAATATGGTAGGAGAAAGTGTGATGTGACCATGTCTCAAGGAGCAAATTTAGATTGATAAGGACTCACGGGAGACATGGTGCCATTTTCAAGCATGTAATATGCTTAGCAAATGATAATTAGATAGTCAGATTCTAGTTCATTATTTGCGTTGGTCGCAATTTGTCTAGTAAAATTAACATTTGAGACCATACATGGGATTGTGCAAAATCCTACAGGCCAAATTCAAACTTCGCAGAATGCGCGTAGTCACAAATATGGAAATATAAATGTCAACCCCCGCCAATCCGTTATGTTGAATTTCTTATGGGAAGTATAATACTCCCAAACTATGGTTTGTAATATACCACAGTTTCATTGTGGCTATCATATTCTAGATTTGCGCCGGCACATGTAACGTCCACTTATTATTGTTAAAGGTTGACTATCTAATTAACATTTGTCACAGCATATAGCACGCTCGAAAATACCTCCATGTCTCTAGTGACTGCGACACTGATCTGCTCCCCATGCCCTCTGTTCACATTTGATAAGAGTTAAAACTACATAAGCATAATGTTTCTGTACTGTCTGAACTATGAGTAAGGTCTGATCTCATTCTTAGGTGGAAATGCTCCTGCTAGAGTCTTAAAACAATTTGAGTGTCTTGTTGACCGGTTGATGACTGTACAGGTCTAGGATATGTGTCAACCTCGAGCGCTTCGAGCAGAACTTGATCATCTTGGGATGTGCCGGGTGCAACTCAGGGCCCTCTTTTTGGAGATACAGCAGCGGGATGATCTCTGTATTTAACGAACAAAGTACGCCAATATGGTGTGCTTCCCCGGAGGTCTCAGCTGCACGCTCTGTGGTGATTCTCGTGATCTTGCATGTTTTCATGCAGAATGAAGGTATGTTGATGGTTTCCTGTACCTGAAGAAAGTTTGGGTGACCATTCTCGAAGCGCTCAAGTCAGACACTAGCACCATAATGATATTATATGCCACGTCTCTTGCGGATGCGGTCGGCACCTCGTATCAATCACCAAGTCTATCGTTTTTAACAAGACAGTGGCTACAATCGATCGGTATGATTGCTATTATGACGACTAGTTAAATGTTCACGCTAGAGGCGGCTAGACAGTACTGGAAATCCGAAACGCGTCTCGCTCACTATTTGACATCGGAGTCGCTCGCCTCGCGGATTGAATATTGGCAGGCGTATCGTAAATGTGCAGTTGTACGCAATCATGTCACATTGATGAACACTTCAGCAGTGCCGTGCGCGCAGCCGGTGCGGAAGAATGTCTTCGAGATGCCATGGCGCTGCACATATGCGGTTACATTTCCATACAGAAGTACAGCCTACTGTCCGCAAGGTATGCTCGATGAATCACATGAAGTGCATGCTCACACGGATTTTGTCAGCGTCCTCACGGACATAGCACGCTCAATTGCACAGTATCTGCACGATGAAAGCTCCTCGTACCGCCCTTTGGCCATCTCGCTATGCTCTCGTGGCTTCCCGGTGTGGCAACAGTACGTCGACGCAGTCGAGATGCTGCGTGCACTTTTTACGCTGGCGACTGCATCACGGAAGGACTCGATCTCACCGCACAACATTGGAGCTCAAGCACGATCTGCGGTCCTTCAGATCGCTGCCGCCAACACACCGCTATTTATGACCGCCTTGACCATAGACATACTGCAGCCACGCAGCATGCAGCACCGCAGATCTTTCATGCAGTTGGTCATCCTCCTCATACACGAGGCAGGTCAGCCTGCTCTTTGACTGGGAGGAGATGGCGCTGAGCGTTCACAGAATCCGATGGTGCTGTACAGCAATTTGCCTCGCTTGATGGATGCTATCGTGAAATCGCTGGATCCCAATTCTACCGCCGACCGAGACGCAGTTCCGGATTCTGCCACTGACATTCTCAGACACGTTGTGCAAATGTGAATTTCTGTTTCGACTGTTATGGTTGTCTCTGATACGTTTCATCTTAGCTTTCCTACCGTCAGCTTTCATTCCCCCCACGCAACGCCCCGCAGTGGGGACCAGGCTACCAGCGAAGGCGCCGTGGTAATGTGTGCTCTGAAGACTGCCACTCGCTTCTACGTGCTAGAAGGCCACAAGAAACGAGCAACAGCGTGCAGCTTCTCGCCGGATGGACAGCGCCTGGTAACAGTATCCCTTGAGGAGTCTGTCGTACTGGTATGGAAGGTCGGCTCCAGCTTCACTAGCTTCTTCATTGCGGGAGCACCTCCACGGCAAGGGCATGCAGGCTCCGAACCGTACAAGACGCTCGGGTTCAATGTCGGAGACGAAGGTAAGTGGCTCCATTCCCCGGATTTTAATCGTTTCGCTGACCAACTGTATATAGCTCAAATGTCACTCACTGCCACCCTGACCGGTGTCCGATTTGAATTGCTTGCAGATCGCAGTGTGAGACTCCGGATACGCGAGAGCACTCTCACATTCTGTACATGAGGGGTTGTTTTGAAACAATGCATACATTCGCGTAGGGTCCGAGGCCCTGTAGGCTCCATCGTTGACAAAATAACTGCATACGCGTTTCTATCTCGACGACTCTGTTGCGCTGTTCATTTCGCTCGCATTCAATTTCCTCGGTGGATGAGAGCACTCCTTCCAGCCGTCAGTTGTGCCTAGCGCGGATTACGCTAATGGACCGCCACCATCCTTTTCGCAGACAGCGCCTCGCTGTATCACACGTGTCTCGGATGAGAATCGCACTAGATGTTCATGTTGAATGTGCTTGTGTCCTTCGAGCATGCAGGCTGTAACGAGTGAGGACCCAGGCAACTCCCATATATGAATGTCGCAAAATAGCATATTTGAGGGGCCCAAAGCGCGATTTCCTTGTCGCCGATTGCATATTTTGGGCCTCTGAGGCTGTTCTGGGACCCCTAACCTTATCGCAACTTAGCATCTTTGGAGACACAGCAAAGAAACGACCCTTTCTCGTCACAGGAAAGGCATTAGAACCGAATTGGAAATCTAAGCATTTCTCATCAAGTAGTTGGATGTGGAAGAAAGCTTTGAGAAAGGTATATTGATGCCTTCTCTCTCCGTTCGATGTTGAGATGGCCGAACCTCACAGCCGAGGCTCGGGGATGTCCGGGCTCGTGTGGCAGAAGATTATATAATCCTTCCTAATATGTATACATATATATAAGGGAATGCCATATCGGGAAGATCCATGTCTTCCTGCATCCTCCTTTATCCTGGACGCTCACCCGTGTTCTGTCCCTTAATCTCAGGCTTAATATGTTGATAGGCTCTACAGCACCTTTACATACTCAGGAAATGTCAAGCTGTACCGTATAGCATTAAGCACTTGAATAAAGGCATGAGAAACATTTCACTTTCTCTCACCTTTCTCATATGGGAAAGGGTGCTTTCTTTGCAGTGAGACCCGATGGGTGTCGGGAGGCCCAAACCAAAGAATAGCATGGCGGCAATGGAGGAGTCCGCGAAGTGAACAAATCAGAGTAACGATGCCCATTCCCAAATTAAGGCATGTTCGGGTGGCTGCAGCCAGTATCGATGCGACAACACCACCATTCTAGCCCCATGTTGATATAGATTGATTTTCCGTACCCAATAATCACATGCGGGCATTGTGCTGCATTGTGACGTCCCAACTGGGTGCAGGAGTCCCTTAGGCTCATGATTAAGGTTCTGGGAGGCAAATCGCAGGTATGTATTGTAAGGCTCCAACATTTCTATCTATTTACTATGTTACATAGTTTTAACTGTTTACTATATCTGTTTATTTACAGTTGGGCCTGTACATAGTAAATAGATGTATATATATAGTATAAATAGTTTTATGATGATATAGGGCTATTGTGTGCGCAATTGCTAGATTTGACAGCACAACAGTGAGCCAATTGAAAGTCATAGTGTTTAACAGAAGTCACCACTGACAGTTTATCATCATGTAGGTTCATGAACATGAGTTTCTTGTCATTTCTTGTATAACATAAGATTTTCTGGTCATTCCTGGTGCAAGTGTTGACATTGAATGCTTGTTTTCTGCTCACTGTCATGTGCTATAGGTCCTTAAAGGCCTCAACAATCACAGAGGCTGCTCACAGTTGAGTAAAACTCCATCAAAAGATGGGACCAAAAAAAACTATATAAACTTTATATAAACTGTTTATATGACATATAGATAACTGTTTACTATACACTATTTATTTACACCTCAGCAGTGTAAATAGTATAAATAGTTGGAGCCTTAATGTATTGGACAGAACACGGCTTGATACACATTCTCTTAATCATTAGAATGAGAGTAGCATGCTGTCTCGCAAACAAATCCGTATGCACAGCCTGCATAGATTTATTTTTCCACGGGAAACCTGATGCAAAAATGGTGAAAATATCTTATGTCTGGATATGGAAATAGTTTGGAAATTGGGCGGAGACAATTAAATTATGTTACAATTGTTTTACCGAAACGTATCAGCAATAGTGAAACTATTTCCCAAAGGAAGATATTTCAGTCCAAAAATATGTGATACCGATATGTTTCGGTGAAGCAATTGTAACATAATTCAATTGTTTCCACCCGCTTTCCAAACTATTTCCATATCCAGGTTTAAGTATTTTCACCATTTTTTCATCAGGTTTCCCGTGGAAAAATAAATCTGTGCAGGCTGTGATGTTCTGACAGGACGTGACCGATATGCCGTTACAGACCGTGACATAGTCACGGGCTTTCAGTGCATATTTCAGGCTCATTTCAGAAGATTTTTTGCGACACTCATATATGGGAGTTGCCCGGGTCCCTCAATTGCAGCCAGTCTTGCTGACGTAATGCATCCTCCTTTAGACTTTATAGGAGCGGCGAGTATTGAAAGCGGCGAATTTCAAGACATTGGGCTGTCCTCAGCTATCAACTGGACGGTTTCGACCGGTCTAGCGTTTCCGCGCCTCCAGCCACTCGTTCTCCCTCCATCGTACCATCCCCCCTGGATGTTGGGATCCTTGAAGTCTAAGCTGAACTTCTTTCGCATCCATCTCCTTCTCTTGTGAGAAGTATGCCTTAGAGGCACCCGCTGCTGCTAACCAGAGTGCTTGCAGCATACTGATCCCTTTGGTCCTGGCCTCAATATTCCATGCTTCCAATGGAAGGTACAAGATCAAGTTTATAGATGCGCTCTTTGTCTGTGTCAGTGCTGCTACAGGGACGGGCCTCATCACTTTCGACCTGAGTAGCGCAACGGCGTGGCAGCAGGTTATCCTTGTAATGCTAGAGCTCTTCGGCAATCAAGTAAGCAAATGATCGCGTTTATCAGCTCATCTATAGTGTTTATTCATCTAGGTGTTCGTGTCGTGGCTGGTTGTCCTGGTTAGGAGGTAGCTAACCCTTCAATAAATGATAATAAATGGCCTGACTGTGGATTGAATCAGGCTGTACTTTCTCGAGCATCTGGGCCACATTGTCGCCGCTGAGCAGGAGAGGGATTCCACACAACGTGATTCAACGAGCATGGACGCGAGGCCAACACTAAATGCATTCCTGAACAATGGTCTGCGGGAGCTAGGGGCACGCCGACTATCTCAGCGAACTCAGCAAACACTTCCTGCTGCTCCCAAGCCGCCGAAGGCAGCAAGACGTAGCGCTCCAGATAAGTTGCATGCTGGGATGGTCCGCCGTGTCGATGTCTCTCCCCATCGCGTCGACCCAGCGGGTAGACGCACGACTTCAACCGACGGTGGTTACAGCTCTAGCTACGATGCGCCACGAGAGTCCAGCGTCAACCCTCTGCATTCGCCCCAGCTGAGCAACAGGCGAACGAGTCTCACTCAGCAGCTCTCTCCTGTGCCCGAACAGGGTGGCTACTTCGGCGGATATCCTGGACCGTTCGAATTGGTGTCGCACGCTATGCGTTCTGCATTCCCGCGGTTGCATCGCAGGCTCAGGACGACTGTAACTATGCCAAGAACGGAGACCCTGATCCCTGGTATTGCTGGAGAGACTTCACGCGGTGCTTCCGGCCCACCGACGCGCGTAGTGCCATACCTGTCTTTTTGGGCGATCGTCGGTAGGAATTCGACATTCCGCAACTTGAGTAAAGAGGAGATCGAGGAGCTCGGAGGAGTTGAGTATCGTGCGCTGAGCGCCCTTCTGTGGATCGTGCCGTTGGTAAGAAAGCTGCCAAGATTTGATCAAATGGCTGCTGTATTGACGTATCATTTTACATAGTACTATCTCGGATTACTTGCGATCTCATTTGCAGTGATCGCCCCATATATGTGTATGCTACGTTGGCGACTTTGGTTCTTGCCTCCCGAGCAGCATCGCAAGATCAACCCAATCTGGTGATCCTTCCATGATTCTTAATCGGATCTTCGGGTCTCATGAGTTTAGCAGGTTCTCCGCTTTCCAAGTGGTAGGAGCATGGGCAAATACGGGCATGTCTCTAGTCGATCAGAACATGACACCTTTCCGGACTGCATACCCGATGATCATCTTCCTTGTTATTTGCGTCCTCGCCGGCAATACATTCTTCGTACGTGATTCATTTGATACAGTCACACTTTTCTCTGATGGATTATATCCAGCCTATTTTGTGAGTGCAAAGAGCGTATTCAAATAAAGCCAGAGCTGACCTTCATGACAGTTTGCGTATTTTGATGTGAGGAAGGCCTCGTTTCCTATCTCCTATGACGTTGGCAGACTCTGATGCCTCACACCATTAGTTGGATTCTCATGACAGTTTTCCCACATCAGTCTCGCACCAAACAAACCCTACAATTCCTTCTAGACCACCCACGTCGCTGTTTCATATACATGTTTCCTTCCAATCAGACTTGGCTGCTTTTCGCCATGCAATTCACCATAGAGTGAGTCATGGTCGCTCACTATATCATAGTCGCACACCCTCAAACTTGGAGTTGACAGCCTGTTAGCGTGGTCGTTTGACCTCCTGCTCAACGTAGGCAATCCTGCATTCGGCGGAATTACAGTTGGTGTCCGGATAATCAACGCCGTCCTCGCTGCCGCAGCCGTGCGAAGTGCAGGCTTTCAGTCCATTGCTGTTTCTACATTCGTCCCTGCCGTGCAGTAAGTCAAAGCGTTAAGCGAGTGTGCGGAGAGTTTGTCTCATCTGTATGCTAGGGTGCTATTCGTTATCCTGATGTATATCGCCATTTATCCCATAGCCATCAGGTTTGTATTGCAAGCTACACGTGTCTCTGCTTGTTGCGATTTGAACTTGTCACAGTATTCGCTCCACCAATGTCTATGAGGAACGATCGCTGGGTATCTACGAGTCGAAAGAAGAGGAAGAGGAAGCCTCCGAACTGGATCGCCCGCATATGGACGTGGAGTCTCGCGTCGCCATCTGGGGAAGGTATCTCGTCCGCCATGCTCGCAGGCAATTGTCATTTGGTGAGTCCAGTTCGAACACACCAGGTTTAAGCTTTCTCGCTCACTCACATGACAGATATGTGGTGGCTTGCGTTGTCATTGTTTTTACTCTGCATAATCGAGGTGGGATTGTACACCCATCATACTATGCTTCAATTAGGATTCTGACGTGCGCGCACTTTGTTACCCGTGCCATTATAGCGAACGCCATTGATGAATACGAATGACTCATCATGGTTCAACATCTTCGCATTGAGTGAGTGTTGGCAGTTCTGGGTCCCATAACGCTTATTCATTCGTCATGTACTGCAGTTTTCGAGCTAGTCTCTGCGTACGGAACAGTTGGTCTTTCTCTCGGCATTCCCAATGTTAGTCTTGTACAACCTCACTCGATCACATATACGAAAGTAATGACGTGACACATTTAGGAGAACTACTCCTTCTCAGGAGCCCTCCATACGCTATCTAAGCTCATCATGTGCGCGGTCATGATTCGTGGCAGACATCGCAGTTTGCCCGTTGCGCTAGACCGGGCTGTACTACTCCCGCACGAGTTTTTGAGGCAAGAAACTCGGCCGGCGGACGAGGACGTTAGACAAGAAGCGGATCAGAACATCGGGGACGGACAGCATGGAGATGCCCGGACAGAGAAGCAGGCGGAAACCCCTCATTCAATGGAAAATATCGAAACAGACGAGACGACGAACGCGACGAGGGCGCGCAGGCGGAAATTGAGCTTCGCATTCGATCAGCCACCAGAAGCAAGAAGGGATGTTTCCGTCGCCCACCATCTGATGAAAGTTGAGCCCCGGGAGACTGCAGAACTCGAGGAGAATGGGTGATAGCATATATAGACTTGCAATGGTTGCCTCGCCTCTGAGATTCAAAGCCTTTCATCGTGTACTTTTAGGTTTCGGAAGGAAGGTTGACGGTGGAATTGTGTGCCAAGGACGGACACTATCACACACAGCGTAGACAGTGATTCGGGTTAAACAGAATGCCTTAGAGATACAAGCGTATGACAGCTCGACGAGTATAACAGCGAAGCACCAGATGAAGAACAAAAATAAAACGGTCAGAACCGATTAGAAGGAGGTACAGGATACATAACGATCAAAGTGGCATCGTCCTGTCCACATTCTGTTCTGATCAGCGCAAGCAGTCCATCCGTCACATCGCGGCAATGCTCATACCCTGCATGGGAGCTATCCTCTGTGCAGGTTGTGCCTGTTGATGCTGCTGTGGCGTGTTCAGCTGCAATGTGGGGCCAGGAGCGAAGACGGGAAGAGTCTTCTCCTCTAAGTCGGCGTAGAGCACAGTCATTTCCTTCCTTGCCCTTTCCCAGTTCTCCGGGTCCCAGTACGTATACGTCCCGTGCTCGCCGCCAGGCACCTTCTGCGCTACGGACGTGCCCGACTCCTTTGTGAGCCATATCCGCAGCTCTTTGTGGTATCGCCAGCTACGATTCCACCTAGGGAATGACCGATCAGCATGCCATTCCCGACGGAGCCTGCGATGGACAGTACTTACAGTTCTTGAGCCGCGATCTCCTGAAGGGCATCACGAGGAGACGAGTAGAACATGAAGAAGAGCGTTTCGTCACTAAATGCTGCCGCTTTGTTTGGCCCTGGCGGAGCCGGCTGCACATTGTAACACGCAGGTAGATGGAAATCGGGCTCTACTGTATGCGCCGCCGAAGAATCTGCCCACGGTGTGATGAACGTGGAGTATAGACTTCTGCGTATGCATTAGCAATGCACCAGAATAGACAAACAATCAACATACCCTTGCGTTTGCATGTCGAGCCCCATAGTACCCAAATCCGTCCCTACTGAAAGCAGATTCTGGTCCGGATCTGCACTTTTGATCATCGCTAATAGCCCTAGTAGTCCCCAGCGATCAGCAGGTGACATTAGTACTTGCTGTGCTGGCGTTTGCGGAGCTGCAGTGGTGGCATGCGCAGGCCCTTGCGAAGGATGATGTGCCGTGTCTCCTCCAGTTGTGCCATTGCCAATGTATGGTGTCTGCTGTGCTGGTGGTGCCACCATCGGCTGCGTTTGCTGCTGCCCGAATGTCGTGGGTGGCGGTACTCCCGGGGGGGCACTCAATTGCTGCTGGGATGGGTTATTTTGTTGTGCACCATTCTGCAATGTCGTCCCTGATGGGTACGTATTTGCCTGTTGAGCACTTGGATTGGCGTTTGGAGAACCCCATGCAACCGGTGCTGTACTGATATTATTCTGATTGAGTTTAAGCGCATAATTCTGTGAAGCCTTTAGCTTGTACACCGAAAGCGGACGGGATGCGACATACCCGCTGCTTCTCCGAATCCGCCTGGAATCGCGCTTGTCCCAGATTGAGCACACCAGGTAGTTGCTGCCCGTTTAATACTGGCGGCTGCCCTAAGCCTGTTAATGAACCAAGCAGATTCTGCCGATGCTGTTGATCTGCATGTTGAAGCCCATTCAGCCCTGGTGGGTGGCCGTCTGCGTTCTGCTGTTGCTGCTGTTGCTGCTGCTGTGCCGTCTGACTCTGCCCGCCTAAGGCAGGAAAGTCGTCCAGCGTAAAGTCCCGCGGCTGGTTGCCGCCCACCCCGCCCGCTGCCTGAGTACCGCTCGCTCCCGCGCCCGTCCCTGCCTGGCTGGCATAGCTCGTCGTGTTCGTGCTCGATGTCGGATTCGACGCATTCGCGGGAATGGAGCCGAGTGCGGGGAAGTCGTTTGGATCCAAACCTACCTCACTTGCAGAGGATACCGATGGTGCCGTGCCGAGGCTCGGAGTAGTAGCCTGTGCGATATGTAGAGGAAGAGTGGACGTTGCACCCGACTGTTGCTGCGTCTGTGGATGCGGCGTCTGTGGGATTGGCGTTTGTCCTGTGTGCTGCGCTTGCAGCTGTGATTGCTGTTGTAGTCCACCAGCTGTGAATGGGAAATTGCTTTGAGACCGCTGCTGCTGTTGTAGGAAACTGGGTGACGGCTGCGGAACCATGTTCTGAGCTGTCCGGTGGTTCGCAAGATTTGGATAACCAGGCAAGACGCTCCTCGAAGGGATTCCATAGCCAGGGTATGGGCCTCGGAAGGGTGCACTGAGAGCTGGATTGGGAGCTAGGCTCGGTGGTCGCTGAGGGGGTTGACCTGGATGCGACGAAGTAAACATTTGTACGGGCTCTGTCGAGTTCCAGCTGTTACCTGGTCTGTTCATTTCTTTTACAGAGAGGGAGAGACCAGATTATGCACGACAAGCAGGATGAGCACGGTGGCGGTTTCTGTGTCGAGCAATTTGGGGGAATAAAGGTTATAATATGTACGTAATCCGTATCTCGGAAACTCTTATCTCGCAAAATGTTCCTCTTATTCCTGAGCACCGTTGATGATGCCTATTTTGCCTGGGTAGTCTATGTCTGTCTATGACTATCACAGTGGAGGCGCCACAAAGCTGTGATGGAGGTTGGTGACTACGCAAAGCTATGCTGAGAAGCTTATCTGAGGCTTTGCATAGGTCCTCAATCAGCGTGCGGCCCTGCTCTCTAACTATGAAGTCTTGACTCTCCTTCGCGAGCTCGAGAGCGATCATCTCGCACGCACGAAGACAGCTTTGCGTATCAAGAAAGAGGAGGAGCTAGCCGGGAATCACGCCGCAAAGTACCAAGTCCCTTCAGATGAGATCTGCGAAAATCTGAGAACGATCGAGGTGGAGGTCAGGCCACAGGTAAACCGATGCCTCGAGGATACTGATGAGCAGTTCCAGGGTATACAATACCTTTCTGCCGACTATCAACCTACGGCTGCTCAAAGTGAAGCCGGTATAACCCAGCTCACGCGTAGCCTATCCGCGTATGACTTGACGAAGGCGGAAAAGCTACAGATTGTGAATTTGGCACCCGTTGAACCTGTTGAACTCTATGTGGTATGCTCCCTCCAAAGAATGAATGTTGAACTTATAGGCATCATTCACGAGTTATGTATGTTCAGATAGTGGAAGAACTGGAAGATAGACTCGGCGAGCAGATGGACGATATCCTCACAACGGTGAGGTCTTCTCTGCCTGATGCCCTACCGATAGCCACCAACGACGCGGAGGACGGTGCAAACGCGAACGCGACAGAGAATGTGCAGCTTACGTACTCCGTTGTGGAATCACAAGAATATACCGAAGAAGATGGGATGTGGGATTACGATGCCAACGAGATTTTGTTTGACGAAACAGGAGAGGGTGTTGGTGTCGAGGGCGATCTGGACGTGGAGGAAGATTGAGAGGTACATGCACGAGAGTTTACTATCATGATTGCATCATGACGGTGGCCTACAGGCAGCGGATTACAGTGATTGTACGTCTATTGTTCGATCCATGGTCCTAGTGCAGATACACGCAGGTGAAACGAGTGTAGGAGTAGAGTTGAAGAGAGTCAATGGATACAGAGTCAGGACAGCGACTGCACACAACGGCAAAAACTCCGATAGCGGATACGACGAGTGGAGAACGGATACTCACAGAATAGATCAGATGTGCAGGGGAACAAGGACAGCCACAAGGACGATAAACGGAATATATGTCAGGAAAGCTATCCCAGACATTATGCGGCAGCGTTTTCGCCAAATTATTGCGTCTGCACATTCGGCTCAACTGTCAGCGTTGGAAATATCTGCCGGAGCATTTACACGCACCATGTTCCACCTGGGGGTCGTCTAGCGGTACCGCCTTTTCCGTATCTGTACCCCCGACTTCACGCGTCTTAGGAATGGGAAGAAATGACGCTATCCACCAAATCGGGAAGACAATGAAGCCGACGAAGAAACACCAGGCGTGCAGCGGCGATGCGTCTTCGAAATCTCCTCCAAGGTGCGGTGCCCATCCTGTTCGCTTGATTCTAGGTTTCCGTGGATCATACATCGAGTATGCGCCGGAAGTCGCCACGGATGGTGGGCGTGGTCTAACAATGGCACTGATGGGAATGGACCCCTGCGATATCCTTCGCCAGCTCTCGCGGCGGCCAGTGAAGGAAGCCGTGCGAGTCGTTGATTGTGTGGATGGGAGAGCGGAGCCAAGCTGAACGAGTGTGCGTCCTCCGAGTCGGCTAGGTGACGCATTGTCTGCTGAGATCGCTCCGTGGGCGGATGAGCTGGGTCTCGAATGTGCAGGAGATGCAGCTGGAGTCGTAGAGGATAGCCGGACGCGTTTGTGCTGATAGGAAGAGGCTGCATTGGATGTCTCAGACGAGCGATAAGAGCCTACAAAGGAGAGATCATGGTTCATATATAACAACGGGATCACACAGAATGGCCACTCACGACGCACCCCTCTAGCAGGGATGATGAAACTAGGATGCTGCACTGCTCTGGTATCGGGCGGCGTGGTCTCAAGTTGGTCGGCTTTCCGTTTACCTATGACGACCGGCGTCTCGGGCACCGACATTAGGCCGCCCGGCTCGCTTACTGAACGAGAGGGCCGATTAGCGGAACTACTCTTAGAAGCAGGCGGGGGAGGTGTAGTCGAAGGATATGCAGGAAAGGACGGTCTTGCCTCCACAGTTCTTGAAGTTGATGCAACATTAGAAGTGGCACCCATGTGAGAAGCACGTTGCTGTGTGCGCCCTTTGTGCGCCCTGTCACCATGAGAGGAGTCCGCAGCGGAATCGGTCATCACACTTGCAGTGTTATCGTTTTGTGACGTGGTATCTTGTCGCACAAAGGTTCCCAGCTTGCTTTCCGTAGAGATACCCATGACGTGAGGCGGATCGGGACCCCCGTCGTCCTCAGTCACTACTGCGCTTGGTTCAGCCAAGAGATATGAGCTGTGATAAGATCTCCATACCTCTCGCGAACTTCAAAGACTTGGGCGACGGTGGCTCACAAGAAGAGGGTTTCAGACAAGATGAATAACTGAGACATTGTGATCCTGACTGGGTAGTCACCTGCGAAACATGAGGCACGGCTCTTTCCGTTTTAGGCGGAGATGGATGATCCGGGTCGCCGGCCCCTTCACGGAAAGAGGGTCTCATGATTTGTTGCTCAACATTCTCACCTTGAATGGGCCAACTAAATCCACTCGGAAGAAGGGGAATAGTCTTCTGCATGTATGCTTCTCCACTGGAATTCCCTGTGAAATGAGCTTCTGGTCGACGGGAACCTCGGACACCTGATAGGGAGCTTCGTCGCCGGAGTATATCATTCGGAACACTCGCATACCTGCGCAACTGGGGACGAATGGGGAAGGAAGACGCGGAATCGGCTTGATTCAGTCGATCAATGGTATCGGTTCTGTGACGTCGTCGTGGAGGATATGTGCTTGCGCCCAGCCCATGTATCTTGCTGGGCAGTCTATGATTTGCCCTGTTGCTATGTTCGTCGGTTGTCGTTTGGCTTCGTGAACGAGTAAACAATGACAATACGAGTTCTGGATGTTCCAATGGCGGAAGAGGAGGATGGGTAACGGCTTCGGATGGTCGACGAAAGCTTTGCGGACGAGTCGAGGTAGGAGAGGGGTTGCCAAATGTGCCATGGGCACTGTGGTTACGATCGTGAATCGGAATGGTAGAGGGAGGTAAATATTGCGACTGAACAGAAAATGAAGAGCGAGTCAAGTACAGCTGTGAGGTCGTAGAAGGTACAGATTCATGAGGAGAAGATGTTGATTGCTGAGGAGAACTAGGATCGTTATGTCCATCATCATCATAAATATCGTGATTGGAGTACGAGCTTCCATTGGGTGTGGAAGTCGTGGATCTGGCAGGGAGGACTTCAGACGTCCGGGACGGATCAGCAGAACGATGCAAAGAAGTAACAGAGCCCGGCTTTGAAACAATATGCTTCCTCTTGCTGCTAGAAGAACGTCGTAGGATTAACGAATCGAAGCTGTTTCGGTACGAATACCAAGCAGAGGGTGGCGCAGACTGCTTCGGAGCTGGACGGGTCTGATCGTTGCTCCTCCCGAATGTGGGCCACGGGGAGACGGATGATAAATGTTCGGACAATCTGGAAAAGTGCCGTATACTCGACGGCAATGACGCATTTCTAGGTCGTGTATCCTGGGCCGCTGCGAGAGGTGCATGCTCCTGCGAGTTGGTTACTGTGCCATCCAGAGAAGTAGAAGAACGGACAGCCGAGGTGAAGGAGGACGGCTGCATGGCTGCTCGCCTGCTACGGCGGGGTGGCATCAATCCATGGGAAGGAGCTTCTGCTGGTGTCTCTCCTGCAATTACATTGACAAGGTCTGGTATGATTGGACGATCCACGTTATTCGTTACTATCGTTGCGGATTCAGCGGTTCGTACATCCTGAGATGGCGTAGGAGGGGGGGTATTGGGCACCTCTCCGTTTGAAGACTGACTGACAGTTCGGTCACGTAAACGCGCCAGGAACGAATGCATATTCTAAACGATTGAGTATTCAGCTGCGCGTACTCAATGCTATATCACTCACTCCAGCACGGAAAAGTGTTCCACCTCGCTCCATTCTTCAGTTTGAAGCTCGCAACCTATCCATGGTGACCGTCAATATTTACAGCATCGACCGCCTTGAATTTCGTGCACTGAGAACATGACGTCCTGTGTGCTTGTTCCCGCCACATTGGCCCGAGATACCGCTTTTGGATGTTACATAAGCGACGTCAGCTACACATGTCACGCAGCCGGTCCGTCACAGCGTGCAATCCGCGCTATCCCGCGACAGCGACGACCTCTGCGACATTCTCTAACAACTCCGCCCGCCATGGACCGCCTCGAATCACTGTCGAACACTTTGTCAAACATAACGCTCTATGACATCAAAAGTGTGTACAACCAGGTGTGTCACAACACGCGAAAGAGAAGCCCACAGTGCTGACAGTACGCAGGCGAAGAACGTCGTGTTCAATGTGAGCGAGATGGAGGCAAAGGTTCGCGAGGCGACAAACGACGAGCCGTGGTGAGTGTGCTCGTTAAGAGTTTGTGGGCGTACGATGTGACAGAACATGTAGGGGAGCGAGCTCGACGCTTATGCAGGAAATCGCGCAAGGGTAGGTTCCAAGCCGTCGGTAGAGATTCAGTGGTTCACCTCTCACTTTGACCTGTCAGGACGTTCAACTTGTGAGCGGCTCGCGCCTTGCTCTTGTATCCATCGCGGGTGACTGATGCCACGCAGCCAGCACTTTAATGAAATCATGCCCGCCATCTATGCCCGTTTCATGGAGAAGGAGGCACGGCAGTGGCGACAGATCTACAAGGTGTGAATGCTCTGCCGCGTCATTGAATTCTGCTTACTGTCCCCAGGCTCTTCAACTGCTCGAATACCTCGTGAAAAATGGGAGCGAGCGTGTCGTGGATGATGCGCGATCGCACATTGCCACCATCAAGATGCTCCGCAACTTCTACTACATTGACGATAAAGGCAAAGATCAGGGTCTCAATGGTAAGTATCTCACACTCGTGCGGCCCTCGCTGCTCACTCAAGCCCGATTAGTCCGAAACAGGTCTCGGGAGCTGGTGGAGTTGTTGAGCGACGTGGACAAGATACGTACGGAACGACGGAAGGCCAAGACGAACAAGCACAAGTATATCGGCACCGGTAATGACCCAATGAGCTTACCGCCGAGCGGCGGTAGGTACGGGGGATTTGGGAATGACAGCTTTGGTTACAGTGGAGGCTATGGCGGGGGCAGTAGCAGCAGTGGCGGGGACTACGGTAGCTATTCTGGCTCAAGCTTCAGAGACGACACCGGACGAAGAGGGTACCAGGAGTACGATGCTGGCGATGACGAGACGCTACCGAAGCGGTCCAACTCCGTGAGATCGGTGACTTCTCCTTCTCTTCGTCGCTCGTCGGCAGCATCTGCGACCCCACCGGCTACATCAAAGCCTCCGGAACCAGCCCAGGAGGTGGACCTGCTCGGCATGGATGATGACGCATTTGGGAGCACTGCCACGAGCACCAGTTCAGCCACTAACAAGGCCCTGCCCGAGCTGTCGTCCAACACGATAACAGAGGGTATGCGTTTGCTGACAATGGCGACGTTTCTACCAAACTGATTCTGATTTCCACCGGTCAGGTGATGATGAATTTGACGACTTCCAGACTGCCCCGACTGCTGCTTCTGCGGGCCCGGCCGTCCAACCTACGGTGCCTCGCTCGTCGATAAGCCTGCAGCAGTCAGAAAAGACTACATCGCCACCGCTGTTCCAGCAGCCCGCGCAGACAATGTCACCGCCATTGTTCCAGCAGTTGCAGCGCGCGCCTCTGCAGTCCTTGACACCTCCACTGCAGCGCATGAGCCCTACGATGCCGCCGATGAACCGTGCGAATGGCAGTTTCACAGCGATGACGCCGACCCGGTCGTCATTCATGACACCTACGACTGCCAAAACCGTAGCTACGCCCGTCCGCTCTGCAACATCTCCCTTTTCAGGTGCTGCGTCCAAACCCGCTCCGAGCGCGAATTTTGAGGACTTGTGGTCGATGTCGCTGGGATCTTCTGGAAGCACGTCTGCTGCGAAGACGCCCACTGCGTCTTCGGGCGCGTCGAAGTCGATGAAGGATCTGGAGAAGGAGAAGGTGCAGGCGGGGATCTGGGGATCTGGACAGAGCACGCCGCCAATGGGTGCTGGCTTTGGCTCGTTCGGCAATAACTCGAGCACGCCGTCGACTACCAATGCCGCGCCTGCTTCATCCTCTTCCTCACCTCTGGACGATCTGCTGTTCTGATATATGACTGCTAGTGCATTGAACGGCGTGTTGATTCGTTGATTGGTCGGATTGAAAATGGCACTGTGTTGAAGTCGTCCGAGACGATTCTTATGATATACCTCCATACGATGTAGATGAACACTTCTATTCATGCCCTGTCACCTGTAGGTGCTCGTGCTGATTGAGCAAGACGGTTGATTGTCAATCGTTCCAGGACCTGTCTGGATCAAAGTGGTCTAGTACAGGTGGGGAATCGATGTCCTGATGCGACCTCCGCAGCGAGAAAATCCAGGGACGGCCGGTGGCACGCGGGTGTGTTTCCCTTGGCACATATATTTGTGTTCGATCTGGCCATCCCGCACAAGTTCCTTGACGCTCATCCAGCCTTACTTTTCAGATGATCTGTTGTCCATACAGTGCAGCTCCCCCGACCCGGAAAGCTGCTTGATATGTATATTGTGCGATCGCGCAAAATCATCATTTGATCAGGTCTTGATTTTTCGAAGCAGGAGGAGACGAACGATACGAATGTACTTGATTCACAACACGTCATAGCCCCATAGTCCTACGCAGATGGTACATAGCGCATCGCCTTTTCTGTCAATGAATCGAGTGATTGGATGGACAAGCTTCTGAAAGCAGAGTTGCCACGATGAGGGAAAGAAAGTCGGACTCACCGTCACAAGATCATGACCGGAACGGGAAAAAACAACAAAATATGAGCTCTCAGTCAGCGTTTGTTTCGTCCTGTCGTGGTGCAGTTGAAAAAGGCGAGCAGGGATATAATGCCAATGGGGCGTCATGCAGTGAAAACCATGCATCCAACAACATCAGCATAGATCGCTGACTCCGGATGTCTGTCCTTAACTGACATCTGCTTTCGATAGTGTTGCCGCAAGTTGAGGTCCTTGTCGAGAGTCTCGACAAGGACCCCGCGTCAGAAAGTAAAGTAGAGGCTGGACAAGTTTGTTCCTCGGGAGGAGATCGACTTTCGCCATATGGGCTGAACAATTTTTGCAGAAACATCGGAGAGAAGTACACCGTTGCTCACTGGAGCCGAGTAGCAAGATCTTGCGGAAGTAGTTGATGAACTCTTCGACTCCGGCAAAGGCATGCTCCGGATATAAGATGCGAGGGAGTAAGTTGCGAAAAGGCCCGCCTCTAACAGAGCTCGGCTTGCTGAAGGTAGACCATCGTATATTAGCAGTACCCCTTCTACTAGTAGCTGGTTATCAAAGGTAGACCATCGTATATTAGCAGTACCCCTTCTACTAGTAGCTGGTTATCAAATTCATCGAACCTCGCGTCACCGATGACCTTATTGAATAGACACTGAAGCATTCCTCCGTGCACATGCACCAGGATCCGCACGGAGAACAATGAGAAAAGTCGACGGGGAGACAGGTGACATGAGGTGAGTGGCACCTTGAAGCGAATCTTTCCCCTGCAAGCTTGTTCAGAGGCCATGGACATAGATCGTTGCTGCCATTATGACGAGGTTTCCAGACGAAGTTCTGGCTACGACGATATACACACATAGGTCAGGGTGCCGGTAAGACTTAGTATCCAAAGTTGGGGCGTAATCGGGAGCAACGCTGGACTTCGATTCTGCCGATTGGTAGTTCGCTGCCCAGAGTATGAAGAGATGGGAAGAAAGCGCATCGCGTGCAAGCCACAAGTTCCATACTAGTCACAATTCCAAGTTTACATACTATTACTCACACGGGCGGTCATCCCAATTGAAGGTCCGACGGGCCACACCTCGTCTCATCCAGTGTGCTCGAGTCTGGCTCAGCCACCGCAGACATGGCATCCATCATGGACTTTTTCACACCCGACATGTGGGGAAAAACAAGACTTTTCATGCTGAAATCGGGAGTGAACATCCGACTGCTGTAAAGATATCGCAACAAAGGTCCGGTTGCGTGGTCGGAGGTGCACGCTACCAAAGATAGGAGGCTAAACTAAGCCTCAAGGCCTCAACGACCATGCGCCCGACGGCCTGTCATCTTTCCGTGCCTCAGGACGGGATGACACTGCCGAGAGCACACACGCGACGTGAAGATACGGTTTGATCATTTGATGCATGTTGGCCGCTTGTGCGAACGGATACAAGAGGTGGGGCCCTGGGGGGTCAGCCGAGTAGTCCTCGCGAGGTTCAGTCCTACGCTGACACTCACCATGCTGCACAGGGCCGCTCTGGTTCTGGCGTCGCTCCTGGCGGTCTCCGCTCCTGTTCGTGCTCTATGGCCGCTGCCTCGCAACTTGGACGAGGGCACGACCGCTCTTCGTCTCTCACATGGCTTCCACATCACAACAGACGTGGAGAATGCTCCCCAGGATCTGTATGAAGCAGTTGCGCGGACGCAGACGTACCTTTTTAAGGACAATCTGGGACGACTGGTCGTCGGGCGCGGAGCGGGGGATGTCAGCGCGTTTGAGACAGCTGCATACCTGTCTGAGCTGAAACTGTCGCTCAAATCTGGTTCTACCGTACTTTCGATCACGGAGGAGGCTCAGAAGCCCATTGAGGACCGGGATGAGGCGTATAGCCTGGCAGTGCCATCGAATGGTTCTGTTGCGACCATCACGGCCACTTCCACTCTGGGTCTCTTCCGGGGTCTGACGACGTTCGGTCAGCTTTGGTATGAATATGATGGTACCATTTACGCTATGAACACGCCGCTGCAGATCGAGGACTCGCCTGCCTATGTAGGTGATGCTGCAGCTTATGACTCGTATAGTGGCTGATCCCGATCTGCTAGCCTTATCGTGGTTTGCTGCTCGATACAGCGCGTAATTAGTACGTCAGGCGGTTGTTATATGTATATGCATACATGCTCATTGAATGGTAGCTTTGGCGTGTCTGACATCCTCCGCACTTTGGATGCGATGAGCTGGGTGAAGGTGAGTACATAAGCAGAATTCCCTGCGCTTTTCCTGACCACCTCCAAGATCAACCAATTCCACTGGCACGTAGTCGACAGTCAGAGTTTTCCGCTTGAGATCCCTGGATACATGGAGCTTGCTGAATACGGTGCTTACGGGCCGAGCATGGTCTACACCCCGAGCGACATCGAGACTATCGTCTCATATGCCGGAGCGGTGAGCTTGATACAGGTTTTGCATTGGGGGACGGTCCTGATCCTAGGGCTAAACAGCGTGGAATCGATGTTCTAGTGGAGATCGACACCCCAGGCCATACTGCAGCGATTGCTGATGCCCATCCTGACTTCATCGCCTGCAACCAGGCACGTCCTTGGGCCAGTTACGCTAACGGTGCGTCTGCTCCACGCTGCCACCCCATCTGCTCATTGAACTATCTGTCCCCAGAGCCGCCTGCTGGTCAGCTGCGTTTCACCAACGCAACGATCGCAGAGTGGACTGCAGGCATGTTCTCAGAGGTTGCGAAAATGTTCCCATCAACGATGGTCAGCACCGGAGGAGACGAAATCAACACGTACTGTTACGAGATGGACGAAGAGACACAGAAAGACTTGAATACGACTGATCTCTCGTTCAATGATGCATTGGCGGACTTTACGTCGCAAACGCACGCTGCACTCATCGCGGCTGGGAAAACGCCGGCTGTCTGGGAAGGTACGTCCAAGGAATGCTTCGAGATTCCGCTGGAACCTAACATTGCCCCGTTGACAGAGATGGTTCTTGACTACAATCTAACGCTGTCAGACGACACTCTTGTTCTGTGAGCCCCTGGTGTTGTCCAAAAGTCCGGTTCTGTCCGCTCAGACACGCATATATAGGGTCTGGATATCTTCCGAAGATGTCCTTGCTGTGGTCGAGAAAGGATTCCGGGTAATTCATGCCGCATCCAATTATTTGTATTTGGTGAGTGGCTTCTCTCACGCGTGTGTGTGAATCTATCTAATTTTGTGTAGGATTGTGGTGGAGGCGGTTGGGTCGGAGATTATCCAGCCGGGTTGGTGATACTCGCTGACCTGGTTGCTGCTTACCTGCTAACTATGTATGTCACTTTATAGCAACAGCTGGTGTGATCCTTTCAAGACGTGGCAATATACCTACACGTTCGATCCCCTTGCCAATCTGACTTCAGACCAGTATCACCTGGTCGTGGGCGGTAAGTCGATGCATCGCTCTATAGGTAGTGGTGGCAATACGTTGAACTAACCTCGATGTATGCGCAGGCCAACAGAACTTGTGGACTGAACAGTCCAGCCCATCAAACTTGGACCCTATTGTCTGGCCGCGTGCTGCCTCTTCGGCGGAGGTCTTCTGGAGCGGGCCCGGCGGAAACCTGACATCTGCACTCCCGCGTCTGCATGACGTCTCGTTCCGCATGCAGCAGCGCGGCGTCCACTCAATCCCCCTTCAGCCGCTGTGGTGTGCGCTCCATCCCTATGAGTGCGATCTGACTTGGTAGACGCTGTTCTCCTTGAATGGACAGACATTTGTTGTGCTTTGGACTGTAAGGAGCTCATTGTTGTAGATACTAGTGCTAATGGAACATTGAAGACTTGGAAGTGGCTCATTCGTTGATGATCTTTGCGGTGGGAATTGCCGCTTCTGATCATTGTGCTCTACGGTCACATTGCAAACATGCGGGCCTGCGGCATGCGGCAGCTGGTTGAGCTACTTTGCGACAGCGACAGGGGAACTTCGGGAAGTCGATTCATTTCAGGTGTTGTGCAGCACAGTGCATGGCACCTAATGCAATGGAAAAGGGACGAGATCCAATGGCGACACTCGCACGCATCGGTGGTCCTCAGTCACTATTTCGTCTCAAACCGGTGTAACGCACGTGACCGCGTCTTAGCGTCACGTGACCCGTAATGGGGCCACCGGGCTCCCCGCGGGGTAAAGCGGAGTGTAGTATGCTCGTCCGCAGCGGAACAAGTCTTCATCTAGTTATCACCCGACCAGCATCCTAATACCCCCTTTAACGACTTTACGACTCTACGAACTGACTCTCTGTACAATGTCGTTCTCATCCTCGCTGCTTGCCACTTTCCAGATTCTACTGAACACCCCGATGGTGCCACCACCACCGAAACCCGAGACCGTAGAAGTGCAGCTGCATGATTTGTCGCCGTCTGTGTCTGTGGTGAGTGGATGTCTCGTCTGAGGAATGTTGTCTTATTGATCAAGGAGCATAGAGGTCGAGCATGGACAGTGCTTCTTCCTCTGTATCTTCCAATTCCGACGGCTCTTCAGCGATCTCTTCATCATGAGCCACTCCTTACGTATTATTTTCTTCGTCGATGTATCTTACGATTACATTCACGACCTCCTGCTACGACACTTTTCATTACAGTACATTTATATGTTGTTTACGTTGCGCATCGAAAGGCAAATACCATACGTCCGTTGCAGTCCAGGTCTTCGTCCAATGTAATGTGCTTGCTCACCGTATATTTTATATCTTCGCATTCCGTTACACCCACCGCGACGATCGCGATTATTAGATAGCGTCCGACGACTTACAATACATCACAATACATCATAATCCCTCATCGTACAAGTTCCTACACAGCGCAATGTAAAACCTCTCCAGGTCTTGTTTCGTCGCCAGGTCACCACGTTTTCTTCGCTTCTTAATCTTCTCCCGCTCTGACCTGCTGACCTCCAACGGCAAGTTCTGCTTAGCTGGCGGCACCGCCGACAGTGGTTTCAACGAGCCCTGAGCCGGCATCTGCTCGACGATCCAGTCAAACACGGCCGAGAGCTTGTCTGTCGATGACTTGAGCACCTCGTCCGCTTGTTCTTTGTCTGGCTTTCCCCCGCTCTCGGTCGCTTGGTTCTCCCGCTGCCTCTCCTTGCTGATCTCAGCACCGGCCTCTCTAGCTGCCTCTTTCGCCGCTTTCTCCTCGCTCTTCCATAACTGCACGAACCTCGTCCAGTCTGCGATGTTCCACTCGCCGTTTTCCTGTTCTCTCTTGCGCCCATTGTCCTTCTTCCCTTTTCCGCGAGTGATGCTGAGCCCTGGTATAGATACCGATGGAAGTTCCACGTCCAACCCTCGAGCGCCCCGCAAGTCCCAATGGTCGCATCCCTCCATAATGCCGAGGAACTGCCCCCACCGTGCGCTCTGTACGGTGACGAGGCAGTCGTTGCCCCATTCCTCGCTCCGCTCCCAGCGCGGGTCCGACTGTTCACGCAGTCTCTCTCGCTCCCTCTCTTCGAACCCGTCGAGCACTATCTTCGGCAACCACAGCGGATGCCACACGCTCACGTTGTTGATGCGGCCCGCGACGCTGAAGTACTTGACGGCCGGGTTGTCCGGAGTCTGCGGATTGAATACGTGGTTCAGATATGTTGAAGTTAGATTTGCGTATGCGGGCGAGTCGAGCAGGGAGAGGAGAAGAGTCGTGAACGACGATGGCAGCGACGTGATCGATGACAACGGCTTTCCCGACGGAACCTTCTCTTCCTCCGTGTGTAGTGAGTGCGATGAATGGCCCGTTTTGGGATCCATTTCCGCCACTGCATCCCCAGCAGTCTTTGCATGCTCCTTATGATGCAATCGACCGATCCCGATGTGCTCCTGCTCGATAGATACGGTGAGCATCACGGATGAGTATGGCAGGATAGGCAACATACCCTGCACCAGTCCATGAACGGACTGCCTCGGTGAGGCGTCGCAATTGTCGTAAGCGAGAGAGGAATATATTCGGTCGGCCTGATGCGCGAAATCAAGTACCGGCAGTCAAGACCGCCCATGGAATGAGCTATGAAATTGATCCCCTTTCCAACGGCCTTCTCTCTGAGAAATCGATGGAGACTTTCAGCGCGCAAGGCAACTGATCCAGTGCTGGATGAAGCGTGTTGTCATCGCCGGTGTCGCCAACGATAGGGCAGACCGCTGAGATATCCTACCTCGGCACGGACGTGACGATGACCTCGACACCCAGTTTGTCTTGCAGAATGCTGAGCACGTTTGACCAGTAGTGCATTTGCAGCATGGGGATGGCAGAGGGGCCTCGCACGTCAAAACCGTAGAGGCCTGGCTGAATGCTCAATCAACCGGGTTCTGTGTTGCTGGTCATAGTACGTACCATGGCAGAGCCCAATGGGATTGCGGGGCTTCCGGAATGGATCGTAGAGCACAGAGCTTTTCAGATATCGATGCAGGATATCTTCCGCCGGCTCCGTCTCCTGTGGATCGTCGGAGGATGGTGCTTGCTCGGGCTCAGTGTCGTTGACCGGCCTTTCAGACTGCTCGTCCTCGCCTGCTTCCGCGGCATCAGAATGCGGGACCGCTTTATGTTCAGTGTTAATCCATCGTGGCCATTGTATGAATCTGAAGGCCTCCCACAGCTTCAGGGACGTTTCCACCCCCTTCTTCAGGGACGTTTCCTCTCCCGAGACGTCTCTCTGCGACGTTGACTGAGAGAGGCAGTAATGAGAGAGGGACAAGGATACAACGTTCACGACACGTCGAACGTAAGCAAGAACAGGTGCAGGAAGCCAGAGCGTTTGCATCAAAAAAGAAACACGAACGAAGCGGGCTCGGACGAAGCGCTGAAACCAAGCCGACCAAATTCAAGCGCCCATCAATCGTATTTACGTATTTACGCTCATTCTAGAACCTCTCCATGGTCTTCAACCGGATCATCCAGGTCAACCATAGATTAACTCTCTGACAACAGCGACGAAGTTGGTTCACTTCGGCGTCGCTCAGCTTCCAGAATCTTCCCATTTATAGGAATCAACTCGCGATAGCTGCACGGAAACTTTGTAATTCATCGACGATTTGTCCATAGAAGATATGGCAGATTGCGCACTACCTCCGATAGGGAAGATGGGCCATTTTATGCACAACAAGTTGTGCCTGTCAGGTCTGCCGTTCTCTCAGGTAGAGGTTGACTCTTCCCGGTAGGCATTCCAAACATATCAGATTGCCCATAGTCTCAAATCCGATCTATGTTCCCCTGCTCCCAAATCTACTATAGGATCGCCATTGTATTCTACTGCCTCGGAAGTATGGATCTCCTGAACATATTGGAGTCAAAGTCCACTCCCTCAGAACGAGATAGATGGCGGAAGTGGCTATGGGAACAGCAGTCACGTTCGTAGCTCTCCTCTACCTTGAGCTCAGTCGTATATCGGACCGTGATAACAGGCGGACGATACGGCACTGGATTCAAACCTAGCCCCTACATGACTCTCGAGGATGACTCTGTAAGTGTTTGATATGAACAGCGTCTCGTCAAATGACTGACGTACGAACTTGTAGGAAGAAGAGTACTCTGATTACGACACCCCTCACCTCATCATGACATATACAGCCCTACTCTCTTTGGCAATTCTCCGGGACGATTTCTCGCAACTGGACCGCCCTGGTCTTCTCTCGTTTATTCGTGCATGTCAAAGAGAGGATGGCAGGTAGTTTCCTTCACATATTCTCATCTCCCGGTCTTCTCAGCAGGATATATTCAGCTTCTCAGCCCTACCGAACTACGGTGAATCCGATCTACGGACAGTATATTGTGCTTTTGTCATCAGCAGTCTGCTAGATGACTGGTCCGGAATGGACTTGGATAAGGCCATCCAATATATACGGAGGTGTATGGTGGGTTTGCGGAGAAACAGTCGTTCATTTCGGCCCTCTCACACACATGATGTCAGAGTTATGAGGGTGGATACTGTCAGACGCCCTTTGGCGAGGCCTTGGGTGAGAACTTCTCCGGCTCAATTGCACTGTTGCTGAAGTTAAATACAGGGGGAACGACCTATTGTGCCTTGGCGGCCCTCCAAATGGCCCCGTCCACTCCAGCATCTCCACGCGAATGCCGTGTGATGCCTGCCGAGAAAGCCCGCACCGTCCGATGGCTGGTTCAAAATCAGACATCCTCAGGAGGATTCCGAGGACGCACGGGCAAGGCAGCTGATGCTTGCTACTGCTTCTGGTGTGGCGCCTCTTTAAATGTAGTAACTGAAGATCATACGTAGCCGGTGCCAGTTCTAACGTGCGGGTTCCTCGCCAGATCCTTGGTGCAGGAGACCTCGTGGACTCGGTTGCGCTAGCATCTTTCCTGGCGCAGTGTCAGTTCAAGTACGGAGGGATCTCTAAGGCACCTGGAGAACGTTCAGGTGCGACATTCAGTGGCTCCATCACGCGCCCGCCAACTTAGAGTTTTGCTATCTCTCTGACTTTGATGACGAACCTTAGATCCGTATCATACGTATTTGTCGCTTGCAGCCATTGCACTGTACACACCACCCTCCGCAGACGCAACTTGGGAGTTTCCCGCGCTGGATGTGCTGTGGAACGCCACGTCTGACACTTCGAAATGGGCGCGACGGCATGTTCCAGCAAGCTGAACGCAAGTACCAAACGAACCGTCCGTAATCTCCGCTAGTTGCTCTGACAACATCCCTGCACAGATCCTACCGCCTCACTGTGCACATATATAATCTCATATTCCAGCTGTTTGTACTATGTAGACAAATAACGTTACATGGCCGGTGACCATAGGCATGGCAGCGCATCAAGAGTCGAATTTAGAAGGAAGGATAACACTCTATGGCCAAGACACAAGGTCGTCGTTCAGTAATTGTACCATCCTTTGGACACTTCCCTCTGAGAGTGGGAACTAGTATGATAGAGATATGGCTCGTTGGGAGGCTGCGGCTGCGGGGATATTGCATGGTGATTTGCGTGGCTTGGGGACTTCGGTTGCGGACCAGCTATCCAAGTGCCAGGTAAATAGTGGTACGCTTGATTTGCAGGCTGCTCTTGTGGCAGCACTGAATATTCGTATGCCTGGTTCGGGGTCTGTGGCTCCCCTTCCGGAGAGTACTGGCAATACATATCATTTGGGTGCTGTGCCGGTGTCCGAGTTCCGTACTGGTAAGCCCTGCTCGGAGGCAGCGGACAGTGATCGGAGGCTGCGTATTGATATGTTTCAAGTGGCGGCGACACCTGGGCTGCAAACCATTCGTGATCCGTCGACACATATTCCGGATTGGCCCATGGCGGTAGAAAACTCATCAGATCCTGCGCAAGTAGATTAACGGTGAGTCGTTCATGCAATTGATATCGTCTATACTGACCTTCTTAATCCTCTGCACTTCGTCATTCCCGAATCGTTGCCCTGCGATGCTCGCATTGTCTTTCAGATCTAGATCGTTTAGTCTCCACGCGAACTGCTTCGTATCAATTGGGATACTGTTGAGCAGGTGCTGGTCGAAACGCGTGAAAACGGTGCGCAACGCGTGCAAGTATTCGATGGCGCACGATTCCCTGACCAGAATGTCTATGCACTTGTAAACATACCCGGAATGTGCCAGATGTACGACGGACAGATCCGCAATGAATGCCACAGACACCATAGCGTGGGGTAACAGAGACTTCGAGACCCATTCTCGCTTTCCATCGCGTTGACTGGCAGTGATTAAGGACAACTTGTTTCTCTGTTTCAGCCGGGATCTCAGCATCGCCTACAATAGGAAGAGGAACAAGAGTGACTTACAGGCTCCCAACATTCCAAATAGTCATTCAACGCGCATCGATTGAGATAGGTCTCAAAATCATGTTTCGACTCACGGCTCGGCAATTGGTCGTGGACCTCCCGAGCAAAGTGTGCAACCGTCGCTGACTCTTGAGACACATTATCCTCCAGGCAGATGCTAAACGAGGCACCTAGTTGCGACAATTTGCTCGCGTCCCATTGATTGTACATGCTAACAATCCTCGTTGCGTGCATTGCACGCACGTGAGGGTCGGAATTATGTGACCCTTGCCTCATTGCAGACATCCAAGGATACTCATCGAATTCGGTCCTCCTAGTCGAGGTCATAGCTGGCGAGGGAGAATTTTCCCTCGCAAATATCCGTTCGGCCACAGAGGTGTAGGGAACAATAGGGACACGACGGAATAGGAGAAGAGGATCAGTTTCGCGTCCTGGCTCCTGTGGCATTGTGGCGCGATTAAAGTTGACGACGCCAGCCAGAATTGGTGCTTCTTCTGTGTTCCCGTTAGACAATCCTTGCATGGCTGAATGAATGAAGCCTGAGTACTTGTCGACCAGACCGGATGAGTTCGAGTGAGCAGAGGTAGATATGTGTATGTGAGGGCCGTTGACTTCAGGTGGAAGGGAATGACTATGGAGTCTTGTGGTTAGATGCTTTTTATGTATCGCGACCGTGACGGCCAAAGCCTTCTCATCAATATGGCCTTTGAAAAGAAGCACAGGCCACACCGAGCATGTGGTACACTGTTTTATTACAAAAACGTGTTCTGTGTGGCATCAAAGGGACAATATATTCCGATATGAACTCGTGGCAACTCAGTGTGGCCATTGGCCACAACAACAGAATGGTTACAAATGAATGGCCGATACCCGCTTCAGAGTTAGATATGCAACCTTATATTCATCTATACCACCAGATATACATTCAGCGTTGTTCGTGAAAGGATCCAGTTGAGGTCTTGAGAAAGGGAGCCAAAATAACTAGAGTGCCCATCCACTAAAGTGACGTCGGACGCCACCGCCACAGACGCGTCGTGCCAATGAGGCGTCGCATGTGACCGCGAAGGACTTTTCTCTTATTGATTTTGCGTTACGATGCTTTTTGGGAACTTATGACCGAATCGGTGGGCGCGTATCGGTGGATGGCGAATATTGACGTGGCCCCCTCCCGGGCCGTACATCCTCGTGCCTCGCAATTGGCGTCCCGGGCATCCGTGTATCGTGCGAAGCGAACATATCCAGGATTCCGACATAGACCGTGACTTCATTCTTAATTTTGGAGGGGCACGATTGATACGTAGCCTCCATCGAGACAGAGTCAATGGCGAAAGTGGCGATCATCACTGGCGCATCATCCGGTATGTCTATTGTCTATTGATGCTAAAACGACAATGCTGCAATGCGCTCATGTCAAACACATAGGTATCGGGCGTACGAGTGCTATCGCGCTGTCTGAGAAGGGATGGTCAGTCGTCCTCTTCGCGAGACGTCTGGAGAATCTCCTCGAGACGAAGGCTATGTGTGCCGATCCTGAGCAGTGTCTGGCCATCCAGGGAGATGTCACTAGTGAGGAGATGGTGTTAGATCTGTTTCGACAGACCATAAGCCGTTTTGGTTAGTTTTCTCTAGACCTACAACCGTCACGTTTCTCAGTTAAGACCGTAGGTCGGCTTGATTTACTGTTCAATGTAAAGTCTGCGGACGTTGTATACGTCCTGTGCCGACTAATTCATGATGGCAGAATGCTGGCATTAGCGCTCCGCAAATCCCGATCGAGGAGCTGACCCTCTCGCAATTTGAGCAAGTGGTCAATGTCAATCTGGTCGGGACCTTCCTCTGCACACGCGAGGCAGTGAAGATCTTCAAGAGCCAGACACCCCAGGGCGGTACGTGCACCGTGTTGTCCATTATCGTATGGCAAGTTTTCATTAAACATTAAAAAAACATCTAGGACGTATCATCAACAACGGGTCAATCTCTGCATACACCCCTCGTCCGCACTCTACTCCGTACACATCGACCAAGCATGCCGTGTTGGGCATGACAAAATCGACCTTACTGGATGGACGAAAGTTTAACATCACTTGCACGCAGATTGACATCGGTATGCCCCTCCGACTCATTTAGACCTCCATGACATTGAACAGCATCCCATCGCACTAGGAAACGCACAAACGGACATGGCCGGGAGCCATTCGGACGGGGCGATGCAACCCGACGGACGAATAGTTCCCGAGCACATGATGGACGTGAAGCATGTCGGAGATGCGGTCGCGTACATTGCAGGACTCCCACACGAAGTGACAGTCCTCACCTTCAACATAATGTGAGACAATGTACCGCATGCGTGAGTTTCGTGCATCCTAACAAAATCGTTATCACAGGGCCACTAGGATGCCGTTTGTCGGAAGGGGATGACGGATCGAAAGGCTCAATGCATGTGCATATTAAATCGAAATTATACCGGTTGCAAGCAGCAAGTCATCATAATGTTTGTCGCACCGACGGTCAAGTTTTCTTGGTGTGCTTATTCACTCTGCGTTGACCATTAACAGATTGCATATGAGTTGTAATAATAGTTCAGTAGGCTATCAGCTTAGTCGGAATGAAACGCTTTGTAAGTGGCTCTTCAAGCGGAGCTTAAACATAATGTACGATACCAACCAATCGGAGACTCAACAATTCGTCATCTCCTGACCGAATCTCTCCGAGAGCATCGTTTCTGTCGGTGACGAGCTCTTTCTCTCAACGGTTTTGATGGTTTCAAGAACGCTCTCCGTCTCGCTCGGGCGTGCAGTCCGCACAGCACGCGCACAGGTGAGCTTCCCGAAAGCACTACTTTGGGTGCCGTCGACCAAAACTTCCACCGATTCTTAGCGACCGCTGCGGTCGTTTGCGACGGCGGTGAATGTACCCAGCCCCATAACCCTGACTACGACTCTCTCTAACGGTCTGACTGTCGCGACCGAGTCGCATTCTCATGCGCAAACGGCCACCGTCGGCGTCTGGATCGACGCGGGTTCGCGCGCAGAGACAGACAAGACGAACGGCACGGCGCACTTCCTGGAGCACATGGCATTCAAGGGCACGAACCACCGCACCCAGCACGCGCTCGAGCTGGAAGTGGAAAACCTCGGCGCGCACCTGAACGCTTACACTTCGCGTGAGCAGACAGTCTACTACGCGAAGAGCTTCCGCAAGGACGTCGGCACCGCGGTGAACATCATCAGCGACATCCTTCAGAACTCGAAGCTGGACACCACTGCGATCGAGAGAGAGCGTGACGTGATTCTGCGGGAACAGCAGGAGGTGGATAAGCAAATGGAGGAGGTTGTGTTCGACCACCTGCACTCGGTCGCGTTCGCTGGTGTGTTCAGCCCGACATCACGGCTTAAGTATACATAGACACTGATCTTTCGGCGATTTTCTCACAGGCCAGCCCCTTGGTAGGACTATTCTTGGTCCCAAGGCCAACATCTTATCCATCAATCGGGACGACCTCGCGTCGTACATCAAGACAAACTATACCGCCGACCGGATGGTGCTCGTCGGCACGGGTGGTGTCAACCACGAGGAATTAGTGAAGCTTGCTGAGAAGCACTTCTCAGCTCTGCCCGTGTCCTCCAACCCCATTCCCCTTGGCCGCCTCTCGCACCCGAAGACCAAGTTCGTCGGACAGGAGGTGCGTATCCGGGATGACTCGATGTCCACGGCACACATCGCCATCGCTGTGGAGGGTGTTGGCTGGAGCTCGCCCGACTACTTCCCGATGCTTGTTATGCAGTCGATCTTCGGCAACTGGGACCGCTCATTGGGCGCTGCTGGGCTCATGTCTTCTCGCCTATCGCACATTGTCTCGTCGCACAACCTCGCGAACAGCTTCATGTCGTTCTCGACGTCCTATTCGGACACTGGTCTCTGGGGTATCTACCATGTGACGGAGAATTACATGAACATGGACGACCTCGCACACTTCACGTTGAAGGAGTGGACGCGCATGTCGATTGGGCCGACGGAAATTGAGGTTGAGCGAGCAAAGAGTCAGTTGAAGGCGAGCTTGCTGCTCAGCCTTGATGGCACCACTGCGATTGCGGAGGACATTGGACGACAGCTCGTCACCAGCGGCCGCCGCATGACGCCCAAGCAAATTGAGCAGGCTGTCGATGCGGTTACGCCAGAAGAGATCAAGCGGGTGGCGCAAAAGTATCTCTGGGATCAGGATGTGAGTATGCTGATTGCTCATGCCAAGCGAGGCTAACGATGTCTCCAGATTGCTATCGCTGCTATTGGGCCGATTGAGGGTCTCCTGGATTACAATCGCATTCGTGCGGACATGTCATCATTGCTTTACTAGTTTTGAGGCGTGGTGAGCATGATCTGACTCTTCGTAATCTACAGTATACCTGACGGGACAGACGATGTACGCTTAGGAATAGACGTAAAATTAGCTGTTACATCCACTTCGTTGTCTGTGAACTACGGCAGAGGGATTAATACTCCAAACGCGCGCCACCTCTACCTTCAAGGGCTGACTGCATCCAGACAATAGTTAATCTGTGCTGTGTGCTCGCCGCCAAGTTTGGCTTGCCCGTCTTGTCGATCTGGTAGCCACATTCTTTTCAGCTGCTATCGAAGCTGTCGCAAGTCGTAGATCATGAAGACTTCCACAGGATTCCGCACACGATTGTGAGTCCGTTGTTGCAATCGACAGTACTCGTGATTTCGCTAGGCGTGGCTCGCGACCTTGAAGAACATGTCCGCAGTTGGCGTGAAACCTGCATTTCGTAGCGTGGAAGACCGTCTGCCCAGGGCATGTTTTGAAGCCGGTTTCCGGCTCGAAATGCCTACGCTATTGAGAGATCCAGTTTATGACTACTCTATCAGACGGTTTGTGATGAAGTGTAGGAGATTCATGTCAGACATCATGCATCATTCTTCGTCGCACTCGGGAGGCGCGAGTCTCTATGCATCGCTCAGACCGCTGTCTTCTCGCAATCTGCATGTGCAGTCTAAAGGCTCGCACAGTGCTCATAATTACAAGGATGGGCACACGAGAAGTGCGAGTCGGACTCATGCGATTGGCGGTCGGGTGATCTTCCCTATATGGAAATGTCGGTTGACCGGCAATTACAACACCTTATTACTTGGCCTATATGTAGGGCCTTCTTGCCACTACCCCGCATTCCGCTCCGCCGAAACTACCTCAAGATGAGACCCTCAGCAGTACGCTTGCTCAACATTCTGGTGCCCATCAAAAGGCACGTCGTAGCCTGTGGGTGGGGCGGAGAAACGTGGCTAACACGGTCATTGCAGGACGGTTGACTATGCGGTGAAGGTCCGCGTGAATCCCGACCAGAAGGGCGTCGATCTCAATGTCAAGCATTCCATGGTGTGTTTGCACTTGCTTTCAAGAGTCCATCGTCTTGAACGCGTAGACTCTCTCAGAATCCATTTGACGAGATCGGTCCGTATGCTGTGGCACTATGTACCATCGGGACATCGCCTATTGACATGATACCTTCACAGCCATTGAGGAGGCTGTGCGGCTTCGGGAACGTCTGAAGGACCAAGTGAAGTCTATTAAAGTGGTAACGATTGGTCCTTCAAAATCAGCGGAGACCCTTCGTACCGCGCTCGCCATGGGTGCCGACTCGGGCGTCCATGTCGAGATTCCAGACTCCGCCCCCGCCCCCGAACCTCTGGGTATCGCGAAGGCTTTGCGTGCGGTGATTGAGCGCCAGAAGGAGGGCGTGGATCTGGTGATCATGGGCAAGCAGGCAATCGATGACGACGCAGGTCAGACGGGGCAGATGCTTGCGGGTATTATGAACTGGGCGCAGGCGACGTTTGCAAGCAAGGTTGACCTGGACGTTGAGAAGAAGGAGGCTACTGTTATGAGAGAGATTGATGGTGGACTGGAGGAGCTGCGCTGCCGTTTACCTCTCGTCGTTACTACAGATCTTCGGTGAGTGTTCGAGGTGTCCGACAGTAGCATGTTGCTGATTGTGGGTACAAATGCAGCCTTAACGGTGAGGGTTAGCGTTTCGAAACGCTGAAAACCTAGCTGACTCGTGTCCAGAGCCACGATACGCGTCATTGCCTAACATCATGAAGGCGAAGAAAAAGCCAATCGAGAAATTGACACCTGCTGACCTTCAGGTCGACCTCACTCCACGATTGGAGACGGTGAAGGTTACGGAGCCTCCTAAGCGTGCTGGCGGCGGAAAGGTATCGTTTTGCGAAGATCGTTTTCCATTCGTGGACTAACTGTTCAAATAAAAATAGGTTTCGAGCGTGGACGAATTGATTGTGAAACTTAAGGAGGCAGGCATCACTGCGGTGTCATCCTAAGAGGTGCAGACTACTGCTTCGTAGCTGGTGGTCATCCTTGCGTATATGTGTGATGTGGTGGCATCATGGAATCACTATGTGTTATCATCGCATGCATGAATGCAATGTTGTGCACAACCCTGCACTCGACGAGTAGTTTCTAAATATACACGTGGCCGTCGGAAATCATGCCTTTTGATGCTTTGCGGTACGGATCGCTAACCGCAGTCGTTCCAATGATCCGCTCCCAACGTTTCCAGCAGCCAGCCACCATCGCTTCGTCCCGCGCTCGGCTACCTGTACGTGACGCCCATGTCAACTACGAGACATTTCATGTTCCGCACCGATTCTCCTTGGCCATACTTAGCCTTCCGTTGCCTCCATATGAGAGCGTGGATCCTATCCAATAAGTTCTCAGGAATTCGGAAGTCGCTCCCACAATTACGAATTGACGAGAAGAGTAGTGCGGTCAGCGCACCCACCTAGCTTACACCCGCCCACCGTGCGTCTCCTTTCTTAGCGCTATGGACAACCCAGTCGAGAGACAGTTGGCGGACAGCGCGCAAAGTATGGGCATCCCGGCGTCGCCACCGCCATCATGCACCACCCTGAACCCAAATTCGCGCCACAAGGGCTCTCGCGAGAGGGGAGACTCGCCTGCAGAGCCGGATGAAGACCACATGCCTCCTGAGCAGGAGACAGAGACACCACCAGAACCGAGCGTTTCAGGGACCAACGGCTCGCAGAGGAAGGGGAGGAGGAGAAGGAAAGGGCTGGAGCTGCTGTGGCACAAGCTCGATCCAGCATGGACGTTGGAGAACTCGGGAAGCGTTGCACGCGACCACTTGGCATCCGAACGGACATTCCTTGCATATGTGCGGACAAGTCTCGCGATAGCATCTGCGGGAGTCGGTGCGTCCCAGACATGATGCTGGCTTTTGGTCTACTGAACGGGTCTACATCATAACAGCCCTGGTGCAGCTGTTCGCCATTGCCGGAGCCAGCAACGCTGCACTGGCGAGGTACTCGCGGCCACTCGGTGCAACAATTGTCATCATCGGTCTCTGCGTACTCTTCCTCGGTGTCGCGCGATACTTCACGGTGCAATATGCGCTCGTGAAGGGCATGTTCCCTGTCGCCCGTGTCAGCAGTGTGCTGGTTGCCCTCGCGCTCTGCGCTATCATCACTGCTGTGTTCGGGATACTAGTTGGGAATAGAGGCTGAACTGCGATACTTCAGCTTTGCAGGGAAGACGATACCGAAACGTTTTACAGGCATTGGCAAATGCCTGGGGCATTACCTCATGGACCTCACATATCTTCATGACATCTGGGACCGTAACATGGCTCTACTTTAGTACACTATGAATAATAGTTTCTTTGGATTGATCTTCAAACTGGCGGACGACGCACATGCGGCTACCGTCGGTATGTGATCTAATTTCTACAGCTTTAAGCACCAATTTCGCTAGTTTCATCTAAATACAGATCATAGATTCCCGCCCAACCGGAACGTCGAGGAGATTGCATCCTGCACACCTTCCTGCAGGCCCACCTTGCTATGGGCGCCCCAGGAGGTCTCCACGTACACCACTCGACCATAAACTCCGTCAAACTCCTCCATCGTGCCAAAGGCAGGCACCTCTACTTTCCTGACCAACGCAGTCCGTGCTTCCTTGCGCTTGGCCTGCGCCTCGGTGAACGCCGTAAAGCGCTCGTGGGATATTGGTTTCCCAGGCTCGAGCGGGAGCGGGACTTCAGGCGGGAGAAGGGGGCCGAGCAGATGGTCCAGAAGCGTGCGGGAGTGGGAGTGCGGGACCTCCATATCGCTAGTCGAGTGTGCGATCAGCGTTGGCACGTTGAACTCCTGTGAAACGTCAGATAATTCGAAAGCGCTCCAGCCGGTGGGATCACTCACTCGAATGACTGATAGCGTATCATATGCCTCACGCGCGAGGCGTTTAATGAGCTCTGTGCAAGCCAATGTGAACAAACCTCTCGAACAGTGAGCCGAAAATGAACGCTCACTTCGCCCAAGAGCAAAGTTCTGCAAGGGCTGCAGCAACGGGACGCCAAAGAGGTCGTATGTCTCTATCAGCGCGGAGACGCTGGAGAATGGCGCAATCAGCACGATTCCTCTCGGCTTCACGTCTTCTCTCGCCAATTGCGACCCCAGTTTGCTCGCTACACCAGTGCCTAAGCTGTGCCCAATGATGAGCACGTCTTGTGGCCCAGCGCCGTGGTCCATGAGCCAGTTCCACGCTGTGTATGCATCGATCGCGAGGCCAGGTTCGGACGGTATGCCTGCGCTGTCCCCGAAGCCGCGGTAATCGATGGCGAAGATATTCGCTTGCATGCGAGCGGACCATGCAATGTAGTGCTGAATGCGCCAGGTCGTCGAGCGGGACCCAGCAGCACCATGAAAGTAGAGGATCGTGGGGCCAGCATTGATTGCTTCCTCCACTGTTGAGAGGGATGGTTGCGAAGACAGGTACGGTGATGGATGTGAGCGCCGACGCTGTTGATAAAACGGATCCGCAAGGATGAACCATGCACCGAGGGTGACATTATCAGACGTTGTTAGGTTGAGGTTGAGAGTCTTGCCCGCTAGAGCATCGGTGCAGGTGAATGAGTGATCCAACAACCAATGAACACGACTGCCACACAGTTACTGGGTGCCATGCTCCAGCTCTTCATCACCACATCGTGACGCTATAGCAGATCTATTATCACAAGAGGTACTCACGGGCGAGTCCATACCTTTCCGGAACGTCAAACGTGGTGTGCCATGGCTCCGTGATGGCATGCTGATAAGAGACACTGGGACCAATACGTGAGACACGAGTTTGAAATCGAATAATAATGTAGGACGTACTGTCGCTGGATGAAAGGATGCGCAAGAAGGACGACCACCACCACGTATAAGATAGTAGCATAGAATGCGAACTTGTGTGCGCGAGCAAGGAAGCCCAGGCTGGGACGAGTGGAGGGTCTAGTGTCTGCCATCACACAAATCCATCCAGCACTAATTTGATGCTAATCAGAGCTTGAATCTGCAGCAGATTGACAGTCAAATAGAACAAATCTCAAGCAACGGTGGGCAGGATCAGTGAGGCATAGGGCGATGGCGCTGCCACAATTTATGATATTCACCGTGACCGCTTTCCACGATAATATTGTCAGCATGCTCGCTTCCTCTTTTCGAGATATCTAGCTCGCCTCCTCTCTAACATGGAACTGCGCGTAATGGACTATCAAACGGTGACCAGCTGATCAACACTCGTGCCGACGGCGTTTCCACCGCTCTTAGCCAGCTCCACTGACCAGCCTGAGCTGACCAGCAACGGTGGCTTTCTTTGCGAATGCTGCGACCGCTTGCAGGAAACTGGCTGCTCCGAACAAGGTTGCGGGCTCATTTATAGATGGCTGACTCACGACATACCTTTGGTTCTGCTCCAGACGGAGCACGAGCTGATGCTCACGCATACTTGGAGAAGGGGAAAATGTCCTGCACACCTGCGTCCAAATCTCCATCTCTTACGCTCCGTACCAATGACCAGGGCAGGGCAGGCAGGCTGCTGCAACGCCTCGGACGTATCAGAGTGGGAACAGGAATCATACGTGATGTGCGTTCTCGTGCACCCTACTATCTCAGTGACTGGACGGATGCCTGGAACTATCGCGTGGTGCCCGCAATTGTCCTCATTTTCTTTGCCAAGTAAGTCTCATTTTGCAAGTTGTCGCTGGGAGGAGTGGCGAAGTATCCTCTGCTCTAACATAACATTACTCATATGCATCCATAGTGTTCTCCCAGGCATCGCATTCTCGCTCGATCTCATAGAAACAACGAATCAGTATGGGGTATCGGAGGTGCTACTTTCCTCCTTTATGGCTGCGTTCATTTTCTCCATCTTCGGCGCGCAGCCGCTCTGCATTGCTGGTGTCACAGGCCCTATCACTGTTCTGAACAAGACAATATACAACATCATAGAACGGCAACCTGACGCCCCAAACTACTTGCAATTCGTTGGATGGGTGTATCTATGGGGTGCTATACTGCACTGGATAACAGCAGCCCTCAACTGTGAGTGACCATGTTATGCATCTTATAGCATTGCGGTTGATCACTCTCAAGGGTGCAACTTCTTGCAATACGTTACATTGTTCTCTTGCGACACCTTTGGCTTCTACGTTTCCTGGGTGTATCTGCAATATGGAGTGCAAGTCGTCACACGAGAATTTCCTTCTACTTCGGAGCCCTCGGACACCCTAGACGGTGCCTTCGTTGGCATCATACTTGCTCTACTAATGCTCGTCGCGTCCTTCTTGTTCCGTAGCCTGTCACAGTCTGCGTACTTTCACCGCCATGTGCGCCGATTCTTCGCCGACTATGGGATGCCGATATCGCTTGTGGCCTCTTCCGCCATGGCGTACTGGGGTCGCCTCGACGCTTCCCACCCAAGCACGCTGCCGACCGGTCGTGCATTTCAGCCTGCGAATGGCAGGGCCTGGCTAGTCCGCTTCTGGGAACTGGATGGCAAGTGGGTCGGCATCGCTTTCCCGTTTGGTGTCGTATTGTGGGTGCTGTTCTTCTTTGACCACAATGTCTCAGTAAGTGTTGCATGCTTTCGTCATCGCTGTGTCCGTTGAGAGCCTGTTCTAGTCCCTCATGGCCCAAGGTACTGCGTTCCCGCTACGGAAACCGCCCGGTTTCCATTACGATTTCTTCCTGCTTGGAATCACAACCTTCATCGCTGGGCTACTCGGCTTACCTGCACCAAATGGCCTGATCCCTCAAGCTCCCATTCATACAACCTCTCTGCTCATCATGGGACACCCGGAGAAGAAGGACGTGGAGGAAGACCAGAATAGACAGTCGTTTAACCGCTCAGTACGTCAAGAGAAACGCCGCGTCGCGGTCCAGGAAGACGAGGAGGTGCAGCGTGTCACGTCGCGGCGATCGTTCTTTGAGCCAGAGCTAGAGCCGGATCCTACACGATCTCGGGATGGGGATGGGGACGTGCGGCGGAATGAGATCCCCATTGCTGTCGTTGAGCAGCGTGCCTCGAACCTCGCTCAAGGAGCGCTGTGCCTCGTCTTGTTGACGCGCCCTTTCTTGCATGTGCTGCACCTGATCCCGCGAGGAGTACTGGCGGGTCTGTTGTGAGTTTGTCGTCGATGTGCTGAGCGATGCGGTACTAACTTTCGCGGGCTTCAGCTGGTACATGGGTGCAGATGCATTGCAAGGGAATGGTATCACGCGCAAGATACTGTATTTCTTCCAGGACAAGGCACTCACTCCGGCAGACGAGCCCCTCCGCAAGGTTCGCAAGTCGCGCATCCTGCTGTTCGTCGCGGTGCAGCTCGCTAGCTTCGGGGCTACGTTCGCCGTCACGCAGACCATCGGTAAGTCAGCGACTCACCCTAGCCGGGGCTCTCAAACTCATTGTTCGTAGCTGCAATTGGCTTCCCTGTAATCATATTCATGCTGATACCCTTGCGGACGCTGGTCATTCCCCGATTTCCGTTTACTGCCGAGGAGTTAGCGATACTGGACGGGCCCACTGCGTCTCCATTTGTGAGTACGAGTGCTTTCGTTGCCGCATAACAAGGGCGGAGAAACTCATGGAAAAGATGTTTCCTTCCCCAGACGATGGAGTCCGTTGGCGGAGCAAATTGATATGCTTGGTATAGAGTGCGGTTGCACGCTCCAGGCTACCGTCGTAATCTTCCGTGTTAATTGCGTAAGACTGTCGCTGTCCACATGCTGTATCTTTCCGGACTTTCTTGGTGCGGCCATACAGTGAAAGCCACGAGCACAGCAGTCAGTCCTTAAGTCTGGGGCGTCTAAGGTATCGTTCGCACATGCAATCTATGATCGAACAGAGAATAAGTAACTTCCCCATTCTGAACTACATCAGTGTATTGCCGTCATTCAGGACGCCTTCCTTAGCATAAATTAGCGGCGCGAACGATTTACCCGTCGCGAACCAGCGCGAACCGTCAGGAGCACGAAACAATATGACTCGCACGAAGTTAAAAAAAATCTATCGCTTGCATATTCAATTGCAAAGTCAGAACATCCATAATGACGAGACAAAATCACCGCAGACAAGGGGTCAAAGATACAACACCGTCTTTCTTCAACACAACACCCGCTTTCCGAGCTTTTGCGATGTATTTCTTGAGTCCTGGAACGCCGGCCTCTGCATAGATCATTGGAAAATGTTGCGTGATAATTGACTGCAACTCCGAACGCTCGACCCCAGGGAAACCTTTCTGCATTCGTTCCTTTAGAATCTGGACCAAAGGCCTAAAATGAGATGGCACGTTGGTCTCAAGTTCCATCTTGGCCTTCCGTTTCTTATCTGACAAGTGCTCAGCCAGAAAGGCTTGGCATTGAGCAGAAACAATTCACCTGTGAGGGAGATTGCAGCTTTGCTTTCACCGATCTTGAATGCATTAATCACCTCCTGTGTTCACCAGTGCGTGTTGAGATAGGTACGGTCTCAAATTGATCATCTAATACGCACATCAGTAGTCTTCAGTTTCTCGTGGGCCGCGACTTTGCCTGGGAGGGATTCGCCAGGAGTCGACTTGCATACCTAGAAATGGTATTCACGGTCAGTTCATCACAAACATGACATTGACAGTCACACATTTTCAGCGATCCCATCTCGCCATGTCCACACTTCGGTGGTCTGCGACATCATGTACGTCTGCTTTGTATTCGCAGGAGTGACCACGATCATCTTGTAGCCTCTGAGACTCAATTTTGACACAGCACCGAGATAACCCGAGTCCCCGGAGATCAGAACGATCGTCGCAGGAGGCGAATTGTCGAGTGCGAATTCGTAGAGATCGGCTGGCAACACAGTCAGAGTATACCGTATGACTTGGTGACGAATGACCTGTGACTGACTGATGATTCCTTTGTCCACCACCTCCCTCCGGCCCGCATGCGGACAGTCTATGAGATCAATTCCAAGTTCTCTCAATGCCGCTCCGAACGCGACCCCTTCGGAACTCTTTCGGAGAGTACTATCCATATACGCTCGTAAGGCTTTCACTGTCCCGTAAGTTTGTGCAAACGTGCATAGAGTGCGGACAATGGGCGAAGCTTTCACATTTGATGCCGGCAGCCCAACATTTTCTGGTACCACATACCGTCAGCACTAACTGAAACACGTTGAAGGCTCGATGTGGCATCAACATACCAAAATCCCAAAAAATCCCAACAGATTGCCGCTTCTGAGAATCGATAGCTGGCTCGGAGCGTGCGGCGTCTACTTCAATGCTGCCTTCCACATTCATAGGACTTGCAGGGATGCTAAAGGTTCGGAGACTACCTACATCGATGGCCGACAGATTGGTTCCTGATGAACGGGAGGAACGATGCCATAGAGGCATGGCTGCCGTGGCAACAGGAAACAGTCTGTGAATGCGACGCAGGCATCGCGAGTTGGAGCGGACGTTTGCGTACATACGAGGTTGTGTAAGAACTGGGCAGAGCCAGAGAAAGCGCACCAAAGCAATGTGACCCACGGAAGTCCGAACCATCTCCAGTATCTGTCACGCTGCCAGCAGGCGCTTCGGTATCGCCACCTGTTTCAACGAGGTGCTCTGTCCGGTCAGTATAAATGGCACGGCGGGCGCTTACATCTGTGCGGGCTGGGGGCGTCGGCGCTACTACATCCGCACGCCCAGGTCCGAATGACCTGAGAGTGTGTGTCTCTGGATCGGGAGCGGAGAGTTGAAGTTGTATGTAAGGATAGTACATAGGTCCGCCAGTTACATTATAAAAGATTACAAGGAGTGGGGCATATTGTAACTAGAGCATGTTATCGGCTATGAAACATTGACACGCTGTGCGACGAGGCGAGCACATGCCGCGCATGCTCGCTCACCTACAGCATCTGGGGAGAAACCGGAACACCACTCCCTCACTATGTTAGCCATTACTTAAAGGAATGGGTTGTGAGGACGCACGCTTCACCAATGGCACAGCTTTCGCGGCGGGTGTAATCGCAGAATGCGAAGAAGCACTTGAGACATGAAACGGGAAGCTGGCAACGAGTGCAGGTTCCAAAGAGGCAGCATGTTCGAAGACAACGGAGCCACAGTATTATAAGCGAGCACCATCGGCAACACCATGGGGAGTTGATGGTAGTTCGCATGCAGCGAATACGTTAGAGCAAACAGCAGTATCCCCTTTGGACAGACGAGGGGATGGTCCAAACACGACAGACACGCGGGCGAGACGACGGCAATACACACAGACAGCAAGATGTGGGCGGGACACACGGCCAAGCGAGAAACAGCATGAGGAGAACGATAAATGGTGGACAGTGTAACGTGACGACGGACAGACGACGAGGAAGACGGCCGCACGAAGACAAGGAACGAAAAAGGGGTCGAGGAAGGGCGGGGATCGATCCCCCGCCACAAGCGCGCAAAACGGGGTACGCATTCAGCCGAGTGACATACTTGCTCTCTATGAAGGGTCATTCGGAATCTGCGATTGAGATACCGGGTGACTGACAGACGGTCCCATACATGCTGTGGATGGCGGAGAGCCAGAAGCATTCATAGCCACGTTTTGCCCAGTTGTGCTGTTTATACTGTCATATTGCACCAGAACACCATCGGTGGTCCGTAACAGGATAGGCTCACTTCCATTCTTACCTGAGCACTCTGAACAGATATCATCATTGCAATCCTCCGCAGCGAGCAGACATGCGTGGGAGCCATGCAGAATGAGATCAACTTTGTCATTAGCGCACAGCACTTTGACAGGAGACTGAGTTCGATCAATACTTACGAGCCTCTTCGTCGTTCAAACTCATACTCATCATGCAGGTTAACCACGAGACATCATTGACTCGATATTGTAGGCATTGAGCAGAACCGGGCGCCGCTTTGATGGCAGCTAGATTTCTGTGAGAATAAGCGGCGTTGAACGTGATTTTGGTGCGGGGAGTATCCCGGTTCGTTGAAATCGCTCACTTCCGCTCGGCATTGCACGATTATAAGCTGATTGATTGCTTGTTCGCAATATCTGTCGCTTATATGAGAGGAAAGCGTGATGTACCATGGAATTTCCTCTGAGGCATTCCCAACAGGACGTTCCAGAGAATATTCAAGGGTACGTCGTGCCTTCCGATTATCTAGATAGACAAAGAATGATGACGTTGTGGGAGCTCATCAAAGGGCAGACTTTGAGTACACGGAATAAAACGGGTTCATGCACGTGTGGGAAAGCGAATGAACTGCTGAAGCGCATGAGAAGATCATGAAAATCGGCTGCGTGGCTAGCTCACCTAAAACAATACCTGCTGCCATACTACGTGCTGTCGCTTGCATCGTCTTGTTTGTATCCACAAAGGTTTGGAGATCGACAACATCATGAACGTACTGTCGAGAAGGAAAGAGATTATGAACGTAATGATACAATTATATACAACTGGTTGAAAGCTAGCCCGGTCCGTGCGCAGAACCGTCATCGCTACTCGGAGTGTGAGCTCGGTGGTGTCTCAATGGGACGGTCAACTACGATCTCCTCGTAGTCGCTATTCTCGTGAAATACATCTGGAAAGGCCATTGTCAAGCACACACGCCGCCAAGAACCAGCAACGAGGTGATGTGTACTCACCGCTTCCCTCGCTCCCACCTTCATCCGACAGCTCCTCTGGGTAGTCATTCTTGTACCAATCCTCAGCTGGACGAGACATCAGCATGAGCTCAAGGCATTTCTCACAAAATGGTGAATACCGTTTGAGTCTTCATCATCAGTATCGCCAACCTCCGACTCGGTATCCGAGTCATACCACATCAGCTCGTCCGGTACGTCAGTCCTGTTAGACCCAATCAATTTCGAACATCCACATCCAGATTCACATCTGAGATTGCATACAATCTGCCAATGTTGCTGACGCTCGTGGACGGCTGATAGAGCTCCTGGAAAGTCGTCGGCCTCTGATAGAAGACATCATAAACATAGTCGCTCTCGTCAATGGTCGCCGGAGGTACAGTCTTGGTCGGAGACGGAGGAACAACCGCCTTGTCATCCACTTCTCGCATAATAATCAATCTGATGTCGAACCACGAAAATATGAATCGTACACTTGAGATAATCTTGGAGTAGGGGTAGAAACTTCGCTACCTCTGAGTCGATATTTGGTGCCGCAGACGGTTCGGACGGAAGTGCGGATGAAGAAGGGATGGCATCATACATGGTGACTTGCGCGTGCTTTAGAGCCTCAAGCTCCTTTGTAGACCACACCTTCGGACTGGAAATGGTTGAATATTGCTCCATGAGAGGCTGAACATCAACGTACGGTGCAGCAGGCACTCTGCGTCGCTTACTAAAGGGCGGCTCAGTCAACGGTGCTTCACGCCGGATGATCGTGTATTTGCGTCCAAAAGTGTCCCGCGGCGGACGAAGAGGTGTGGCAGGCGAAGGCGTGGCGGTGATTCCGGCCGCTTGCTCCACGATTGCAGGTGCAGAGACGGAGCTGGAAGGTAACTCTCCCTGCGCTGACTGGCGTGCTAGAATGGTCAAGCGAGTCTACAAACATTGAGTTGTGAGTGTTATGCGCCACAACCTATAGGAGAATAGGCATACTTCAAGATCCTTCTTCTTCTGGTTGTCGTCCCAAGCACCCTGTTCGACCGTCTCTGCGAACTTGAAGAAGTTCAGCGTACCGCGAGACCGTTTCCTTCGTGGACGGAGCTCCTGGTCGACGACTATACTTCATGGCAATCTCCAACAGAGTTGATCGTCAATAATGCATACCTAGACCATCAAGAGGCTCTTCATTACGCTTGCGCTTGATACGGAGTATCGCGTAGAGACGCTCCGACTGATCCTGCTGTGTTCGTTCAACTTGCATGTTGCCGCTTTGGATTCTGGGGCTTTCACTTGAGTACCGACAGTGACGGAGAGAATGGTTGACGTTGGAAAAGGACGCGCGCACCGGAGAAACGCCTCGAACGTCGCGTTTCTACGTCACATGACCGATGCTGGGTGTGGCCATGCGCGCAGGCAAGCGACAGTCGGCCACTTCAGCTTCAAATCTAGCCTGCTTGGATGATATCCGGACGCTGCATACAGAGTAGACATGGTCGGTCTGCCCAGAAGGAGTCCCGCGTGCGATGAGAGCAAGAGCTAAAGACGTTGATAGGCTATGGTCAGTCGAGCCACCCGGCGAGGATTATTTATCAGACAGCAGTGCCGCGTATGGCTGTACTCGTTGCAGACCATCGACCGCAATATTTATTCGGTAAGGTACCAAGCGTATTTGGGTATAGTTCGGGATGATTGCTAGAGTATCTGTGTTGTGAATCAGTATGTTATCGCGGAGAAACCACTCTGGCTACAATGTGAACTAAGGGACATCTAATGCAGACCACGGTCGCAGGCACTCGTGTATTTCTGCGTAATGGCTACAAGATGTGGTGGAACAATATGACTACAGGGCTGTGTGCTGATGAAAACGACAATATTGCAAGGGACAACAGTTACCTTGGAGAAACAAAACAGACAACCCAGGTTATAAAAACGCGAAGACACCCAAAGATGTCTAAGTACTACTACAGATCCTCGTGGTTCCTGTCGAGTTTCCTCAACCAACCACCGACTTCCCAGTTGCAGCTCGGGTGATAAACGTCCTTCCCTCGCTGTACGGTATCGACAACCCCCCTAAGAATGATTTTCAAACGCTTGAAGTCAATTGGCTTCAAAATCCACCCGTCAAAGCCCAGCTTGAACAATTCTTCACGTTGGTCCTCAAATAATGAGGCCGAGACTGCGAAGATAGGTATTCGTCCATTCAGCTTGTGAGATGTTCGGCTAAGGATGTGTTCTCGCGTCCGCTCCATACTACGAATCCGCTCGGTCGCTTCGAATCCGTTCAGCAGCGGCATCCTACCCATGATCAGTCAACATCAAGTCACGAAGAACGTCGAGCATTCGTACTGAATGTCCATCAGAACGCAATCGAACTCCCAGTCCGACTCCAGCATCTCGACGCCCTCAATCCCATTTGTTGTATTGACAACGTTATGGCCGTCGAGCGACAGACGTTTCGCCAGGATCATCCGATTGATATCGTTGTCCTATCGAATCGTAAGCAGAGAGCGACCACATGACGATGGAGTTCGTACCTCAACAATCAACAAACGAAGCTTCGTGCTGACCTCATTATCAGAGCGTGCACTGCGGGAGGTGGAGCTCATTGGACCGGACTTGCGAGCACTTGCCGAGAGTTTCGGCAGCGGAGACGTCTGGTTGTGCTTCCTGTGTGTTGTGACATTCGAGCTGGTTTCGCTGAGCAGAGATCTCGATAGAGATTCGGCCGGAGATGCCTCTGTTCTTGTATCAAGATCGTCGCCTGTAGCCGTCTTCGGCGCATTCTCCGAGCCAACAGTTCCCCGCGGTCTGTCGTGTCCTTTCCGTGAAGGAATGCCAGCATTTGCTGTTCGAAGTCCGGAAGGCTCCTCTGTCGCAATAGCCATCCCATCGCCCACTCTATGATGTGCGAAGGCTTCCACAAGATTATTGATCTCATTGCCGCGGTTATCACTGACGTCGTCCCGCGACTGCAGTGCGGACGTAGATGAGGGGGAATAAGAATCCGATGTCGTCTGGCCTTCTGGTTCCGTGGCGAAGGGAATCAAGAAGGAGAAACAGCTCCCTTCGTCCATCTGTGAATCGACGCGCAGCTGTCCTCCTAGCTGTTCCACAATGCGTGCGACCACCGCTAACCCAAGCCCTATCAAACAAGCAGCTCTGAACGGACCAGTTCCAAGTATAATATCTGCGAACGTACCTAAACCCTGCGAATTCGCCTTTGGCGATGCGCTTTCTACCTGCTCGAACTCCCTGAATATACATTCTAGCTTCTCCGCAGGAATGCCGCAGCCGGTATCTGAAACGACAATCTCCACCGCGACGTTCTGCGCATCACGAAGACCAACAGGTTCGTCGTATGTATGGCATTGCACAGAAATCGATCCTCGTTGGGTATATTTCACTACAGCAGCACCTTCGTCACCAGCAACATGCAAAATAATTTGATGTTACGCACGAGCATTTGCAGTCAGATTCGAAACCACCGTCCGTATCTTTCTTGCATCACCAACAACCATCCTAGGACAAGTCGACACGTCCACCTTGAAGCTGAGCCCTCTGCGGGTAGCCTCGTTCCGGTATAGGAGGGTGGCATCTTCGATCGCGTGGTGCAAATCGAACGCTTCGTTGAACGATGTTTCATGACCACTCTCCAAGCGAGTGAGATCCTGCGAGTCGCACGATACTTGCTCCAGCTTCGACAATCGGCGTAAATCGAGCAGACGTACCAGCAAGTCATTGATCGTAAATAACAAGCTCTACGATCCGTTTAGATACTGATGAATCCAGGGACAACGGATATACGTACTTTCGATGCAGCATGAGATTGACTCAAGTTTTCCCGAGTCTCGGTATCCAGCGAACCATTAAGGGCCAATTCCAAATAACTAAGAGCCATCATTAGAAATGGCTGAGGCCAGAGATTGCAGAATACATACTTTATGATATGATTCAAAGGAGTGCGAACTTCGTTTTCGCGGAAGTCTCATTTAACATTCCACAGATAACACGTTACGGAGCTTCTCACCTTCGTGACTAGCATTCGAAAGCAATAGATTCGTCAACTTCGTGGTTTGCAGCGCGCTCTCTTTTTGCCTCCAGACCTCGATGAACTAACGATGAAGATGAAATCAGTTTCTCACACGAAGGTAAAGATGATAACCAACCTTGCCATACACAAGGGCCAACACGCCTGCCGTCTCCAAGTGTTCATCAGTCCATGCCCGACAGCGCCCAGCCACTGTCTCTGACCACATCCGGAAAGATGCTCGCGGTTCCAACACGCTCTGCTGTTCATCGTCCTTGTAAGGCCGGCCCGCCCATCGAACCTGACGTGGCTGGCCCTTTCGCAGAAAGGCAATGAAGTCTCTGCCTCCTGCCGACAAAGGTACATATAGCAGACCGGCAATGACTTCCAGCCCTGTAGACAGCTGCAAGTCAGGATAATCTTGCGTGACGGCTTGTGATACTTGGATGGTGCTGCAATAGATGATGAGAGAAGCGACTAAAGCAGATCACAAGCTCCTTACTCGAATTGCTTGAGGCGCAAGTATTCTGCCACGATCAAGATCTCTTGGCCGTGTTGCTTGGGTCCCAGAATCTTGGCGCCCTCGCCAATGACCAACACGCCGTAGTCAGCATCGAACAGGCCGAGCAGATCATCTGCATCGGAGACAATGTACCCGGTTGGGTGTTGGTCCGATGGCACAGTATTGATCTTAAACGTTGCAAGTGGTGAATATACATTCGGCTTTCGGAGTGGGCATCTCGACGTACCAGTTTTCGCGTATGGAGACGTTGCGCATAACTGAGTCGCTCGACGTTGCGCGATATAGACTGGCTCAGCAGTCGGAGCATCTGGCGGACAGGGAAGGATACTCGCATGCCGTGCGATCCATATGAGTGACATGCGACAAGTCCCCAGAGTTGACCGAAGGCAGTGATCGACTACAAGGATATAAGCTAGGACATGGCATGCATGGGGGCGCAACACTTACCATGGACATGGATGCACGGACGCCCATGTTTTCTAGGTCTAAGTACACACATAAGACGTCAATCCATTGAAGAGCAATAATCACGGACATTTCAAGTGAATGGGGCTCATTGCGCGCAAGTAACAGTGGGTCATATCCTGCGAAAACATGAAGCTTCCAAAACCACGACTACGAAATACTTACGAGTGGTGTTTCGAGGTCCTTCTTGCTTCTGACCACCAAGCGAGCCGTAGGCTGGCTCCGGTCGTATAGGAGACGCACTTTATCTGTCATTTTCGCAACCATTCAACAATACCATTCGGTCGTAATTGAGGCAGCACTCACTCAAAGCATACAAATGGCGTGCCTGGTCGTCTTTCAGCGTCGGATCTTCTGGACCTAATGGGACACCTACCTGTGCTGGAATGTCAGAGGCGGGGAAATGCAAACCTCGATAGAGCTCGTGCGTCTGACTCCAGTCTAATAGCTCCGCCACAACCCGCCCATTCCACAGCTCATCGAATTGATACACAAGCACGCGGTGGAACTGCGTCAGATCCTTGATCACGCCTGCGACAACTTTAAGGAACGTATCAAGGTCAGGCGCCGATCCAAGCTGTTCGTTTATCTGCGCCATCACCGCGAAGATGTCCATCATGCCTACCGCACCCGTCCCGCGACGTCTGCGCGATGCCCCTCGACGGAAACTGCCCTGCCCCTCAGAGATCGGCGAATCGCTACTTGAGATATTCCGACGTGTGCGTCTGAGGCGTTCGAGGGCCAGTAGAGGCTTCGCGCGACTGGTAGTACTTTCAAAGATATCTTCCGGACTTGGCATCCAGGCCGCTGCGCCAGAGAAGCCGTACGCAGAGGTCTCCTGTGATGGCGTCGGCGAGACTCCTGGATAGCTTGATGACACAGAAGGATCGCTGCTGGGGATACGACTAGGAATTAGATCGTCCGGAGTGATGATCCGGTCTTCCGAGCTTGACGTCGAAACTAACGTTCGCCCAGAGCTGTGAGTACCCGCGTTAGACCCATCTGATGGAGAGGAGATGCCGGACTGAAAAGTGCCCTCCCCTCCAGTGGCTGGCGGGTATAGTGGGTTGAGAGCATCCCTCTCGAGCTCGAATTCCAGAACGATGAGGTTATGATGGGCCACACTACTCTCGCCATTCGCATCGAAATTTGCAGGCGCATTCATTTGCGGCCGATGCGCAGCACACCAGCAAGACCAGCTTCGCCGCTGCTGTGGGTCGGTCGACATGCCATCCTCCAGCGCAGTACCGGGCTCGCCCCAGCCGTTGAGCATGAACACATGCAAGTTCTCTGCCTGCTCCTCTGGAGATAATGAAGTATCGCTGAGATACTGTATATTATCAAACAGCACGTCGCTCTGCTGATCAGGCAACGTGTCGGTGAAGCATTCCAGTGAGAAGAGAAATTGTGGCGAAAGACCGAGCAGCTCAGTAGAATTCTGGATAACGGTCAGAGAAGCACGCGCCGCCTTTCTGGTACAACACACACCTCTGAGACTTGTCGAACTGAGAGATTGCCTGTCTCCTCATCCTCCTCCACCGCAATCAGAACGCCAAACCCTTGTACCGCCCCGGGAGTGCGGATAGGCTGTAAAAGGTAAGTGTGAGATACACTGAATAACAGCTCGTGTGACGCACCTCATCCTCGCATTTGGTCAGCTTTCCCTCCCTCCCCAGGATCAGATGGTGCCCGTGCTCATCCTCCATGTGTGTGTAACGAAACGCAATATGAGGAGCATCTGAACCAGACCAGCTCGATACGCTGCTTTCCGAGCCGGTGACGTCTGTTGTAACCATAGGCGACTGTGGTCGAGACCCCCGTGTCGACGGCAGCTGCGCCACGTCCAAATCGCTCTGCGACCCTGGCCCGAGCTGTGACGACGAGGACGCTCTTCCACTCCCAGCTCCATCCCTGTTGCCCAAGCTACGACCTGAGCGACCGCATGATGAATCCGGCGCCGAGGGCGCAGAATGCGAGCCGACCGGTGGTAGGTGGACGATACCAGTGTGCGAGAAGGGTGCGTGTACGGCATCGTCCAAACCAGGAGCGGTCAGGAGTACCTCTGCCGTCGAGGCGAATGCCTCCGCTGCGACTTCGGATATATGCGGACGGTGTCCGTGGCGGATGTCGTGGTCGTCGGCATCTTCAGAGAACTTACCTTGGCCGTTGGAGATCTCTACGGGCTCACCGCTGGGGCCTGGAATGTAGAGCATGCTATGCGTGGGCGACGTCGTGCCTGAGGGCGAGCGGGGAAAATAGCTGCCGTGTACGGTAGAGAATGTCCTGCGCGAGTGGGGGTCCTCTTCGAGGGAGAAATCGCGGAAATTTGGCGTGCGAGGCTTGCGCCGGTGATGGTGGTGATGGTGATGGCCCTCACTCTCTGGAGAGTCTCCTGCGCTGCTCATGCTCTCGGATGCGGACGTAGATGCTGGCGGTGTGGAAAGAACGCCCCCGCTGCTCGTCGAGCGCTGCAGAGCGGGCGCCTCGTGGATAGACAGCGCGGCGAGACTCTTCCCATGCTGGTCTCCTCTCGGCCTCGCGGACTCTTCTGGAGAGGCGTATGTACAAAAGAGAAAGATCGTCGGAACATAGGAGACTCACCCGCTCTCTGGCCCACGCCAGGCCGAATCCCGGTCAGCAGCGAACGCACCGGATAGACATACGACGAGCTCGACGTTGATGTGGACGAGCTTGGCTCCCTTAGACGTCGTGCATCGTCTTCTGTGGACATGAGCTACTGATGGTGGTCACTGACAAGCTAAACGGCCGGCGGATCGAATACTATCGGCCTCTGTCTGCATTTGAGCCTGATTAACGCAAAAGTGGAGCCGGTTTGAAGCGGAGCTTAAACACACTTGGACACGATCATCGGGCACGCAAATTTGAGTTGCTGTGCTGTAGACAATCCATCTTCGGAGTGTGAATCCGCTTTGAACACCGTCAGTCAGATCCCTCTACTCTGGCTCCTCCGCAATGCAGCTAACAGCGTCAGAATGTGCGGTCAGTTTGCGAGGCAAACAACGATAGTGCATTAACGAACGTCCGGTTCTCGTAATGATTCACGTATCTCGCGGCTGGCGCATGTTCTGTCATTGCAGCCGTCCGCAATTGTGAAGACGATGAAGTCGATTGTCCCACCTGCGCCTCGGATCTTCGAGGATCTTCGTTCCACTGTTCCCGGGACTTGGCCGCGACATAGCCTTACAGTTTTATTCAAATAGAGGCTTTGCTCCACAGAATTTGTCTTGTCGCCTCATCAACATTGAAGGGTCTTCTTCGGCTCGGCACCATGGTTCATATGTAGCATATTCCAGTGATGTGGTGTTTCCGTCATGGAATGAAGGAAGATGATCAGCTCGCTGTGTGTGGCTTCCTTCGGCGTGATGTACCGCATCCCCTTTCATCCGACAGTCCATGTACGTATATCCATGTCTTCCGATCTTACTCCATTCAACGTTTCTGTTCGCAAGCATGAGGAGGCCCCCACGGTCTGTCGCTGCGCTGAACGCACTCTCTTCCGCTCGAGGCCTTTGTTCTTGTCAGCCAGTACTTGTCTAGCGTCGGCCTCACGGCCTCCGAAGATCACAATGGCTATGACGATCTCTCCGTTGAGTTGATGCTCGCGGCCTACCAGCTAGCGCTCTGGCTTATCATGGGACAAGGTCACACGCATATCGCGCGAAATTGTAAGACGGATCATCACAGTGTCAGTTGGCAGCACAACGAGCTGTCTATGGAGAACCTCGCGACAGGACTCATCCCGCTGCGCAACCAAGTTCTCCGCAAGTTCTGCAATTGCCATTTAACATCATATTGCAAGTGAAAAAGCGCATTCCCCACCCCCACGAATAATCAATGCCCGGTGGAAGCGGTCCGGACTGACATTATATCCTGCCGAAAAGCCGAGCGCCAACTAACTGAGACCGTTGACCCTCAGTGCATGGCCTCCACAGCGGAGTCATATAATCGAGCTTGTGTATCAGCATGTCTCGCAGGGTACATCTTGACCTCCTTTGCTGAGGGTGCACTCTGACACGGCCATCTCACGACCTGGACGACCAAGCTGAGGACAACAATGGCCTCTGCGGACAGTCAGAATACGGCTTTGAGCCCCAATCAGTTGCCGGCCATTGCGGGCACTGACGTGCGGGGCCAGGAAGAAAATGTCATGTTGACACCTGAAGTTAAATTCGACATAGAGCATGCAGAAGTACATGACGATCCCCGCAAGTGGTCGAAGGCTCGCAAGGTATTTCGCCTGAGGGTGCCACATACCACAAGGGTTTTGACGGCATTTGGTATAGTATGTCATCGTCGCGATGATTTCTGCGGCGTCGATGATTGCAGGTCTTGGCAGCAACATATACAATCGTATGTCACAATGGCTTCATGTATTGACGTCATGTCGACCAATCATGCATTGCAGCTGCGATCAGTCAAATCGAAAAGGACCTGCATGCAACCAGCAGTCAACTGAGTTTAACGTTGTCATTGTTCATTCTCATTCAAGGAGGACTTCCGCTATTTTGGAGCGCTATCAGTGAGATCAGAGGCAGGAAGGTGAGATAGCTCTCTGCTGCTTGTATGCGGATGGATTCACACAGAACATGCATAGACTGTTTATCTGACCTCGATTGCGTTATGCATGCTCGGATGCATCGTTTCGGCAACGGCCAAGACTATCAATGTCCTAATTGGTATGCGCTGTTTGCAAGCGGCAGGGTATGTGATACCGCATGTTGCATTCACATTCTTCTCATATTCGTACGCAAAAAGGTCGAGTGCCGTCATGGCGATAGGAGCCGCCACGCTAGCCGATCTGTACGAACCAGCAGAGAGGGGGACTGTGATGGGCATCTATTATTGGTTTGTGAAGTTCAACACATGAATCATAACCTGTGAGCTCACAGGGTGTCTCTGCTCAGCGCTCCTCTATTAGGCCCATCCCTTGGTCCCATTTTAGGTGGGGTTCTGACCCAAGCCTTCAATTGGCGGGCCACGTTCTGGTTCCTTGCCATATTCACCGGTCTCTGCACGGTGTCGTTCGTATTCTTCCAGGACACGTTCCGTCGTCAGCGCAGCCTGACATATCAATCAGTCTTGAGGCGTGTCATGGAGCAAGAGGCGAAGAAGCTGAACGCGAAAAGGGAAGACAGCATTGATTGCGATGATGTGCGCACCAAGGTCGACCCTACGGAGAAGGATACTGACGAGAAAGGGTTACCCCCGAGCAATACCTCTGTGATTGAGCAGGACATGGAAGCCCAGCATTCCTCTAGAGATAAGGCAGCTCCACCAGTAAAGGAGATCAAGCTGTCCTTGACAGATATCAACCCTGTGAAACCTATCGTCCACGTTTTGAGTCGGCTGAACAACGTTGCCACCTTGGTGGCTTCTGGTATGCCGGTCGCATGTTATGCTTCGAATGAGTGAAATGACTTCTGGCCAGGCCTTCTATTCGCCTTCAATTATAGCATCTCCTACACTGCGTCCCGAACGCTTGAAAATCAATACGGCTATGATGCTCTGCAGACCGGCCTGGTGCTTCTAGCGTACGGCATTGGTTGGTAGTTTCGCATATTGCATAGAATCTAAATTGTTGACTTACTGTGACACAGGGTGTCTGCTTGGGAGTGTGTTGGGTGGACGATATTCCGACTACGTCCTCTCCCGCGTAAAAGCGCGCCATGGCGGCAAGAGCTATCCGGAGGCACGCATTACGCACCGTGGTTCTGAATTGGCGGAACGATACTTATCCAGACATTTCGGTTTGATCTCGTACAGATGCGCCTGCAGAGCACGTTATTCCCAATGGTCTTCTTTCCCCCGGCCGTTGTGGCATATGGTTGGGTCTGCGAGGAGCATGTCAGCGTAGCTGCCGTCTGCGTCATGTTGTTCTTGGCGGGGTTCTTTCAGATGTGTGTCATCCCACTTGCATTGTCTTCTCCTGCCAATATACTGACTCGATGGCTGGTTGGCTTCGAGCAGATGCATCTACACCAGCACATTAGCCTACATCGTCGACGCCAACGCCGGTCGCTCGTCGTCAGCAGTGGCTTCGAACAGCTTCTTCCGCGGAGTGTTTGCTTTCATCGCTACCGAGATTGCGGTCCCGCTCCAGGTATGTACCCTTTCCATTAGATCGTTATCGAACGTTACGCACTTCCCTTCCCATTTATCTTGATTCTCTTGATTTTCTTGCTCACCACATGCACGTAGGATTCAATAGGAGACGGCGGTCTGTACTCTTTCTGGGGGGGACTTGTGCTCATATCGCAGCTGCTCATCATACTCGTCTGGTGGAAAGGTGGCGACTGGCGAGAAAAAGCAGCTGCACGCGAGGCACGTCGATCTGGCATGTCATGATATACGTCATGTCATTCTGGATAGAAGTATGACCAGGATTAGGCCTGGTTGTCAACCACATCAATAGACGTAGAATTAGACCCATTCACGGTCGTCGTTTCCCCCGACTCGTACACGTTGCGTATCTGTCTACTTGCTGCTGATATACACGTCCTTCGTTTTTCGTCCGTGTGCTTGTTACTCATTTTGACGTCGCCGATCTCCCCACCGGTCTCTACTGTGAGATTGGTTGTTAGCTATCGAGCATCGAGATACCGACCCCTCAGGCATGTTTAGGAGGAGGTTATTGGCATATTATACGGCAAGTTGCTTAACTGTCGCCAAATACACCTTTGCAATATACCGCGCCAATGATTCAATAGCACACTATCACGTGATCGTGTTTTCACTAAAATAGGAAGCATTCTGTCGGGGAGGACGGTCTGAGTCACCTCACGCAAGTGGCAAGTACGGGTCTCTTCCCTCAGAGTGGCGGGGATTTGCACCAGAGAGCATATTGCATACTGATGGTGCTGGTGGAGCGGCGGATCTGTGTATCTGTGAATGATCGCGGCAGCGGCCCGTGCGCGACGGCGAGAAGTGAGTGATACGATGCATACGTTGCGAGATCAAGCCATAGCACGCAATAAACAGTATGTCGTTCAAGGGGCAGGAAGTTTTCATGCGCATGGAATAATTAAATATCTCCGACTTCTAGTGTAAAACACCGGTATATAGCTGACTCAACGATGCCTTCTTTCCCTACATAGTTTGGATAAATACCATACGTCAAGGATTGCTAGCTCGGTTAAGCATGCGTTTTGGTGGACCCTGTTATTGCTTTGTATCCGTTCATATTTTTGCGCTTGATCTCTCGCTCGATGCTTCGCGCCAGCGACCTCCCTTCCACCATACCAACAGAATGAGCGTTTCGGAAACCAGCATAAGCCCCGCCCACATAGAGTATAGACCGCCATCGCCTAGAGCGTTCTAATTGAGCCAATATATGCATGAAGTCAGCCACAATGTGATGTCCTGTCAGAACGGAAGGCCAACGAACCTGCAGTGGCACCGCAATTTCCGTGGCGATGAAACCGGCCAGACCTCGCAGACTGCTGTTGCAGGCAACGGCCGAGGATGATCTACCGGTATTGGCGTCGACAATGTACGCCAGCGTACTCGAGTAAATGCAACTTGTGTGCACCAACGATACGTGAGCTGCACTCTTGAGAATACATTGAAAGAGAGCTCACATAGCAAAGAAGCCCGCGAAAAAGAGTATCACGCACACAGCAGCGATGTGAACGTGCTCTTCACACACCCAGCCGTACCCGACGACGAACGGTGGGAACAACAGCATAGCGAACATCGTACTCTGCAAGCGCATCTATTCAACTGGGTAAGATCACGTCTACGTAAACAAGCCTCACGACCGCAGCACGCACCTCCGGTGCGCTGATGCCGCCGTTCTTTGCCTTCAACTTGGCCAAGACGTGGTCGGAGTAGCGACCGCCCAGTAAACTACCAAGTAACATACCTATCAAAGAAGACCGGAAGTCAATGAGTTCCCGTTTTGATGCCCAGGGCAGAAGGTGAACAAACCTATGCCAAATGCAAGCAGAACTAGCCCAATCTTGAGCGCATCGTAGTGGTATTCGTTCGCCAACGTCAAGGATGCCGTGTAGGTGATGCTAAATTCGAATGCAAATAGCAGCGCTATCGCACCGCTTGTCAGGTCCATGCAATGAGCCCGTTGGTATTCAAAACGCACCAGATGCCAGGATTATAACAACGTTATTTTTGCGCCGGAGGACATAGATCATAGGGCCAACGGGATTCATGTCTCTCAAGGTCACCTTCGCCTGTTTGACGGGCTCCAATCCTGCTACCTGGCCCTTCTGGGCCTCCAGATCGGCGATCTTGGTATCGACGGAACTCGTCTCGCTTTTTACTTCTCCTTCAACGACCTCCCGGCCTGATGCTCCCTGCGCGACTGCCACATTCGACGAAACGGCGTCCTTCGCCGTCACAGCGTGCTTCTCCTCCTGTAGCTTGAGTCTCTTGAGCACAGACTGGTATGTAAGGCTGCGTTCTTGGCGAAACGTGTCCGTAAAGAAGATGAAGGAGAGCGAACAGAGACCAGTGAAAATGGCCAGTAACCAGAACGTTGCCCGCCAGTCGAAAGCTTGGGTGAGGATACCACCAAGGATAGGACCGATGGATGGTCCAAGTAAAGGAGCACTATGTCAGAAGTAGAAAAGACGCATAGCGCATGAATCTAGTTCAATTCTTTTTGACCGGAGGACGAAGGAATTAAACCGCCACAGCAACGCCTACCATAGATAAACGCCCATCATTGTGCCTCTTTCAACGGGTTCAAACAGATCTGCCAGAGTTGCTGCACCAATAGATACTACGGCACTTGAACTGTTGAACGACGGAGATGATATTGACAATTAGTAACGTCAGTAGGAAGGCACAACGATGCTCACCCCGCTGCTTGCAGGCAACGCATGCCAATGAGGACTTTGATCGTTTTTGAGCACGCTGAGACTACGGAACCCAGACAACATAAAGAAATTGACACGATATAGACAAGCTGACGCGATGTATGAGGGAGAAATTCGAACAACTGCGAGTGTGTGGCTTGCCTTTCGGCCTCTTATCTCACTGACCGAGCTCCAGAAGATCGGAGCCCCTCCTTGAATTAAGATGAAGAGTGACAGCGTGAGGCTCACTTGTCCGCTAGTCGCATGCAGATCAGCTTTCATTTCGGCTAGTGCAGCTGTGGGTAAACGTTAGAGTCGATGCACCATAAATAATTCTTTTGACGCACGTGTATATAGGTTGCAGGTCAACCCTGCTATCAAGGCTGCCGCACATATCATCACGACAACAATATACTGCGCAAGTGGCCGTCAGGTTCTGAAGAATAACGACCTTGAATATCATGATAGCGCATACAAAATTACATACCTTGCGAGCTTTCCGCCATTCACGGGGATCATCTTGCACCAACGCATGCTCTATATCCACTTGAGAATGATGTTCCTCGCGAAATTTCTCCTGAACGGCGTCAACAGCAGGTTGGCATCCAGCTTGAGGTTCTTCCATAGGGTTGCTCTCTGCAGCTGCGGTTGACATGCTTCGTATTACTTGGAAGCGCAGAAAAACGACAGAGCTAATGCAAACGACGAGACACAGCCCAGCCAGCTATTTAAACGTATTTTCTTTGTGCTCGCGTACAGTGACTCCACCGGCGCCCGATGGAGGCACTATGAACATGGTTGCATCCTGCTGGCCGTCAGACGAAAACCGGAGCCTATGTCTGTCGTTCTAGGTCTGCTGGCCATGAAAGAGATCGTCCGTCGGAATGATAGCATGTACGGCTGCGTGGGCAGACAGTCGATATTACGTGTATACTTGGCAAGTATGCATGCATGCGATTGGCTTTGGATGATCAGCGCGGTGCGGAAGCTCTGCGGGGCATATAGGAGGACATACCGCTTCTCAAAGGGAATTTTTCTGCTTAGCACGCCGCAGTTGTGAAAGGTATCGCAGCCGAGGTAGCACAGCGTCAAATTATGATGGAAGCGTGCTCCGTGGTTTCGCTGTACAGATCCCTTTCGGCACCGTTGCTCCTCCCCATATGTTACAACAGACGACATTGACTACCAAGTCGCTGCAGCTTCAGCAAACGTAAAGTCGCGTTGGAACCGAGTTCGGGCTTGGGAGTTTAAACCACATGCTAAAGGGTACGGGAAGCCGAAGCGCACTTAGAAGTTTGTCACTACGGTATCGCGCAACGAGGCGCGTGTCTCACTCTCACACCTGCAATCCAACCTAAAAATTCAGCAACGCGTGTCAGATGTATTAGCCAAGAGAAACCAGCCAGAGATCATTTCATCATGGTGCTGAAAATGTCGAACTAGACGAGCGTACTATCGCGTAAACAGCCGCCCGCTCTGACCCTCATTTTTGGTCGTGAGTTGGTAAGCTTGCTCTTCCATAAATTCTGGGGTACGCCCGGACATACACAAGCCTCTCTGCGCGAGAGCATCGTAAAAAGCACGATGTCAAGCGCAAGGAGCTACAGCCAAGGATAGCAAGGCAACATGTTCAACGCTCCCTCTCCATTCGTGGTAATGGTAACAACCTACCCCACCACTATTGGAGCGTCCATTGAACGCAGCTACAAACAGTTCAAGCTGTCCAATCTGTGGCAGATGGGCTCCGACCACCACCACCAGCATAGTAGACCATGTTAACTGAACGGGCTTGTCCTATCTAAGTAGGCCGAGCAATGTACAGGTTGTAGCCAACGACTCCGGCCGGTCAACTCTTCACAAAGAGAGTCTGTATGCTGTCTGTCGGTCTACCAATAGTCCAGCCTGTGCATAGCGACATGCCCAAGTGCCCCACACAGATTCATCGATGATTTGGCCCAATGCCCCAGCGCTCTAGATGCCAGCTGCTCCCGATATTCTGCGTAAGGCCGACCTCCCAGGCCTTTCACACGGGTGCGCGTGTAGTACGACAAGTGTAAGCTTGACCATGCGTTACAGACGACTGCAGACTTTGATGCAGCGCATCATGACCTCAAGGCTCTTGTGCGGACTTGCGCGTATGCATTCATGATACCAAGTGGTTGTGGGACGTGGCAGAGTCACACCTGAAGGAATGCTGTGCGGCATACCGTTCCCATGCGTGTTGGTGAGAAGCGCGCACCGAGAGCGTGGCTGCCAATCGTCCGGTCCGACCCTCTTGCTGTACGGTGTCAGAATCGTTCGTTCGTTAGGTTCATTGGCCTCGTGTAAGCCGCTAATGTCCTTCCTCCTCTTTCAGTTCATGCCCATCGGCGCGACATCATGAGCCAGCAAGTATCTGAGGGCAACATGGATGTGCGCATTCTTTCAGGCTGTTCTCATGTACAAGGGCTTACCATCTTTCAAAATAGGGTAGCCGATTACCCGGAAACCCGTCCATCGGTGAGCCCATTTCGTTCGCGGCTGGCCAATTTGCCGGGAGAACATTGCGCGCGGAGTTGTGTGAGGTCCAAAAGGCAAATCTTGGCCGCAAGTGAGTGGCCCACGGCGGCTCAGTGATGCCTCGCGTTGAGACGACTAGGTATACGCGCAAGGATCGTCGCCCACTTGATCCACCTCCAGTGGTGGCTCTGAAGTTGTTCGAGATTTCCAAGTCTGGGGCTGGGGTAGTAGAGAAGGAATTTGATCACTATAAGTGCGCTTCTGGGCTAAACTATCTATAGCATGGATATCTGCTGACAGACAGCCCGTGAATAATTTGGTCAGATATATGGACACGCTTAGTCTGTTATGCCACGTCGACTTGTTTCCTATCCCTCAATCCCGGTCAAATTCGCAAGCGGCTCCACTTGCTCGGAAATTTCTTCCATTGTTTTCCTCATTAGAAAATGAGATACGTTCTCTCGACCATCCAGCCTGGTTTTCATCAACGAAGGGTCTGTCATCCTCCGCCCAGCAGTGCGCATTGCCAGGACAGACAGCCGGTACGCATGGCAATGGCCCAGTGCGACGCACGTCAGGCGTAGCGACCGATTACAATGGCCTTCCTATTGCCGAATGCGACAGATGCACCGCAGACCTCGCTGGTTCTACAGTCGCCGAGGCCGTCTGCATGGACCACAAGGGGAAGACCGCGTTGATGTTCATATTCTCTGTTGGTTGTTTCCGTTAACTCTTCTTCCCTCTCTTGGAGGCTGCATAAACCCCCATAACAAGGGGCTGTGCGGACTTCCTTCACTATCAAATCGCATAGTGCCTCGCTGACATGTTTGATTGGTGTGCTTTAGGATCTCTCCGTGCGCAAAGAAGGCTCTTTCGTACTGCGCTATCGCACCTTCGACATCATGTCGAAAGTGGCAGACTATCCGACTGACATTCCAGTCTTAGCCGAGTGCTGGAGCGGACCTTTCCAAGTGTTTTCTACGAAGACGTTCCCTGGATTGGAACCATCGACTGACCTCACCAGGGTCCGTCCCGTTGTACTGCATCTGATCGTTCGCACTGACTGACATGCTGTGAGCAGCACATTGCGCGGTACGGGGTACGCGTTAATTCCCGGGAGACCGACCGTCGGAAGCGCAGGCAGAGCGATGTTGATCCGTCGCGGGACATGCGGCGCGAACCGTTGCGGATTGCCCCCTTTCATTCCGCCCCAGAGACGGCATCCAGCTCTTTATCCCCCACTTCTCCTGTATCTCCGGTAACCTCATATTTGGGCACACCAGGGAGGAGACGACCCTGAAATGATGCCTTGCTTGACAGCTGACATGCAATGATCATGTTGCTAGTATTATAGTTCCTCCACTCTCTCCTTGAAGGGGATCGAGACCTAGCATAGACATCTCTTTGTCATGCATGGCAAGGGCGCGCTGGGTTCGGGGTTGACAGTGAGCGAGATGTAATGTATGCACACGCCTAGTTCCTGAGCGAATACTTCCTCGCACTGTCTCTGCTCTCTGTGTTTTGCACGAGACTTTCGTATGTTGTATAGTGGATACGTTTCTTCTTATTCGTTGCAAAAGGTAGAAGTCTCTCGCAATGCAAGTGACGCTTATTACGTTTTCGTCCAGCCATTTGTAGAAATCGTGCAGGGATGGTGGGCAAGGCATGTTGGATATGAACGGCCTCTCAAGATGGTCAAGGACTGGAGCTGAAGACCTGAGCGACATCGCGGAGTTGCCAATATTCAGTGGGAAATATTGAGGAACTCGCTCGAGGGTGATTCTCCTTGAAGGTTCGGGATACAGAGGAACGGCCAAATATGGCCTTGAACAGTCTGGGAGGTGAGAACAGTTTCCGCGGGAGCGAGGCGAGCGTGCAGACGTTTGTGCTATATTCTCCAAGATACTAAGGAAGCATCACATTTAGTATTCCGATGTCCTTGCGATACTACAATGCCGCTCGCAATCAATGTCGGGGTTTCCTCGCGAAGGACAATCAGTCGTAGACGCTTCCAATTAGCAGGACGTCATACCGTTGGACGGCGAAGACACAGTATGAAGTCCATGCCAGTGCGAGGTCCTCCTATTGTCCGAATTGATCGTGGCAGGTAATGACCAGAATAGAGTAGAGCGACGATCACTTGAAATGAAAGCTGGCACAATCGCCATGATGTTCCCCATTCCTATCTCGAAGGCATGGAGGGGAGCCGCAACTCTACTCAAATGAGGGTAGAGAAGCCTATCAGACATTTGCAAATTTAAATTCCGAACCAACGCAGCGTAATGATGACAACAGATGTGATGTACCCGTGGGTCCAGCATGGACTCCATTAGTAGTAGCCATGTGTGTGGCAGTGGTGTTCGTGCGAGATGACACTGGCAGAGAATATACTCCGTGTCGAAATAGAGCAACGGCATCCATGTATGATAAACGCCGAACATGCTGCATTAATAGCGTCGCGTCTTCCAATAAATTAATGAATAACAGGCCTGCAAATAGCACTATTCCGCGATAAGTACTCGTCCTGGACATAAATGAGAGGATTTCACTACCTTTATGCACTTTCCTGCTGCATGCGTATGGCTTGCGTCGCTACGTCAACGTTAGTATTGCCTCTCGTAGAAGCCCTGACATTACGTACCCATGAAGGGGGACGTGCGGCCATATACAGACATGACCGCTGTGAGGCTAGAGAGCACAGAAGAGGTGTCGGCATGCGCCGCTTGGATGGTTTGTAATGATGCTTCGCTGGCCAACACGCGCTGAGCAGCAGACGAAGACGTCCATAACTCTCGCAGACGAGCTTTCTCACGTACTAAGACACGGCAGACGATGGTCCACAGAATCTGAACGAGATAATATCAAGTCAAGCGTGACCTTTAATCGAGCTGAGCGTTTACGACGTACTGTTATGATGGGATTCAGGAACGGGAGCTGTTCTGAAGCAATGCTGACTAGGGCGACCGAGGCTGCCTTCGCTGCGCGCACATCCTTCTTGCCAGATAGCGACCCCGAGTGCTGGAGCTTCTCGTGGAGTCGGATGGTGGCGGCATGAGCCAATGTAAGCGTGGTCAAGAGCGTCCGGCTCATCGTTCCTCCGGAAGATGTGTGCATGGGCTCAACCATGGTGATGAAGCGATCTATCATGTCATCCAGCAGCACGAACTCGATAGCATAACGTTCAAGGTCGGTGTCTTCCGTTCGCAGTGAACAGATGAACAGCTCGAGATCAATGAACTTGCTCCTCGTTCGAATGCGAGCAACAAACCTGCAGTCCATTCTGCTGTGAGCCTAGTTGCGCGCTCGAACAAAGCAGCGGCCTTCGCCTGAAGAATCAGATCGTTGACATTGTCCTGGCCATGTCCGCTTGCGACAGACAGTGGTACACCTTGAAGTGACGGGATATCCTGAAACCATAGTGTCAATAACTGCAGAATTAGTGTTGCGAACAAACGTACAACTCCATATTCATCGGCCTCGAATGGCCCAGAAGTGCCATGAATGCGCGAACTGGAATGCAGAATAGCCGCCCAGCATTTTTCGAGCACATAGAGATGCCACCGTGCGCGGGAATGTTCAGCCGGTTCAATGGTGTCATTTCGCGTCCGCAAGGATGGGTTATAAGAGTTGTCCACATCTATAAGGGTGTGGGACGTCTGCGAGAAGCCGTTTCGATAGAGATGGCAGCTCAGAGCAAGTATAGCTGCGGCATCACAGAAATACTTCCCCTCCACCATCCTACCAAACGAGAAATGGTAGTTGGAAACAAGAATCTGAGCCTGCACGATCTGCATTGTCTCGAACGCCGCCATGTTGACACTTGCGCTGTTCAGCGCTTGCACTGCTCGAGTCAGAAGCACAGGTCCGTATACTGCTAACGCATCCGTAGCGGAGAAGTGGACGCCCCACAGATACACTGCATCGCGCAGTGCAGGTGACAGCCGAGCATCGTTACGTGCGAGGAAGACAAGCGCCGAGAAGCGGGCTTTGTCAAGGAAGAACCCAACTTGATCGGAGTGTACTAGGAATGCGTTGACGCTGAAAATTACATTCACACGGTGTACTCGTACCTAGCACCGCATGCACTGCTCACATTGATTGTACAGCAGCCGAAGACGGCTCCGGCATGCTGCTGACTGAAATGGACATACTAGCAGTCGCTTGCCCGAGGTATCTCGCCACGAGGGCACCAGAATCGTGATTATTGCTGCTGGTAGCATCATAGGCTGCACATGTCGCGCTGAGCATACGTTGCAACAGACATCTCTGAAATCGCTTACGTGAAACTGATGGTGTAGGAGATTCCTGTTGTTCTCCAGAGATATCCGAGAGTGAGTCACCGTCTGTTTGACCGAGCTCCGAAAGACGTTCTTGAAGACGAATGATCTGCTGCTCAAGCGCTTGCTGTCGACTGGGTCTTGGACTCTCGAGATAGATGCATTCGTTTCCCCTGAGGGAGCGTATACACGGTCCACACGTAGGTCTTACACCGTCGCATTTCTGTATAAGCACACAAAATGAGCAGATAGCCTGGAATATGAAAGCAGGCTACGAACATGCTTTCGTTTACGACAGTTTAAGCAGGCAGAGTTACGAGGAGCTCTTCGAGAACGAGATGGGCCGGCAGCTTGCTGATTTCCTGCAGACATCGTGTTGATACAGTGAGGGCGAAGAAAGAGCGTAATCTGATAACTACCAAGTTTACGCGTAGTATATATGGATTCCTGTGCACAATTTCCGCAGTGCGACGCAATCTTGTGCGCCATCTAGAGGCTCCTGCTTTATGTGGTCTTGCCGCAGCAGGTACAGTGCTGATGAAGGCTGTTATTCGCCGTGACGAGAAAATCACTTCGTTCAGCGATTAATAGCAAATGACGGTTTGCGTTCTCGCAAAGACCACAGCATCCGTAATCACTACTGTAAGTCAAGGGAGGATGCCCCAAAAAATGTGTTGTCCAGCAGTTTACTCAAGAGCTTCAATCTTGCGTACGCTTGATTTATTTGAGTAGACACATCATCATTTCGACCGTCCAAGGAAAAGCGCGACCATCAGTGTCCGAAGCAACTCCGTTCAGCGCCACAATTTCGGATGCGGTCGCTAACAGCCCAAGCGCAGCCATTGAGTCAATGAGACTGATATTTCCGGAATGACGGGTGGTGCGTGGGAGACGAAGCAGAGGAATGTTGAACATGGCTCCGAGTCGCTTCAAAGTTACAGTGAACTTCAGGGCGTTTGTTTGTCCTTGTATGGTTATAGCCTCGATATTTTCTCAATATAGCATGAGCGCCTCTAATTGCTCGTTACTGCCTCCGTCTTCGTCAGTTCTCTCTCGATACATTCTTTTACCGTACCGTTGAATGCACCTAAAGCTTACCCTCAGCGCGTTACGCTGAGATATCGATACTGCGGATAAAGCATGGTGACGAAACGACTGCAACATCACCCTTTTGTGTGACGCACAGGTCGGACTCTTCGCGCCCGCCTCCGACAGTCATATCACGCACAGCCAATCTGCGCAGCCACAAGTGATGGACACAGAACGCAAACGTGTAATTTGACTGCGCGCGATGTCGATACAGCCTGTACTCAGCCGCGATCGACTGCGGATTGCGCAGCTTTCCATCAAATCTTCGGGAAACCATACACTACCGATCATGGTGATCTTGCCTTGATATGTCTTTGTGTGCGACTATACCAGAATAGCAACTGAGTACGTTCGTACATAGTTGCTGCGGGATGTCCTGACACGTCCGTGACGCTTCGGGAGATGGGATCCTCGCATATGTCTTGCTTAATTAGCGGCAGTCAGCTAGAATTGATGGATGCCGTGCGTTTGGATAAAGAAGGACGGTCATAACGATGGCCACCACTGCTTGTCGTGTTGATCTTTCCGTAACTGCATGCAAGGCGGCTGCGGTCCAGCTCAGGAGAGTGTGAAGTCTAGTTTGCTAGTCTCGAATGACGCGCAGTCCGACTGAGCGGTGATGCAAGGCTGCGCACGCATATGGCGGGACACAGCAGTCTGCTGCTTCCAGCCCATCCAACTCTGGCCTACGGAATCATCGGTGACTCCACGTCCCGGTCGATGGTGGCTCTCTTTCATCAGCGGATTCAAGGTGCAGGCGCTCCTCCATCCTCCCGTTATGTTCGTTACTGTGGACGTAGCTCGGCTGGAGTCCTTAATTTTCGCCTCTATTTATGACCGCGTCAGCGTGCTCTCTCCGTGCTGCCGATCAATCAAGCATATCGCCATATCAACAGTGTAGGGTCCTTGCCTCGATGTAACCATATCAAATAGCCTTCGCATGGCCTATCGCCTTCGCCTGCAAGCGGCTCGGCAGTAGTATCCATCTATCGTAACAGTCCTTCATGCTTGAAGCCCACTCTCTCCGCCAGGTGTGTGGAAGTCGTTTTCTTCGGATAGACAGACGGTTGCATGCGCCTGAATCCGAGGTCAGGAGACGAGGCACAGGGTATCTGTTGGCAGTGACGTAGCAGGACAGCCCACAGTGTTGGATGCGATGTCTGTGTAGCGCGAGCCTATAGCCTACTATTGTGATTGGATCGGGCAAACACGCAAACCTCAGTGACTCGTGTAAGGCTTCCTCTGCCAGGTTCCGGTACGGATCATTGGACGTGTCTGGTCGATGATCCGAAGAGGAGGAAGTCCAGACTTGAGCGGTAGTATTTATCGACGGAGGACGGAGAAGTCGTCGAGAGTGTGGTGTACGATACGATAATGGTTGGACAGCTCTTTTTTTCAAGACCGGAGATACCACAATAAATTCTGGCATGAATGGCCGGTATGACCGGGGACAACTGCACATGCTCGCTGGAGAGTGCTTCGCCGTGGAGAAGGAAGACGAAGTCCACGTCGTACAGGTCGGCGCCGTAGAAACTCGAGCGGCTCTTCTCACAGGCGGATAAGTTGGCCGCATCAGAGGCGGCTTTGTAATGATCACGTATGTCACATATTCATAGTAATGATCCCGCGACAGCAGCGTGCACTGGATCCCCATAATCTGGTTCTGAAGGATGCTGTCCCGCCCTTTCCAACAGTCATTTTCCGATTGGAGTCGCTGGACGATGGCTACTGCACCACATGCATTAGATCAAGCGCACAGTGCAAGTTGAAACCCCGCATACCATGTACAGCCTTCGGGTCCGGAGACTTCTCGCTGCATCGCGCGGGATCATCCAAGCAGATGACGCTTGACCGAGCTTTGCCTGACCGGTCCTTATAAGACGAACAGCTGAGGTAGATATGCTGAATCAATCAAATATAGCTGCATGCCTAAGGTGACCCGTAAGATTACCATGTCCGGACTTACCATTGCACATTCCTGGTTCTTGACCAGCCCCATAATGGTCCTCCTTATAGGCAGTCGGTCGTCGCTAGTCGGTCCGCCAGCGACAATGTCATACTCTCTGTGCTCGTTGATTTCCCTTAACGATCTCTGACAAACTCTGCTCCGACCGAATGATCAGGACATTTGAGATAAAGGTAACACCAGCGTTGGTGGAGGAGGCGGATGCTCCGTGGAATGATTCTGGAATCGGATAAGGAGAAGCTGAGTGCGGTCCGTGATTGCCCAAGCAGGCTGGACGCTCAAGAGTTCCAGCACATCATCGTGCATCGCGCTGGACTTCTTAGGCCTTTCGAAAAGCCTTCTCTATCATGAATATGACTTCCGCGAGTGGGCGTGAAATCTGCTGTGCTTTTTTTCCCCTGCTCGGTTCCAGGCACGTGAAGAAAGGGCGGCGAGAAGCTTGGCGCCCGTTGGCACTGCAGAGCCTCGTGCGAGATGTCCAGAGATACCTCTCGCCTTATCACACTGAAGTGGGCAACAGACCCGGTCTGCACGAAGAGCAAGCGGCCAATTTGGAATAGGACGCAGTTGTACTCGGAGATCGCAGTACCGCCGCTCACGGGCGCGAATGTAGGCAAAGACGGCCAACTAGACTTGTTGGCGCAAATTGACTTGTAGATAGATTCGGTCATGGACAGTCGCGGGACGCTTCAGACTGCGGGGTGTGGACCGTCTATTCCCGGAACTCTGCACGTGCGATTGGGTACCTAGATCGATGCGGATGAGTTTTGAATAACCATTGTGACGAATAAAGAGGGCCTACCAGGCTATGCCGAGCCCATCCATGCTGAATGGAGTGTTACGTGTACCGATGTCAACCCGGGTCTGTTGCTTGATAGGATTGGGCTCATAGCAGAAGAAGCACGTCATGACCGAGCACCTGCTTTGATAGGGGATGACCTGGAACATTGAAAACATCATCTGGTAGACCTGTTTCCCAATTTGAGATGTATGCAAACGAACGACACATGTTGGTAACATGTCAGAAAACAAGGTCTATTCCACCAGCGAAGGACAATGGAGTGATTCCCTGTATAGGAAGACTGGCTATTTATATGTTGCACTGCATGTGTCGTCGGTGGAGACGGTTCCATGATGTCGTCTCGCACAGCAGTCGCAAGCACAAGCATGACCAGAAGTGAGACATAAAATTTTGAGAAGGGCCATAAAATCATGGAAAGGAGAAAGAACTTCGGTTTTGGCGTTGTGGGACAGCCTCACCATCAGCTGCAGCTGCCATGCAGTTCTGTCGGCTAAGACTGTTAATCATTCACAATGGACTCTCGTGCAGTCACAAGAAATGCGCGAATATACTCCTTACATACTTCAGAATAGAAGAAATCTTGTGAATAGCTGCAGTGGTGGCATTCAAAGAAGGCGCGGCCGCAGAACTCGTGTTAAATTTGTCTCACCGGTGACTCAGTCAGGCGCGAAATGACTCTCGAATTCGGAGCAGCGGTTCCACAAAGTCGCAAAAAATCAGAATAGAATCAGTGTAATGGCTTTTCGGAGTAACACGTAGACAGATGTTCAAACGGTACAGCAAGCGGAAACAAGAGCACATCCGAGTCGATATCGAAGCATACAAGCGCCCGCGCAACGCGATGTACCGGCGCCGACCCGACCTTCCAAACTGGGCAAGTGGCGGCTCATTCAGAAGTTCCAAAATCTTATCCACCCACGCAACATCCGGCGACATTCGTCAAGGTGAGCTCGATATTGCCGTCATTATGCTCAGACAGAGGCCTGCTTGAGCTTCGGATGCTGTGATCACAGCCAGGAGGCGAATCACAGGGTGGGAAAGGGTGGATTCGGCGGACAGTGATGGGATGACGATAGACGGGCGCTCTGGCGATTTGGAAGGAGGATGGAGCTCGAGGCTCGATGGATGCGAAGGGTAGATTTTCGGGAGGTTCTGACACCCACGGAATGTATGGCCGTCTGAGGGAGGGATTTGCGGCGCAAGTCGTGGTTCAGTCTCACTGCAGATCACGTTCTACCGTCCGGAGCTCTGCAGTGTCGAAGTCCAGGCAATCAGTCGTTTCCGAAAATGTCATGCTAACCCTTCATTTGCAGAGTAGGCAGCAGCGATGGCTCCGACAAAGACTTCCAAGGGTAAGGCGACGAAGGGTACGCATTCTGTTGCGCTGCGTCAGAAGGTCTGGCTGAAACGAGGTGCATAGCGTCGCCCAAGGACGCCAAAGCAAAGGCTGCGAAGAAGGCTGCGCTCGCCGGCACTCACCAGCACAGCGCGCGCAAAGTGCGCCACTCCGTCTCGTTCCACCGTCCCAAGACCCTCCGCCTTCCCCGTGACCCCAAGTACCCCCGTAAATCGATCCCTCATGCACCGCGGATGGACCAGTTCAGGACGATTGTCTCGTGAGTAACTATGCGATGGGCGTATTCTGGTATTGAGGCTATGCTGCACAGGCCATTGAACACGGAGTCTGCCATGAAGAAGATTGAAGAGCACAACACCCTCGTCTTCATCGTTGACCTTCGGGCGAATAAGCGCCAGATCAAGGACGCTGTAAAGAAGCTGTACGACGTCCAGGCTGCGAAGATCAACACGCTCATCCGGTGAGTGATCAATTGTTATCTGTCACAGGCGATGCTGACCACGTTTATTGCAGCCCTGACGGCAAGAAAAAGGCGTACGTGCGTCTCACATCAGACCACGATGCACTGGATGTTGCAAACAAGGTCCGTTACATTCGCTATGGCTTGGTCAGTGTGTGCTGATACCACATTTGTGATTTCAAGATTGGGTTCATTTAATCGCCTCCTTTGGGCATTCACCTTTAGCCAGCCAAGCTACTTGGTGCAGTGCATCGCACGCCCGCACTGCTGGCGTTGTCGTACTCCTGCATTGCATCCGCATCTATCTGTCTGATCCTGTCATGTACGCGTACCTTCCATGCCCCATATCAAGCAAGATATGCTATCCTCGCCGTCAAAAATGGTTTGCCATCTGCATCTCTGCTCTAAGATATCACCGACGGTGATGATGTTGTCCTGGATTTACGTAAATAGCAGTGCGGGGGACTTAGGATTCACAGATTTACTGCCGTTGAAACCCTATGGGCACGTGTGCGGCGTCCGTTGCTGTGCGACCGCGAAGTCGAACAGCAACGAAAACAGCTCTCTTTCTGCAAGGATACTCCTTTGCATCAGACATTCTCGCTGAGGGAATGCATCTGTCACTCTGAACGTCAGGCACGGCAATAAGATTATTCGGAACTGCGGGGGCAACAGTTTCATAGCAGCTGGAAAATAAGGACAAAGATCTAGGCTCCCGCCATCACTGCTCGCCCGCTAACTTATTCCTCCCCCCCTCCTCGTCGGTTTCACTGCCTTCGTCGTCGGCCTTCCCACCTGCCCACCATAGCAGCACCACGCTCGTTCTCCCTGGCGGACGCTCCTCCAGCAGTGTCGCGCCGTCCTCGCTCACCTGCAGCAACCTAGCAACCCCCCGTAACTAAGCGCAGCACTCATGTTTCTCCCTCGCCATATTCTCCTCAGGGTCTTTCTACTTGCTTTCATCCTCCAGTTCTCGCTAGTTCATGCCTTTACTCACTCTTCCTTCACGTCCTCTCATGCACGTCGCTCCTTGCTTCACAAAATCCAGAAACGCATCGCCGACACCGTCCGTGGGAGGCAGGGTGACAATGGGTTCGGTTTCGGTGAGTTTCTACGCCGCTGATCACTGCTTTGACGTGTTTTCGTTCGTGGCAAGCGGACGTCGCCTTGCCACGTCTCGAAGTGGGCGTATCGTGGCGCAGCGGCGAGCTATTCATGCTTGCATCAAATGCAGGCATTTAGACGGCTATCAACGCTGGGACGGAACCTTTCCCGCAACAATTACGCTCGAGGGAGCGTTTGCTTCTCTGGGGCGAGTTGCTACTGTAAATTCCATTGCTGCGGATGGTCGTGAGCCTAGGTTACTCAGGGCAGTGGCCAGCGATAGCAGTGTTCTCGTGTTAATCGCTCTGCATTTTCCGCAGCACCGAACGTTGTATTGAGGTTCGAAACATGACGGAAGAGAATTCACTGTTCTGTTGCATCATCTGTGTGACTACTTGCGGCCACTGACACGTCTATGGATGAGGCCTTGCATTTACGAGCGATAATGTTCATAGTGAACCTCCAACTGATCGTCGTCTTTTCATAGACCCCGATTACTTTAGCCGCTTCATCAACAGAGTGGTGCCGACGACGGCACTGGTGCCCGCGACGTCGACGCCCGCAAGCTCACCGACGCCCGCATCTAGCTCCGCTGCAAGTTCGAGCGCGTCGAGCTCCTCATCCGATAGCTCCCCGTCCAGTGCGAGCTCGACGGATGTGAGCAGTGTCGTGTCATCCTCCGCGTCCAGCGCGACGGATTCGAGCAGTGCCGCGTCTTCTGTGTCTAGCATCGCCAGCTCTACGAGCGCGACGGACTCCAGTAGTACTGCGTCTTCATCTGCTGCCGGCAGCGCGAGTGCCAGTGATTCGAGCAGCACCAGCTCGGCAAGCGCAACATCGTCCATTGGAGGTCTATGTATCCCGGGCATCATCGACATCGGTTGTCCCTCGAGCACATCCTCGGTAATCTCTTCATCTGCAAGTGTGAGTGAGACTGATTCTAGCAGCGCGGTGTCGTCTACGGCAATCTCCACGGCCTCTGGCAGCTCTGTGGCATTTACGTCCAGCGCGACTGATTCCACCAGCATCTCTTCCTCGTCTGAGCCTAGCAGTAGTGCGAGCGCCAGTGGCACGAGTTCGGCGAGTGCGACATCATCCAGCGGCGGCATCTGTATCGAGGGTCTCGGCGACTGTCCCTCCAGCACAATATCGGCTTCTTCGTCGTCTGCGAGTGTGAGCGCGACCGACTTCAATAGCGCCACATCTTCGTCTGCGACCAGTGCTAGCGACTCGAGCAGCTCTGCATCCTCGTCTGCAACCAGTGCGACGGACTCGATCAGCGTCGCGTCTTCCACATCCAGCACGGTCGATCCCAGCAGTGCAACAATCTCATCTGCCACCAGCAGTGTGAGTGCCAGTGATTCGAGCAGCGCAAGCTCGGCGAGCGTGACGTCCAGTGGAGGCCTCTGTATCGCGGGTATCATCGGCGACTGCTCTACGACCTCGAGTTCGGCTACCTCGTCCTCTGCCAGTGTGTCCTCCACGGCAGGCACGAACGCGACCGATTCGAGCAGCGCGTTGTCCTCGACGATCACTTCTTCCCCGTCGGCCTCAAGCAGCGCGACGGATTCCAGCATCATCGTATCGTCCACATCGGCCTCGGGCAGCGCAAATGCGACGGACTCGAGCGTCACTGCATCCTCGACGTCAGCGTCGAGCAGCCTCAATGTGACATATTCAAGCAGCGCGGCGTCGTCGGCGATCACGCCGTCCAGCATTGGCTGCATCATCGACCTGTTCGGCAATTGTGCTTCGTCAACCTTCACCAATGCATCCGCCACCGCAAGCTCGTCGTCGTTTACGGGCTCTGCTAACGCTACGGTGACGTCGGCGCCGGCATCTTCCGCGACGTCGTCTGGTTTCAGTTCGTCAATGTCACTCTCGCTGTCGATTGGCCTGCCAACTTCCACCGCGAACGCAAGCGGCACCGCGTCCAGTTCAGTTGCGCCCACAGGGAACAGCACGCTCACATCATCGTCTATATTTTCCACGAGCTCTAGCGCATCCGGGAATCTGACGAGTGTGTTCCCGACGTCGTCATCCAGTGGTTCTGTCAATGCCACCGCCACGGCGTCATCATTCAATGGCACGCTTTCGTCCGCGACTACAGTGTCGTCTGCGACGTCTTACAGCAGCACGCTCTCGAGCTCGGCTGTCGGAGTAAACCTGTCTTCTACAGCATCCCCGTCGATCCCGATTTCGTCCAATTCGTCACTGCTGCCCACTTCGACCGGAGTCAACGGGAGTGTATCGCCGAGTACCAGTACGCCTCTCCCGACCTCCAACTTTAGCACCTTCACGTTACTACCGACATCGAGGTACGTTGCATCCTGTCATGAGATGGTAAACAGCTCATCTTCTTGTGTAACGCAGTGTGATAACCAACAGCTCGTCCGTAATTCCATCGACGGTATCCTCAGTCAACTGGACGTCCTCGATCTCCAGCAGTAGCATGAGTTACAATGCTAGCAGCTCGGTTGTGATCAGCTTCCCATCTGGCTTATCTAGTTCTAGCACGGCTTCGTTTAGCTCACTGACCACGCTCGCATCTTCGAGCTCGACGTCCAGTACAGTCACATACACGCCGTCCGTCAATTCTGCGTACACCTTCTTGACGGCCACCTCGCTAGCTCTTGCAACGCCGACGACTTCTTCACCATCGTCTGCGGCATCGTACTCGGAGACAGACCAGTCCACATCGACGCCAACGGTGTCTAGTCAGAGTGCGGCCACAACGGCCAGTCCCTCTTCGGCACCATTGCCTTCCTGGCTACCCGCACAAATCTATCCCGCAGATCCTGTCTCCCAGAGTGATATTCCATCGGGGTATCAGGAGATTAGCCTCCTGTATCTTAACACACTGAATTGGGAACATGTTGTTAATGATACTACAACGTCATCGCAGATCTTTGCATACATGCCCACGGTCGTGGCGACCGCCATTAACGTCAGTGGTACGTGCTTTCATTAGTTCTACTGTTTGAACTTGATAGCTCAGAAACGCACACAGTGTCGTCTGTGTATGAATACGCGTTGCAGGTCTGGGTGCCCTCAGACTACACTGGCGAGGATGACGCAAATGACCTGCTTACGGTCTGGCTCTGCTATATTCCTGAAGGCTCTGTCAGCGAGCTCGCGCAACAGATCAAGGACCCGTCATCGTCGTTCTATACGGGATTATCCGGTATCTACACCGAGCTTGCTGAGCAAGTGAACCCCTCCTTTGCGGTTGACTCAGTAACAAGTTCTTCATCGGACTCGGGTAGCAGCAGCGGCAACAGTGGAACACCGTCTTCCAGCAGCAATGCTGCGACCAGTGGCTCGTCAAAATCGAAGACACGCGAGGACGCCATCATTGGTGTCGTAACTTCGCTCGGGGGTATCACACTCATTGCGCTCGCATTCCTGGTCATGCGTGCCATCAAGCAACGCCGAGAGCTGGCTCATCAACGCTTGGCAGAACCTGTGAACGACCCACATTCATACGACGGATCTCGCCCCGAGGGTCAGGAGTTCGACCGTGACAGTCTGGGCGGGCAGCGCAGGCGCAGTTTCTACTACGCCGCCGACTCGCTGCGCGGATTCCAGGAGGTCGCGACTGCTGCGACCGCCGCTGCCGCATCTTACGACTCGCAGCTGAACCAGGACAATGCCATGCGAGAACGCCGGCCGATCGCACCGGCGATGATCTCCACGCCGATCTTGAGAGAGAACTCGATGAATTGGTAGGGCAGCGACCGAGAGACGTTTGCAGGACGTGTTTTGTTGTTCGTCTCATCTTCCGTAGTCGTTTACACTTTGTGGCTTGAGGACGACCTATACCAGAGCCGAAACGATATCACTTGTTTGGTTGTTCTCTCTTTTGTGTTTTACTTTCCGTGATTGGGCCTCCCGGTGTGGGGTTCGAAAGGGAATGGTGTGTACATGATATTCTGCAGTGTAACCTATCCGGTCCACAGTGCTTCGAGTGGGTTTACGGATCTTCCTGCTCATATGCTGGAGGCTGGTTCAGTTAGACCTCATTTCTCCTTTCAGCTGCGCACACCTTTCCTCTTCGATTTTTGCTATTTATTAAAAAATGGACTGTCGCAGGACCTTGCTTGCCTTCTTGCTGCTATTGTCCGCTAATTACTGTTAGATTCATCGCTCTGGCAGCTGCTGTACATATTTCTTCTGCCTTGTCGTTGAATCGTAGTTTAGACCTGCTGTATTACTGCGTTATTGCTAACCTATCGCGCCATTCTGCGAGAAATCAACTGCGTAAGGCAAAGGAAATTTAGCACAAAATATACTGACCCACCGTACGAAATGATGTAGCAGACCAGTTACGCGCCAATGGGTCGCGTGGGCGTTGTCTGGAGCGATGCGTCTGCATAAAACATCATGGCGATTCTTGACTTCAACGACGCCAAATGCAGGGTCACATCGCATGAACGTCCGCGACGAGCTCCTCTGGCTTCTCACGTGCAGCAAAATGCCCGCCACTTTTGTGTTCTGTTTCGAAGATCATATTTTCTATCGCATGCGCGCAGCTATGCGGGGTGAATCACTTCGTAGGTACGTACGGATGCAGTTGGTCTGGCACGCGAGAAGCAGTACACAGAGAATCAGGTGAGCACTGCAGAGTGAGGATGATAAGCCAGGCGCATTCGTATTGACTGACGAGGATGTTCACCTTCGTCGTCCTCCCACGGTTTAGTCATCCGTACATGATACTAGCTTCTCGTAAATTCACGCGAGAAGACCGACCAGGGAGTCGAGGGAGTATCCAATTGTCTGCAGCTGAGCCGACTGCTCGAAGAAGTTGCCCTACCCTTTCGCGTTGAATTGCTTCATACGTTTGAGGCCGCCGCACTCTACCTGGCTATATGGTGTCAGGAGGTATGCGAGCCACAGATGAGGGAGCTTCTTTGGGCACGGAGGTCTGAACATGCTACTGATATTTTCAAGGCTCAATGGAAAGAAGGGAGAAGAACCAGAGAAGAATTGAGCTTACACGGGAGAATCGTGTGCCAGGCCTTCACACCTTGGTGTCCATAGTTCTCCGCTAGCAGTCTGCCTATCTGGACGTAGGAGTGTCAGGCCGGTACCAGAAGGCTCTGGGCGATTTGAATGTCGTGGCCTACCATGTGCTCCCAGTCTCCTCTTTTTACGACTGACAGGAAGGGTCAGTGACCAAGAGACTTGCCCGCTAATGGAAATCGCCTGACTCACCGTACTCCTTGCATCCGAGCGCCAGCATGAGTTTGTTTTCCACCTGCAGAGCTCGGGCATGAGGACTTGGTACAAAAGGCGCTAAGTGCATCTGGCCTTGGCGTAGTAAGTCGCACAAAGTCCTCGCTTCTTGACACCCTCTGTTTGGGTGGCCCAAAATTTGGTAGAGTGGGAGCGATGACGCGAGAGTTCGGATGATCTGGCGAAGCGGCCCCAATAGCGGAAGTAGTTTTCGTACTTCGAGAAAATGACCCGGTCCTATGTTGAAGGAGTGAAATTCATACTTAGCAATTGAAGCGCAACACACATCCGTACAGGAAGAAGAGTGGAGCATATTTTCGATCGAGCTCTTCTGGTGCACGTAGTGGATGTTCAACTTCCCGAACTCATATGCCTCAATGTCTGTCGTAAACTGTGGCAAAGCATTGATATTCACTTCTGCCTTTCGCCAGTCGAAGCTATCTTTCCAACGCGCAACTAGCCGCTTGATATCGACAAGAGGCGCACCGTACTGCCACTTCTCGCCATCGAGCTCATCGGGCAGGCTCGCAAGTCGAGCTTCTTGTGAAGGAGGTCTAGATCGGCGTCGGGAACGGACAGTGTAAAGGGGAGTCTGGTCCTGATCTGTGTCAGAGGCTCCCGCAGAGTAGCATACGTGATGTGCTGACGCACGTACTTGTATGACGACCGTCCGTCATTCCGGTGTCACTCGCATTTTTCCCATGGCAGGACAAAAGGACAAAGCTTGTCGCACGGAATGTATTGGCCAATGGCCACGCGTCCTAACGCACGCTAAATAGTCATATCGCGTTGGTGTTGGTCACGTGACCGCGTTTCGAATGTGAATCCAAATCCAAATTCCTTCGAAATCAGCCAATCTCATCTCTTGCACGTAGAATTGCGATCGTGCCATATGCATATTTGACGGGGACACCACAATCCGATATGACGTTCAGATTGGCTCGATATCTCTGGCCTGCCCAAAGAACCGATTCTGCATTAAATCCACGAAATGGCTGTTCCAAAGGTGGAGGGTAATGAACACGTACTTATGAAGGCATATATAATGCGCAAACATGAGTGATGTCAGCAAATGCAATGCCGTAAGCCGGTGATGAAGAACGTTCAATGAGCGCCGCGACAGTGGTTAATGCGATATGCTACGAACCTCCGTGAGCTCCAAACACCAGATGCACCCGGAAATATGCCGAGTTGGTGACAGTTGCCGCGCATATATGGCACATGCATCGGGTCTTATCGTCATACCAGTCGCCGTTTTTAGCGTCCCCCAGGATGTTGATCTAGCGAGTCCATCGCTCGAGCCATAGTACGCGTCGAAGTGTATTCGCCTCTATTGCGAATAAGGGTAACCGCGGCCGCACTGGTATTGTAATCTTGAAGTATTGATGCACATGGTGGTCGAATGCAAGGCACATTGGGCGTCTATTGGATAGGGCACTGGCATATCACATGGGCAGCGACGTCATTGACTATGGCGCAGAAATTGAGCCAAGCCGGCTCTGGTCGAAGTATGAATACCCGCATCAACTTGAGTGTGATCAACGTCTTTCTATCCCTCTTCCATCATGTCGACATACCCAGTCCAGGTATGCACTCCCTTGTTGCTCGTCGAGGAGAAGCAAGAGCTGAGCGATGCCGTCGCATAGGTTTCCAACATCTCCTCCTCCACTACCCAGGAGCATCTCTCTGAATTCTTCTCGTGAGTCGCAGCAGGTCATTTGCGATCTCCTCCGTTCCTAAGCGCAATATGCAGTTTTTGCGGCAAGATATCATCCATCGACTTCAACCCAGAGAAGCAGTCGGCGACGATTCATTTTGAAAAGCCCTCCGCCGCCAAGACGGCGCTCATGCTCAACGGCGGCAGCCTCGATGGCGCGACGCTCACCGTGACAAGTGAGAAGGAACATCCCGACGAGGTGCCTGGCACGCAACACGAGGGCGCGTACGAGCAGAGCGACAAGCCCCGCGCGGCGAGTAAGTGGCGCCATCGTAAGCAGTCTGAAGGAGATTATTGACCGCAGTATGACCATCTGCTTTTTCGCACGCAGTTGCGGCCGAATACCTTGCCAAAGGATATCAGCTCCACGACGCCATCCTTCAGCGCGCGATCGAGCTGGATAATAAGCACGGTATCTCGTCGCGCTTCCTCAATTACATCCAATCGCTTGACAAGCAGCTCGGTGCGTGGCTGTGCGCCATGATGACGTATATGCGTGCTAACTTGTTTCCGCAGGCGAGAAGGCACTAGGACCAGACAAGACCATCTCGGGGCGTGTGCAGGAGACGCTCGCGAGTGCGACGCAGCAGGCGCGTGCGATCGACGAGCAGAAGGGCTACAGCAAGCAGGCGAGTGATGTGCGTCCGCTTCTTGACGATGTCCTGCTGCAGATGCTGATCAGCTTTCACTTGCAGTACTACGCCCGCGCAATTGCCTCGCCGTTCGGACAGAAGGTCATGCAGTTCTACACCACAACATCGAAGCAGGTGTACGACATCCGTGAAGAGGCGAAGCGCATCGCTGAGGCTCAAAAACAAGCAGGTGCCAATGTATCGACACCTTCGGAGAAGTCTACTGGCGCTGGCAGCAGCGCGCCCACGGGCGCCGCGGTCGGCTCTGCGGGTGGAGGCGTCAGTGGCGCGTAAGTGGAATTATGGTAGTACTTGTTGATATATGATCAAGTTCCGAAGGGTTTGCTACGTTGTACTTTACGAAATGTTCATGAAATGGTACCCCGTTATGATGTGTCGTTAGCTGAAGACCCATTCGCCGAGAGGCATGACCCAATGTGACGCGATCGTGGAGTCTGGTGCTCATCCAGGCTACGCTCGCGTGCGGTCTCGTGCATCTTCCTCCTGACCCGCCGGTTCAACAATTCTGCGGCATTGGGCCATGGGTTGGTTGCGGTCTTGAGCTTGATACTCAACGACGATCAGGACCACTGATCAGCGACGGGATCTTCTCATCATTGCGAATATCAGCAACATGTACTCAGGCGGAGAGCAACCGTTCACGCTCTCTGTAGCTGACGCGGATCTCGAAGTGCTTCGAACGAAGCTCGAACGTGCCCGCCTGCCTGATGAGCTCGATGACGCGGGATGGGAGTACGGCGCGCCGCTTGCTAATGTCAAGAGACTGCTCGCGCGGTGGAAGGACGGCTTCGACTGGCGCAAGGCGGAGACGAAGATCAACGCGCTGCCGCAGTACACGAGGGATGTCGATGTGGACGGGTTTGGGACGCTGAACATCCATTACGTCCACCAGAAGAGCTCTGTCGACGACGCGATACCGTTGCTGTTCGTGCATGGATGTCCGTAGCATGCTCGTAGTACGCGGCGTGTAAGAATTAATCCTGACGATTCACAGGGCCGGGACACTTCCTCGAGGTGCGGAAGCTGCTTCCCCTGTTGACGGCCGCGTCGTCCGACCACCCGAGCTTCCACGTCGTGGCTCCCAGCCTGCCCAACTTTGGGTTCTCTGAGGGTGTCAAGGCGCGAGGATTTCACGGGACTCACTATGCCGAGGTGGGCGGCACTGTTTGCATTCACAATGTACAGAGCTCATGCTAAACGGCGACTCTAACAGGCGGTGAACAAGCTGATGCTGGCGCTTGGGTATAACGAGTATGGTGAGCTGGGATTTGTAGTTGGACGAGTGTTCTGGCGAGCCTACTGACTCCTCCTGAACAGTTGTACAAGGAGGGGACTGGGGCTGCTTGGTATGTTAATGGACACATTGCACGAGGACCTGTTGGTCTCTCATTTGAGTTCCTCTAGATAGCCCGACAGCTAGCAGCAAATTATGGACGCCAGCACGTGAAGGCGTGGCACACCAACTTCCCAGCGTGAGCATGACTCTGACCTGCCCTTTCACATGTATAAATGACCCCTTGCACTTCACATAGCGTTCGTCAGCCGCCCTCGCTGACCCAGTTCCCCCGTCTCTGGCTCTCATATCTTCTTACCCCATACAACGCAGCCGAGCGCGCTGGCCTCGAGCGTTCACAGTGGTTCGCCACCAAAGGCACAGGCTACAGCCAGGAGCAGTCCACTCAGCCGCAGACCCTTGGTTACTCCCTCGCCGACTCCCCTGTTGGTCTGCTCGCGTGGATCTACGAAAAGCTCGTGACATGGACGGACGATTATCCGTGGGAGGACGACGAAGGTACGTGCACTCGACCGTTGCTGCTTGATAGGTCTCACTGCCTAGCTTCTCTAGTGCTAACCTGGGTCTCTGTATACTGGTTTTCGCGCGCCGGACCGGCCGCGTCTGTGCGGATTTACTACGAGGTGACGCAAGCGAACGAGCGCGCCCAGATCCCTTGGAGCTCCATCCCCTGTGGCCTCTCGTTCTTCCCGCGCGAGCTCCTCTCGGTGCCCAAGACGTGCGTGCCTTCTTTCTGTCTCGTGCCACGTTATATACTGAGGGTCTCGCATATATGAACAGCTGGGCGCGGACAATAGGGAACGTGGTTATCGAGTCGGAGCACGGCAGCGGCGGACACTTTGCTGCATATGAGAAACCAGAAGAGCTCGCTGCGGATATTCGGGCGATGTTTGGGAAGGGTGGACCTGCGTTTGGAGTTGTCGGCGGGAAGGCTGGCTACGTTTCTGGCTACGTTTGATGGCGTCAACGGGCCTCTCTCCGTACGTTCTTCGTTCATAAGCGATTATCGGACAACGGGCCTGAAGAATCTGTCAGTATCCATAACAGTAGTACAAAAGGAACTCCGGATACTCGTGCACCTATTGCCTCCAAATGCAGTCCATGTATACTGGATTTTTTCTGCATGTATAATAGGTTTTTGATATAGGAATAGGAACCCTGGTTCCTACATAGTAAGAATTGGAGGTCAGCCGCGGCGTAGTGAGTGAAGAATTGCATGTTCCATCTTACATGATCCGGATACAGTGGAAGACACGAGCGTCGAAGCTATTGGCCTCTAATCTTAACTGATGCAAACAAATACTTTAAAGTCCTTATGTCATCATCAGAGTCACTTGAGCTCGCCATCCTTCAAGACTGCGATCCACTCTAATCGCCACCGTGAACGTTGCTGACGATGTCTAACATGACTTCTGCGATCTCGCCCACCGAGCCTCTGACGACCCATCTGCTCTCGCTCCAAGCTCCGCGTCCATATTCTGCTGCAACTGAACATCTTTTCCTCACCGCTGCCGGCGACGGCAATCTTCCGGATGAACTAACATCTCTTTATCTGTCGCAGGACCGCCCGTATGCTGCACACGCATATCCTGCGTTCATCGGTTGGCTGCTCGCTGCGGTGCCATTCTCGTAACTTGACGCATAGACTCGCCTGCGGAGCAACGTAACCAGCGCATCGTGCGAGTCCTGAGCGACGCCTTGCAAAATGTAGGACGGGAGGTTGGGTTCTTTGATGAGACTGCCAAAGCTTTTGGACCGCAGCAGTCCGACAGTTGGAGGGAGCTGAAGGCGACAAGGGACTTCACGGCGGAGATGGCGCATATAGGTACGCATGGCCGCATAGAAGATGGTCTTGTATTTTTATGGGCTATGGAGAGGGTACGTGTTGGCTTCTGATGGCTGTCATGTGTGCTTTGCAACGAGCTTCTGCGACTCCAGGTATCCTCGACGCATGGAAGTATGTCGGGTGCCTGAAGTCCACTCACCCCCATGAAAGGGGCACTACACCAGCGGTGGCTGCTCTTGTCTCAAACTGGACGAACCCTATTTCGTGGAATTTGTCGACGACCTCGCCGATCTGGCGAATAGGTGTGCATTACGATCCCGGGTGCTTTAACGATGCATCTGTATTTTTTTTACAAGTTGAACCTTTCAAAGCCTGGATATTTCTTCCGGCTCCACAGTTTGGCAGCGTGCTGAGTCCATATGGGCGCGCGTGATCGAGATCGAGGAGGCATTCTGGCCCGTACGTTGGGACCGAGGAGATTATCCCTGGGTAGAGGCTCCCCGATTGCGATCCAGCCACACCCGATTCTCCGTGGAGCTACACATGCATACATACTGCACCATTGCTCAAATCTGGATGACATTAGAGTCTCTTGGAAGCGCCGTTACTTGTCGGTCACAGATGACGAGAATTTGAGAGAGTACGATTGCAAGTTAATTTGTCCATAAATGCAAATCCGAGCTGGAACAGCAAACACGAATGACAAGCGAAAGGGCGAGTCATTGTTTAACTGGACTACGTAGCGAAACAATTGAAGTCGAGCTAGCAGAAGACCCATGTTCATCAACATGAAGACCTAACGGTGAAAAGAGCGCACATCTCACCTCGTCTACAGTGGCCACGTTGGTACAGATGTATATCGCAGTGCCGTCCGGAGACTGAGAAGTGAGATTCGTGCCAGTGGCAGTGATGTCCTCCCGTTCCTGCGAGCAGTCGATGTCGACGACCACCGTACCTTCCGCATCGGACGACAACCCTGTTACATCAATATCTGCATGTGGAGTCTGTAAGCGGCGCAAGAGCTCGGCGAGGAAGGATACAAACAGTGGACGTCGGAGATCGAGAGGTCGCTTGAATACTGTGATGTAACGCTAGCAGGTTGCGATCAGCATAAGTTGTGCTAAAAATCACAGACGATCTCGTACTTGGTCGATTATGATGGGATTGTCAACCTCATAGACTGGGAAGATCATAAATGCATCGAGTGAGGCTGGCACAATCGCACATTCTCACCATAGAAGTCCAAAGTGATGTTCTTGCCTCGAGGCCGAGCGTTCTGCATTGCCTGGCCGTATCTGTGCCACTGAGCTCGATGTCGGAGCCAATCATTCCTCAATAGGATATTCACACTGTAATAGTTGTCCAGGCCAATTTGACTTTGTCCCGCACTCTGAAAATGCCTCGTTGATGGGGTGAACGGTCATCACGACCTCCTCCCAGTGGTACAACCGTGCAGACATTGTCGTAAGCAGCAGCTGCAGTAGTGAGAAAAAGCAGGACGAAAGAGCATGAAATCATGTCGTCCAAGCCGCACGGGATCCATCGGAAGCTCTAATGCGCGAAATTATGTATGATGTCCCCATCTCCGACTGTCATGCGATTCACCTCGCGGCTTTCGCTTAGGCACACGGACACGTACCTCGTTGAAGTGCAGGTGTGTGACGCAAATCCGCTGGTTTTGTGGGGGGGCTGAACAAGCTACCAGACGGCCCGGATGTGAGCCGATTCTCATGCTCGAGCTGCGGCACGGCCATGAGACCTCTTAGCGGACACAATCTCCGCGAACATTATTCCGAGCGGGAGGTGCGCAAGTACAGGATGTTCGGTACGGGACAAACACATAGGCCGCTATAAGGTGATCATGAATGTGATGTTCAGGTTTGGTTCGGGTTGACCTCTGTTGTGGCGGGCTGGATGAGATTGGTCACATGAAAGACGCGCGCTAGCGCCGTCGTCACTCGAGTTCTCGTCGCGCCCGCATCGCAGCCAACGATGGCAAGCCCGCAAGGCTACGTTGACCGTGAGTAACTCCAGTCTGAACTACTTTCAAGAGCCATCAGCTTCCAGTTGCTGAAGGTGCGCTATGCTTGTGTATGACCTTCAGATCACGTTCTGCTCATTCTGCAAGATGGACGTGCAATTGTGGTATGTGTGCTCTGATCTCTACTCAATTGTGGTATCTAATTGCACTGCATCTCCTCTGATCACCCTGATCCATCGGCCGCGCAGGGAGTAATGGCCGGTTATGACCAAAAGGCTAACGTTGTTCTGTCGGACTCAAAGGAACGCGTGTATAGCATGGAGGAAGAAGTAGAGAATCCACTAATCCACTAAGACTGTATCTTGTCAAAGGCGACCAAATGTGAGTTGCTGAATCATGCAAATGGCAGATAGCGTCTTTAAACGCGCGATATCTGCAGTGTTCTGATTGGCGAGCTTGATGAGGCCCTAGACCAGTCGGCCGACCTCTCCACCATTCGCGCGGAATCTATCCTGCCTGTCCACTACTGAATGCACTTCAAAAGCTCATGCAAGCGAAGTTTGCGGCACTCTCTATTGGGTCGCGCCATTGTGCCCCACCTCATGGTCCTCCGACATCGTGATGTCCTACTTGCGTCATTAGAGCGTATCACGCTCTTCCGGATCACCAGTTCACGAAATAGTAGCACTGTCAATGACCGGTTGCGGTGGAGTCCGTCTTGTCGAAGTCGCCCGCTGTGCCGTGGCGCGGGGAATCTCTCATATTCAGGTGCTTGACGGGGTTGTATAGTAGACGATTGTGTGTTTCACCTTCGTCTCTCATGACATTTACCAGATAAGTTGCCAATATACCGTTTGAAAAGCTAGTGGGTTGATGGTTTGCCGTTTGTTGGTCTGTATTCGCCGTTTCCTCGCGGTTACTCCAAACTCTATCGCTAGCCCCAGTGGTAAGTCCTGCCAATCTTTGACTTTCCATGGAGTTTGTGCTGTCTATATGCGTGATGTTGCCACGAGCATTTCATTCCAGCTCCAGATCGGACGTATGCATGGTCATCCCAACGTTGTACGGATGGATCTGTTGGTTATTGGACGGCATGCGTACCAGATCTCCATAGCATGCGCTGCACGGAGTGTCAGAGGCTCGCGGATCGCATCAAGATTTTACAGGGATCAGCAAACCCCGAATTGGACTTGTGCGGACTGCAAGTTGGACGGTGGGCTCCAGTGTCTGGAATCCCTGGGTCCGCTTGTAACGATGCGGCATTCCACGCTGCTGGTCATTTTCGAAGACGGCTGATCAAGTGATCGGGGGAGTTTCCTTTCATTAACGGGCTTCCTCGCGAGTTAATCCGTTTTTTGAATTGATATAAAGGCTCATGCATTCTAGGACTGACGGAAAACACGTCCGTGGAGTCGGCAGAAGAGATGACTTTACTTATATATCCGGTTATGTATGACAGTGCCTCGTCCCATCGCCGTGTTTGACCAAAGAAGGCATCTGATGGCAGGTTTGAGCCCATAGGTATTTCCTTTTGGGGTCTCTCTCATCGAACTGCTAGCATGTTCAATTGTAGATGCTAAGTATGGACGAAAAACAAGAGGAGAAGAGCGTCAGGATGTAAATAAACGGATGGCTACAGGTGAGGAGCATCGCATTTCCTACACACGAGGGCTGTGCATAAGTTCGTACTGATAGCATCCGCCAGAATACTGATATCAGTGTCAATGGGTTTAAGTGGCATGCCGACTTATGCTGGGACGGTGTCCTCGCTTCTCGATTTGATGGAAGTCCGCAAAGCCTCGTCCTCACAAGCGCGCCCAAAGTGTGATTGCGACGGTCGACGTGTTCGGCGCGTGCTTCATGAAAGCTCCCGAGCGCATCCCATACCACTGACGCTTAGTTCTTGACTACTTTGCCGATGGCTCGTGCGAATTGCGTGGAACCGATAATTGTCGATGCTAGTATTTCCGTGCCATTGTACCACAAGCCAGCCTTTTTTGTATCGGGTCTTTAGGGTGGCATGGACCACCTGTGCTCACACAGTGAGCACGCCGCGGTTTACTGAGGTTACGGACTGATTGGCATCTGCCGCTTATGTGTTTTCACTCAGCTTTGGCAAAGACTTGTCGATCAGTAAAGATAACAAGATGTGCCGATTCCACGTGAATACTCGGCCATTACACTGCACCACGGAGCCGCACAAAGCAGATTGATATGTCTTTGGTTTAATCGAAGGTGTCAAAGATGCTCTTCGTTTTCTGATGGAGGACAGTTTTCAGATGTTGCCTCCTGGGCCTTACGCTCAGTGCCTCCGTACCGGCTGCTGAGCCGCAACTGCCTTGAGCAACATCTATAACTATTAGCCGATGTATGGCTCACATCCGGACTGCAAAATATTTGATATTTGTAGAAATAAAGTCACCAGATGATCTGTGCACGCCCGCGAGCGTGCAGATTATTGCTCGACATCACAAAATTGCTCGAGGATAAAACCATCGTACCGATCTCTGTATGTGCTGTACTGGACGATGGGGTCTCGGTAGGAAATAGAAGACATTTTCTTACGACTACAGGCGGCGTGAGAGGGATGTTGAGCATTGCGCAGCTGCATGAACATCGGATCAGGACAGAATTCCTCGCGTCGAGATTGCATGTGTGAGCTAGACATTCGGTCGTCTCACTAGATAACACACTGAAGCGCTATCACCACCGTTTCAATGAATTATTTTGCGGCAAGGACTGTCTACAAATTTATCAAACGGTGATTGGAGCGGTTTGGTCACGTTTTGCTTTGCGATCCCACCTATCAGCTTCACGGGATGCGCTGCCTTGCTCAATATACAGCAGGCCTCGCACATTGGCTCCTACCACCTCCTCGACTGCTCTCACTGGCGTACCGCATTGTGTACTCCGCGCACTATTGCCGACGATACTCGAATGATGGGATGCGGATTGGTCTGTGGCAGGAGCACGCAAGAATCCACCAAGTTCAGCTCTGCATCGAGGCCCTTGACGAGTGGTCGCTCTTGACTCCCCCAGTTCTTTTGCTACGCCCAAGATACAATGCAGGCAGCTGCTTCTTGCGATAGCTCGTCCAGGATGCCCGAGAATTCTATTGACCCAGGATCAATAATGGACCCATGCTAGAGCATTTTTGGGAGGAAACTGGGCCCAGGGTCGCTTCCAGCCTCATGGAACCGTCAGTTGACTGATTAACCCGACTTGTTCGCGAGATTGAACGGCTGAATAGTGATCGTTGGTCGCGTCTCCTTCTGATAGGTTCCTGTAATTTGTAAACGGAATGCGCCGTCACAATGGGAGAGCAGAGACGGTGCTTTGGCAAGGAAGTGGTAATGCTCGTGAGTCAGGTTTTAGCTTCTTTCAATCTATGCAAATTTGGCTGCTACCCCGGCTCAATCTGTGCCGTTAATTTATGGACAGGAGTATCCACGCCTCGGCACCCCATGGACCGGCTGGACCTGTCTTGCCCGACCCTCCGACCTCCAATCGCCATCGACCTATCGTATCCGGACACCATTGCTCCCGGCGATAGTGCAGCTCCATCCTGTTGATTTCTCGCACGTATGCACACGTGTAGTTGTGCTTCTGTCCTGGCCGTTAAACGATAGTCAAACTCTGCCACCGAGGCCCTCGCGCATTGCGTTATGATGTCAGAGTATGCGACCGTTTGAAGAATCCAAGGTTCATCCTCCGATGGCAACGGTGCCTTTCAAATGTCTTATAAACAGCGCCGTCAGCAAGCTCTAATGATCGGGCTTAAGACCTTCGCGGATCGTGAACTCCCTCCCGGGTCTGTGGCGACCCGTCGCGAAGTATCACCCCAAAGTGTCAGGGAGTAATCAGCACGAACTGGCTTCTGTGCTCGGCATGGCTTGACGTGTACGGCTTAGACGATCCAGATATGTCTGGGCACAAGCCTATTTCCCTCGTGGGATCATCTTATATGAGTTTGAAGTCTTTTGGAACGGTTGATCGGCGACATGGCTCGAAGGGACGGACGTCCCGAGCCCGGTCTTATAGCGCTCTGAGGTCCTATAAGTACGCATCATCCCATGCCTGATCCACAGACAGGGGCCCTCACACTATGAATCCTGCCGTGATTCCTCAGGCCTCGTCTCCGCAGCGTGAAGATATGGTCACTGGCATGGAGCAGAGCTTGAGTCCTGACGTAGATCATCGTCGAAGGTGAGTTGTGCTTTCAGTGCTTGGCCGAGCCAGAGAATGATATTCGCACAGGCCAAGGAACAGACCCACTCAGTCTTGCTTCAACTGTCATACGTCGAAACGCAAGGCGAGTGGATTTCCTAACCTTTATTGGTCCCTCTTTGAGATCTGACGGTACCGCATCACGACCAGTGTGACCGCAAACGACCGTGCTCGAGGTGCATCCAACTAGGATTGGTAATTGGATTTTTCTTGTGACGTCATCCAGAGTGAACTTTCTCCCCCAGACGGGGCTTTGCGTTTACGAAATTGATGATCCTGCACTGAGGTACGCTCCTAAGTATTTTATGTATATTCCGCCTGGGTCAAATATCAAGTTAGAGATGATCCAAACATCAACGAGATTACTCGGTTGAGAAATCGCATTGCTGAGCTCGAAAGCGTACTTCGAGAGATGCGAGGTAAGTCCATCTCGCTAGCTGCATAGATTATTTCCTCGTTGCTCATTATAAATTCAGGAAAGCCTCATCCGCGGTGGGCGGAGACTGGCTACCGTGGAGGAGATGCCCACGAAAACCGGCATTCTCGCACGAAGTCAGACAACCATTATCAGTCCCAGGACCTTGCAGGAATCGAGAGATTTAAAGCGACGGCGCCAGCCCAAGGAAGCCATCGCGCTGCGGAACTCTCCTACATCTCTTCCATGGTCAAGGAGGAGCCAGGTGCCGACTCAGTGCAGAATTACCTGTACAGCCTTCCGGGCCCTTCGTCAAGTGGGTCACCAAACTTTCAAGAGGCTCAGAGTATGATATCGCATGCGTATGGTACCAACCCGCAGGAAGAATACCCCCAGCGATCTCATTATCCCACTGACTCCACTGCGTACTTCCACCCTTCTTCCGGCGACTCCCCCGAAACGTACGCGGAATATTATCGTTCTGGTGCACATGAAGATCCAGATGACGAGCAATCTGCCGATTTTTACGGCTCTCCGCGTATCTCTCTCGACTCTGAGGTCCCGTCCTCTACTTGCTCCTGCTTGACGAACCCGACCTTTGTTCGACCTCTTGCCGCGTTCATGACCCACCTCCATACGACTTCCCAGTTGCTCCAACATGCGTCGGGTGACCATGACCAACAAGAATGTCTCGTACTTGCACATATGATCGAGCTCGATGCGATAATTCGGTATGTCCCAACTTGTCCTCACTATGGCACGTCAGCCGCATCGCTGATCACTGCACTTCGTAGGAGCGGGAATTCGAGTCTTGCAGTGGAGTATGCCCCAAGCCCCGCTTCGGTGGAGAGGGGAGTCATGTCTCCTGTGTCGACGTTGAGCCAAGAATCCTGCTCCAGCATATCTTCTGATGGATGGACGCCTCAAAGCGCGAACCATGCCTACTTCCATACCTATGGTAAGTCATAAAGCCTTTTTGCGATCATCTCTTCTAAAAGGTTGATCCCCACGTTGCGGTACAGCAAGAATGGGCTGATCATGCATTTTGAAGAACGAGTGGACTATGACTCTTTTCTCTGATCCTTTGCAATGCAAGTCCTGCTATGAGATACACGCAAGTCCTGCTACGAGATACCCGCAAATCCTGCTACGAGATACACGCAAGTCCTGCTATGAGATATCCTATTTATATACACCGGTCACATTATACCAGGTAATCGGCATCCTTGACTCTCGTGTGTTCATACATCTCAAGTGCGTTCTTGGCTGCAGTTCGAATGAAGACATTGTATTTGCCCTGCTTGCGAATTGTACATATGAAGAATGTGATCATCGATCCAGCACGATCGGCTCATCCTCCCGTCTAGTCGTCGAGGTCAGCGGGCGGGCCTCGTAGCTTCTTTTTTTAAATTCATTCCAGCTCATCCAGGAATGGCCTGCGGCAGGCTGCATGATCAAGATGGCATGCGGGGATGTTCAGTCCAGACTTGCGGTCGATCACTGGCTCAAACGTGTTGTCCCGCATGGATGGTAGGATCACGAGCGGAGGGCATATCATGATGCTCACTTAATCCCGCATTGATGGTAGGATCACGAACCGGGGATCGTTTGCCGCGTGACCCGGGCCGATCGTCGGCCAGTGTATCGAAGCCGAAGCGACTCCGGGGCAAGCTTTAATGTCAAGGCAACAAAAGCGACTAGAGTGTGCGAGTCTGGCGGCCTACCTGTGGTCGTCGTAATTCGAACGGGCGAAGATGCTGTCGAATTCATTTGTCGCACGGCGATACCTGTCCAGTGTCAGTCGACATATCTTACGATATTGGTGGAAGCAGAGCTTACTGAAGTGCTCGAGAACTTATCGCAATGTCGTCGCTGGAAATACTTCAGCATGTCCAGGCACAGCTGTTCTTTGGGGGGGACGTCGGAACCGCAAATGATGTGGCAGCGGCGACGGCGAGAGTGACGGCGATAGCAACAGACGAGCGTATCACGATTATACAAGCTATTGTTAGGTCGTGAGCGTACCAAAATCGTTGACGAGAAATGGCATCGAAGGAAGAAGTATTAGTACAAGACAATCAGTGAACGATTTGTGAAATCAGTGCAACCTGCTCACCAGCTAGCACCCGTACTTCGATGGGGCTCTGGAGGAAAGAAAGAGCTGGAAAATATTGCATCAAGAAAGCACATAATATATACCTATTGTGTGCCGGCTGGTGCCGCCGTATCATGATGGCGTTACTGGGAGCACAGCATGGCCTGCCATGTTAATTACATCGACTCTGCATCGCCACTGGCCAGTACGTCGATATGCCATCATCAAGGCATTACAAGGTGAGACAGAATTTCTGAACTGACTTAGCTATGATTTGCCGCAAAAATGAGAAACATCATATTCGCGTCCGCCTCTTTTCTTGTTACCCATAAGTGCTGTCTTGGCCGACTATCTTGGTTCGTGATGCTTAGTCATACCCAAGATCGCATTGAAACTGGGTGGTGGCATTGCTCCCCTGGTGCCGACAGCGTCAGCTGGCTACAATGTGCCATACAATCGTTACAAATGTAGTGGGCTTTCTGGATACCGTGAGTTTATTTACATCACATGACCGTGTAGCATGATGCATGCACTGAGCGAGGGTAAGCGCCACGGTAAATGGCCTCTTCAACAGCTTGATTTGTACCTTTACTACCGCGGTTACCGCTCTGTCCCAAATACTTGTGTCGACATACTACTGAAGGGTATTGAACGCTGTGTTCCAGTGTCTACATTTTTTCCTTCTGCTTAGCACATCGTATGCTTGCGCTATGTTGGCTTTGCTGAAAAGGCATGCATTTGAGCACGACTGGAGCATTTGATGACAGATAGCTTTCGAGAGCAGTGCGAACCGGTGGGTGGGTAGATAATGATTGAGTGTTTCAAAGCAAGTCGAGATTCTGCAGACGCATGTCTGTGAGATGTTGTTCTGGTCATCCAGTGTATGACAAGACAGTGAGTAGAATGAATGCTCACATTCAGCCTGTTTACACGATGTGTTATATGGCAGGTCGCGAGCGTGTCGTAATGGATATCATGAGTGATGTGTCTTGTCTCAGGAGAGATTGGGCGTGATGAATCCGAACCGCGTGTGGACAGCCAGAGTCTACCTGCATATGCCAAAGCGCCTTCCATCCTCGAACGAGTAGGCGACCAAATGTAAGTTGCTGAATCATGCAAATGGCAGATAGCGTCGTTAAACGCGCGATATCTGTAGTGTTCTGATTGGTGAGCTTGATGAGGCTCTGAACCAGTCGTTGATCTATGCTCCCGTAAATCCACAAGTGTCTCTGAACATCACCACAGTTTTGACGTGGATCTCTATATATTGGTTCTCAAGAGCAGGTCCAGCTGCATCCATCAGGATCTACCTCGAGACGGCGAAGAATGGAGATATGCCCATGTCAGAGGCAAAGTGGAGTCCAATCCCACTCGGTACCTCATTCTTCTCGAAAGACGTGATGGTGGTACCCAAAGCGTGAGTGCACCTCCGAGCGTGAGTGGCCGTCTATGATATGATGCTCATTTCGGCTCTCGCCAGGTGGACACGGGCAATAGGAAATGTCGTTTTTGAGTCCGATCACGACGGCGGGGGTCGCTTTGCCGCTTACGAGCGACCCGATGAGCTCGCAGCTGACCTCCACAAATTATTTGGCAAGGGAGGGCCCGCCTTTGGCGTTGTGTCGGGTGCGACCGGTTATGCTTGAAGCGTGTGTGCGAGATGATGAATTGGTGGCCATGACCGATCTATCAATCGTCATATGAACCATGCAGATATTGTCTTATGTCGAGCTATGTCTCCTGTCAAGGTTGCCAAAGTGTCATTGTTCCATCGCCCGTTGGGCAACTGGTCTGCTTCGTGCTGAGCACGAATCAGCATAAATCCGAAGACCGTTGCAAGGTCTACCCTCCTCGGTCCAAACACTATACAATCCTCTCTAATCATCCGTTCTGCCCTTTTCATCGTATTAGTGATCAAGTCAATGCTTATGTAGATGTACAATATCAAGTCGAACATCGGAATATTGAACTTGGTGGCTGGATCACCTCGGAAGATCATTCAAAATGGCTGGGGACGATGAGAATGCCACGTTGAACGCTCACCCGAAACGATACGAACCCCAAAGGCATTAGAATCTCTCATAATGAGAGGATAACACAAGGTGAGCTAGGCTTTGCGACGTAGTATCCATCAGATCCTCAACACCTCTCTCGCAATTAGCGTTATCGTTCCAAGTAGGGATTGAATTGAATTCCGTTGCTCGCTGGATCCTAATTTCCTCCCCCCTTGGCTACGGAAATAAAACACAAGGCGATCATGGCGTCGAGCCTTCTGAGATTTGGAAAGAAGTTGAACGCCCACAATGGTGCTCGTCGTTAGGAATTCTCAGCTAGTTCATTCCCATTCATCACAACAAAATGAAGACATAAGACAATGACAATGTCTAGAGCACCTGCGTTATCTTAACCCATAAATACAGATACGACACCGGCGGTCGACTGTCATATATCGCCGACCGAGCCAGGAGTGCCGGGGCTGCCTGCGGCCCTCCAAGCGGCCATAATCAGACCGACGACATCGTCTATGCCTTTTTCTTCCTTGATGCTGGTGAACACGGTAGGCCCATCTCCTCTCATCAGTTTTGAGTCACGATCCATGACTTCGAGAGATGCGTTGACGAACGGCGCAAGATCGATCTACCAACCAGTGTTCAGTGTCGACAGACAATGGGTGGAGCAAGCATCTGCATACCTTGTTAATCACGAGAAGGTCTGACTGAGATATCCCCGGTCCTCCCTTGCGTGGGATCTTGTCTCCTCCCTATCATTGTCAACTTGACTGAGTATACACCGCACGCAGACATGATTTGATTAGTGCTTACGGAGACATCGATCACGTAGATGATATAGTCTGCAAGCTCTCGAGAGTAGTTAGCAGCCAAGTTGTCTCCGCCGCTCTCGACGAAGAGCATCTGGCAGTTGTACTTGGCCTGCAGAGTCTCGAGCGCGCCCATGTTTGCGCTGATGTCCTCACGGATCGCCGCGTGAGGACATCCTCCGGTCTCGATGGCGAGGATCCGCGAAGGTGGAAGCGCCTTGTTCTTGATCAGAAATTCCTGATCTTCGCGAGTGAAGATGTCGTTCGTGACAGTAGCTAAACGCGAAACGTCAGGAAGCAGAGGATGCAGAGATTTCTCTAGACGAACCGATGTTGTAACTCTGCCGCAGCCGCTTGCACAGAGCAAGGGTCAGGGCTGTCTTTCCTGAGCCGACAGGTCTGTTGCGATGCACACCGAGGCATCAGCACGGACACACGGGCGAAAGTTGATTGACATTACCCGCCAATACCAATCGTGAATCCACGTTCCTCAAAGTTCCGCGAAGCATAATCGGGCATATCGCGCTCAGCATATCTGCCTGTATGAAGTGCTTCTCAGAAGATCGAAGGAACATCTATGTGTCCGAGGGATACACACCTGGATGCTCGAGATGTTCGTGGGTATGACCGTGCTCGAGTCCTGGGCCATGGCTGTGCGAAGCGCCGCCACCGCCATCGTGAGAATGGGTGACCAAAGGCTGGCCATTCGCAGAGGCTGAGAAGTTATTGATGAACTGTACCGTCTCGTTCTTCATCTTTCCAGCTTAATGTTGTCTCAGGAGAGGCGAGTCCACTGCTAGCACCGTGTGAGTGGTGCCCCCGGCAAATGCGCATGATATCGCGTATCTCAGAGCATTGATCGACATTCGCCGAGACGGTGGACGCGTCTATCAGTACTTCAGTGCTGGTTCTATCTGATAAGATAAGCGTAGTATTACTGTTACAGCCGTCCGCGATAGTTTCTGCCGTCATGCGTAAGGGAGCTATCCGCGTGGGTCACTATATTCAGGCTTGTATAGTAGCAGCAACTCTCAGTCTCATGTACATCATCGTCCACCTTCCCTGAGAATCTCTGCAGTCAACACTACACACATCCTGCGTAGCCAACATGATCTCCTCCGCCTCCTGATCGCTCATACCTGCCATGAAGTATGGGCGGGCAAACAGACGCAGCCAGTCCATCAATGGGCCAGGCAGACGCGTCACGCGTGGAAGGAGGGATATGGTCTTGACTTCGAATCCACAGGATTCCAACAACTGTAGAGGAGAAGCCGGAGGATATCAGAAATTTTATGCGATGCGGATGAACAATCTGGCTACACTGACAGACTGGTAACCTTCAGTAGAAGGGAAATACCACGGATCCAGCTCGACTGGGTTGTATCCTCGAGTACGGAGCACCTGGTGAAGCGCCGTCCGAACGCCTACATGGAGTCAGTCAATCAGCCAAGGCCCTCCGTATGTATCGCAAGCATCGTGATTCCACGTACCGATGCAGTTCAGAAAACCACCCATCTCGGCAATAAATCGTCCGCCAGGCCTGAGCAGCCGCCTGGCGCTGTCCAGGACACCCCTCGGGTCGCGTTTGCACCAGTGCAGCGCGGCATTCGAGAACACAGCATCGAACCCGCCTTGAGCGTATGCTTCCAACTCTTCTGGGACGTGGAGATCCTGTGCGTCGCCGACGAATGCATTCTGCAGGCCGTTGGCTTTGCATTTGTCGATCTGCGGTGCGGCGTCGCGCGTAGATGTTAGCATGCACCACGCTGCAATCGTACCGCGATGCGCACCATGCTCTGGCTATTGTCAAACCCAACTGCCAATCCTGCATCGCCGACATGCTCTTGGATCTTCAGCGTCAGCTCTCCGCTCCCGCACCCAAAGTCGATAATCTTCTCTCCGGGCTTCGCGTCGAGCAGCTGTAGCACAGGAAACGTGTACTCTTGCGAGTAGACAAAGGATGCGGTATCGTTGTACGTGGACGCCGACCACGTATCCGTTTTCCTGGCAGGATCCGAGGGCGCCATGATTAATGCTTGCGATGGCGAGCGAGTAGAAGCCCCTTCCAGAATGCAGACGACGCGTCTCCGAATGCACCGAACTAGAGGGATTCGTCGAGTGTAACTCAGGCTAGGAAGTTTGGATGGCTCAACGGCGATGTCGACGAGCCTTCAAGCTGAGCATCGACAATTACAGACGTGACTCGACTGGACATCTGCAAGCAGCCGTTTGGGAAGGAAGGAGAACATGGTGCCACAGTGCGCTAATTTCGATCATGGACGGCTCGGGCGCCCGGCGTCTAACGCAGGTTCGACCTGCCACGATTGCGTCGGTCACCCGACAACGGTGGTGCGGTTGTGCGCTCACACAGAGTGGTTCTCAACTATGCCACGAGGCGCACAGCCATCGTGTAGGGTCGTGGAATGTTTTCTGTCATCACGCTACTTGGCAAATAACAAGGATTTTCCCCCTCGGCGGCGTACAGCGGAAAGCCCAGCAACCTCAACAATTCATATCGGGCGCAAACACGGAGCTTGGACGTAAATGATCTCATTACGCTACGTTGCTTCTTCTCGCTGCGCAGTCCTTATCTTCTGTCGAAACTTTTGAGCCTTCCGCAGCCTCTGTCGTTATTGCGTAAAACTCGACAAACCGGGCGGTCAGTTGTTCATTAAGTTCATTGTATTTCCCCTGCTAACAAGACAACAGGGGTATGCCTTCGAAGACATAAATGGTCGCAAGGTCACTTCGCAACCATTGTACAGCTCCCATGAGTACAAGAAAATGTCGTAACCGGTGCATATACACATAATTGTTCCTGCCATGATTTCTTATGCATTGCGACAGCTGCTGTGTTGTCCGTCTCGGCGGTGCTTGTCGAGTAACTCACCTTCCATGCATATCTGACTCGCTAATCAACTGATGCGCCACCAGAATACGCGTCGACAGTTGTATATGTCCATCCTCCAGAAACAGCAGCCGATTTTCTCAGGAAACTTCCTACTCACCGACGCGTGAGAGCCGCGAGGCGCAAGTACTTACAAGAGACCTGGCAATCTGCGTGTTCGCTTAATCGTTGCATTCCACACTGCATGAGAAATCGGTGGAGTCGGCACCGTGCAGCTGGCAGATGATACTCATTGCCTGTGTTCATCATCTTCTCTATTCATCAGAATCTATCGCGTTGGCAACATATTAGCCGAAAGCTCAGAGCACACCCCACACATCGATGCACCTCGAGTCTATATTTATCCCTTTCGACCCGGACGCTGTGCTGACGGTTCATTTAGCGGCCTGCTTCGGCCGGGTAGCCTCGCACGCCGCACGGGAGGGGCGCATCGCACCGCACGGGCGACGCGAGATCGTGCGCCCGATGTCCAGACAAGCTGTGCCTAGCGTGCATGCGGTGCGCCTCCTCGAGGAGCTACACAATCTGCCCTGCACGATCAGAATCAGCATCAGCATCAGGACACGCTTCCAATTGCACGGATGCGCTGATGACGATGCCGCTCGTCATATTCGGGATATGGGTACCGGGCAGCCATGTCCTCGTTGAGTAGAAGGAGAGCCACGGCCGCACTTGCGCGCAGGTCAGATGCGGATTGCAGTGGGTGAGATCCGAGGTTTCGCGGCCGCTGACTCTTAACTCCGCCCAGGCACTCGCAGACCCACTGGCTGTGCGAACGATTCGGAAATGCGATGCGCTGTGCGCTCCGTCTCCAGTCTCCAGCTCAGACCAAGACTAATCGAGGTGCGGCCCTAGCATTTCTGGCATCATATCGCACTGATTGCCGCGTCCACATGAATCACAGGTTCATCGTTGCAGAACTCCATCATGATCGGAGACCACAAACGATATATTGCTGACTCGAGGAACGCGTTCTGATTATCCAGCGTTCCAAGTCCTTGGACACGGGCTCGCTTACGGTTCACCAAGCATTACACGGCAGTGGCCGCGCATTTCCCCTTGTGGATGCCAAATTTACTTCCGCCCGAATCGCCGGCCCATCGACGCTCGCCCGGCGGCCCAGCGCCGGACATTTCACATCCGCGATGCTCGGAACCGAACGGCGTCACAAAACTCTTCGCCGTCACGCCTCGTGACTGCCTCCCCTCGTCACAATCTCTCGCGGCTCGTCGTCTTCTTCCCCGCACGGACCGCACTCGCACGGGGAATCTCACGAACCTTGGACATGAGCATCACCTCGCAAGCTCTTCGCTGTTGGTTGTGAGGCTGCAGCGCCCCCAGAGCGGTTTACCGGGGGTCCCAAGAGCACACTAAAGCACTGGGCAGCTGATAAGTAAAATGGAATCAAGATCGCCGCGTTCGACAGTGGCAGAAACTGACAAAGAAGCAAGCCCTCGAGGAGCTAGCGTGTCAGCGTGCTTCCTGCGCAAATTGACCGGGGTAGGCCGCGCTGAGAATCATTACAGCCGGCGGACTTATGCTGCGCATGACGACTCGGGCAACTCACGCGCGCACGCACGAGCCAAGCAGGCCAGGTGGCAGGGCTCCCCTCAGCGAATTCTATCGGTACTTTGACGCACCGACACTATTGACCGTCTGGCGAGTAGGTCGCCGCTTCTAGCCCATCGCGTCGCTGAGGGTCCTCGCAGACGCGCTCACCCGGGGACGAGCTTAAGCTTAACGAGCACCGTGTGCTCATACTTCGCTTTACGCTCTATACCCCATCGCGGGATGACAGTACGCGAAGCGGCGAATGTATAGTTTGATTTTACATCGCGGGCTATTCATGCGTGGGTGCGAGTGTGAATTCACCGGGCGGCCTACCTCGTCATCTAGCCGGCGGGTGGGAAGGTACGGGGGGAGGGGGTAAATGCATCTCAGCGGGCGAGCGTGCCCACGGGCGGGGAACCCCCACGGTACGATCAGACGCCGCGACAGACTGGGAGCATCTTGCAAGGGAAGCGCGGAGCCGGCGCAAAGTTCCATCGGAATAGGAATAAGAATTGCATCACTTCTCCCCGATCCATTGCGCACGGCGTGTGGTCGAGGGTGGGCACGCGCGTCGGCCCTCGCTGCATTGCGATAAATGAATGCAAATTTTCCAGGTGCGAGGAATGGATGCACCCATCGCATTACTTATTCCATCTTTTCCCCTATCACCTCGCCCGCGGCTACAGACGAATGAGGGCATATGCGTTACTACAATGAATACTCATTGCGTATGTACTGCACAGACGCTGAGGCAATGAGTCTAACTACTAGTGGGTACAATAGTTTACGTTATGTTACGTTACACACAGGCGAGGCAAGGCACAATGCATCATGAGAGAGTCCGGGGCCTGGGAGCGTGCGTGACCTATGCTATGCGATGCGACACACCAGAAACGACCAAGAATGGGGCAAGGACAGGGACGGACAGGACAAGGCAGGGGCGTGCGGATTAAATATGGAGAACAGAGACAACGCAGACGACAAACACAGCGAGACAACACGACACGGGTACAAGGACAGGGACGACAAGCGAGCGAGAGACGGCCGAGATAAGTGATGGTTCCAAGATGATGAATGAGCTTGATCAGGCGCGCCCCAAGGGCAATTAACTGCAAATGTGGTAGTCTAGGTTCTGCGTGCGAGCCGAATCAGGCGGCAGTCCACGGTGTGAGATTGCGCGGAGAATTATTACGTCTTGTGATCGTGCAGCAGCGCCCGCCCGCACGGCGGCGGCAGCAGCAGCTACACACACGTTTTGATCATTGCGGCGTCGCGTACCCCGAGCTCGAGCCCGGCTGCGGCGATGCCGAATGGTCCGGGAACGTATACCGCGACTGTGGCTGCCCCTGCGCGTCATCCTGCGGCGTGAGCATGCGTCCGCCGCTCTGCGGGCTGTGCATGTATGCGCCTTGCGACGCATGGCCCTGCGCATACATCGAGCCGTGAGCCTGCGAACCGAGGAATGACGGCGGTGGTGGCGCGTTGAGCGCCATGCCGAGGTACCCCGAGCCCGACGGGTGTAGCGATGCGCCAGCTCCCGCACCGCTGCCGTAGCCCATGCGCGCACCCGAATACGGTGCGTCGAGCGCATATGGCGACCCGCCGTGCCCGTGGTGCCCTGCGGCGGAGAGGTTGCCCGCGGTCGCGTGGCTGCTGCTCATGCTGCGTGTCATGCTCACCATCTGGCGCGTCGACGAAGGCAGGTGCGGGTCGCCAAGTGACTGCAGCGACATGGGGTAATAGAGCTGCAGGCTGTCGGTGGGCATCGACGCGCGGCGCCCGGAGTCGAGTACGGAGGACGGGCCTTGTGCGCCGCCAGGGCGTGACGAGAAGGGCGTGGTGGTCGTAGGGCCTGCTGCCGCGCGGTGCGCAGGGGCAAGAATGCGGCGACGTGCCTAGATACGCGCGAACGGCATCAGATCGCGGTTAATGGACTGCATAGAGAAGAACAGGCACTAACATTGATCATCCAGTTGGACACCTGACTCATACTGAGCCCGGTGGCATTGCACAATTGCTTTTTCTCCTCCTCTGAAGGATAGGGGTGATCCGAGTGCCGGTGCAACCAGTCCTTGAGGAAGTCGGTGACGGGCTTCGGCAGCTTGCCCCGCTTTCGCGGCGGACGCTCGACGAGAGTGGATGACGCGGACGCAGGCGTCTGTGGCGAGCGTGACGGGGACGATGAGACTGGGATCGAGGGTGCGGACGAGGACGGTGCCATGCCAGCAGCCGACGTCGACGGGGTAGGAGGGTACGACGAGGGGCTGGCCATGCTGAAGTCGTTGCTGGGGAAGTTCCACTGCTCGCTTTCGTTCTTAACGGTGCCCGACTGGCGAGTGCCGCGGTCAGTTGCTCCGCCGTGCTGTCCGGAAATGCGCGTGACACCCCCGTAGAGCTGCTGCTGACAGACGGGGCCGCCCAGGGACGAGTGGCGTAGGGTCTCGTCGTATTTGAGGCCACTTCCAGGCGCTCCGGCGACGTTGCTTGGCGTCGAGTTGGGACGGATGATTCCAGACGCCCAGCTGTCCGATTCGGACGAGTACGAAGATGGCAGTCCAGATGAACGGGGATAGTCACCCGGGTGAAAGCCGAAGGATGTGTTACCCGACTGGGGGACCTGCGTGCTGGGGAGGGTCGCGTAGTCACCGACCGGGTTGTAGAGGCCGAGCTGGGTGTCGGCGGGGAGGCGAGGGCGTGTGGCGAACTTGTCGTCCGGGGTGGGGAACTGGTAGTCTACGAAGCCGGAAGACTGGGTGGGGCGGTGGGTGGGGTGGGGAAGGCGGACGCGGCTAGCGTTGTCGGGGTATAGTGCGGGGAGAGATGCGCGGCGGAGGTCGGGGCGATCCTGGAAGGCTGAGGCGATTGATGGGAGCTGGACGCGGGCGCCGTCAATGTCTGCGCGCTCTTCGTGATCGAGGGATGGCTGGTGGCGCGCGTCAGCGGAGGTTCGAGGAAGAGCGGAGATAGGTACCTTCTTGGGTAGAGGCGAGTTGGAGGGCGAGAGAGCGTGCTTCTCTGGACGAGACTGAAGGCTGCTGTCCGAAGTCGCAGAACTTGACATGCGGCGCGAGGCGTAGTCCAGCTCCTGCTCCTGTGCGTGACTGTAGAGGGGTGAGCACATCGGGGGAAGGGTGAACGGAGGGTGGACTGACACGAGGGCGGGAGACGCCGACAAGGACAAGTAGTCGACGACGTGGACGTCAGAAGTCAAAGAGTCGATCCCGGGGGTCTTGCCGTCTTCGCTGCTGGAGGAAAGGTTAGCGGAGCTGCGGGCGACAGCGGGCGAATATAAAGAGGATCAGGCAGGAGACGCGCAGATCTCGGGTGCCAGACAGGGAGCGTGTCGATGGACATTGACAGGTGTGACAGGAGGAACTAAGAAGGAAGGAGGGACTCACAGCGCGTACTGCAGCTGGGCGACGTTGTACGAGTTGAGGGGCTGGGGCGGGGGAGTGTCAATCATGAGAGCCGGCGTCGGGGGCGGGGGAGGGCGAGGAGGAGGGGGGCGGGGAGCGTAGAGTAGCGAATGGAGGGAGGAGGAGTATTTAAGGGAAGTAGGCCACGGAGGGAAGCCGACATTCGCTCACGCCTGGGAAGTTGTTCTTGTGCTCAGCGGGGCCAATGGCGACGGCGCTCGGTTCCCATCGCGGGCGAATAGCAGTCGTCCCAAGGTACGCTGCAAGCTGTGCAACCGCATTGCGTCTAATAAATCACCCATCTTGCCCGGATCTCGCTCAAAATTCGACCGAACGGGCTGCTCTTAATGACCGTCTTCATCTCAGATTGCCTCCGTCTCCGGCCATCTCGCCGCTCCCCGGCCGCAGTCCGCGCGCGTTTCACCCCATAAGGACATATTGTCCACCCAGGCACCGTTCCCAGTGGCCCCCGGCCAGCTCGGATTCTCCGCCGCCGCGGGCGAGACAATCAGCCTCCACGATCATTGCTGTGCTTGCTGATTCTACTCGTTGCCACCCTACTCGCCGCCGTGCGCCTCGCGCCCTTGTACTCATCAACCGTATTAACCCACGCCTACGCCGCCCCGCTCACATTGACTGGGCAGTACCGATGCCTGTGCTGCCTGTGCCCTTGATCTCTTCACCCACGTATCATGATCATCAGCCCCATCATCAGATGCTCCCACTCAGGGCTAGCTTAGCTCCTAGCAGACTGCCGCCGACTGACCAGGCACTGGTTCTGTACCCCAGACAGACCGTGTCCATCACCGAAACCTGATACAAAACTCTACATGGTATTCGCAGCGATGCGCAAATCCAGGCGCAGACCTTATTCCCGGCGCACAGATCCTGCAAATCTTCTTCACCGGCAATCGCGGACAATGCAAAAGCCAATCTCGAGCGCGCAGACTCTGCTGGTTTGTCAGAACGCATGGAACGCAGCCTCTCGCTCTCCAATCGAGCTTATGCCGCCCTCGCCTCCACCTGCGCGCCCACCTCCTCCCGCTCCCTCCCCTGGCCGCCTCGCCATCCCCACCGCACCCTTGAGCACCTGCTCTGCCTTCTCCCTCTCCTTCCTCGAAATCTCCACCCCGTCGAGCACGCGGATCGCGGGGCACGCCCGCATCACAAGCCCGCGATACGCAAGCCGGCCCACATACGCCTCGTCCGGCAAATCCCGACGAAACTTCGCGTCCAGGTCCTTCCACACACTGGCGCTCGCCCCCGGCGTAGGTACACTTACACTGGCGCCCCTCGAGGGAGAAGCAGATGGGCTGCTGTCCCTGGCCTTGTGCCCATTCCGGCTGGGCCTAGCATGTGTCCATGCCCCATCCTCGCGGGATGCAGGTCCTCCGCCGGCGGCGTCGGAGGGCTGCAGGGCACCAGGCACGTCCCGAATGAGGAGAGGCAGGTACCACCCAAGCGTGCACGGATTCATCCTGTAGCACACGGAGTGTCGCGGTCAGCAATCCGATGGGCACATTCAGTCACACGCAAATGGAAATGGAATGGGAAGGAAGAGACATCTCCACAGCCTTGGCGCACGGTGGCCCCCCGGCAGTAGCCCGATGCTGCGACATTGCATGCATGCTGTGCGCAGCCACGAAGGCGTCGCCCCGGCGGAGGCGGCGGCGGGCTGGTGGCTCGCCAATCTTACGGGGCTATCAAACCCCCGGAGCGGCGGTGAAGTTTCATTCGCGATTCTGCGAAGCGAATAGCGTACCTGAAATCGAGCATCTCGATGTCCGTCATCCCTTTGAGTGCCTTTACGAGCTGGCGTGCACTCTTGAGCCGTGAGCCGATGATGGTGAGTTTGCGCAGGCGGAGCAGTCCCGCGAGCGGACGCACGTCCTCGAGGAAATTGTAATTGAGGTTGAGCACACGCACGTTGGGTATCACGCGCGCCAAGTCCGAGGGAAGCGCCGTAAGGCGGCACGCGGCGAGCTCGAGATAGAGAAGGTTGTAGCACGGCTCTGAGATGAAGCCGGGTTTCAGAGCATTTCCTGCAGGCCGTCGGTCAGTGCGTGCGGTGTCCGGTGTCGCCGATGGACCAGCATTGTTGCGGTGATTGAGTGCAGGGCAGAAGGACGAGACAGGGGTAGAGGGACGAGGCACGATTCCGCGAATGAATGGACGGACGGATGAACGCGGGACTCACCAGAGAGATAGAGGCGCTTGACGTCGCGGATTTCCCGGATGGATAAGGTCCTGATCCCGAAACCATCATATCCATCATCAGCACTTCTTGCTCGTCCATCAGCGCGAAGCAGCGTCCGGCAAGGTGCGCATGTCCGGCGGAAACCCCGAACGCACTACCAAGCCGGATGCGATCGCCAACAAAGGACTAATGAACGAACGGAATGGAACGATGGCCACTCACAGTCCGGTCCTGCCGCCTTGATTCCGCACGGAGAGGCTTTCGAGCCTGGTCAGGCGGCCCAGGTGGCTGATCGCCCCGAGCGCGTTGTTGTCGGCATAGAGCGTGCGAAGATGCAGGAAGGCAGATGCATTCAGTTGCGTGAGGCGGTTCCCACTCATACGCAGAAGCCTGAGGCGAGTGAGCGGGCCATCAGGGTCCAGCTCCTCCAGCAAATTGTTATCTGCGAGCGATGTAAATGCGAGTCAGCATTGAGCGCGATGCGAGTCAACAGACACAGTAAGCGAGGGCGTCGGCGCGCGTCGGGCGTGCCCGATGCACACATATCGGATTACAGGCCTCGGGGAGGACCAATCTTCTGATGCACACAGAGAACATTACGAAGGAAGCATGTCCGAGGGCACGCTTCCTTCCCGGTGATGAGAACGTGACGTACTTACCTAGGTTGAGCGCCACAAGCGCTGACAATGATGCGAGGCCCACCACGCTGGCGAGCCTGTTGTGGCTGAGATTCAACATCTCTAGCCGAGTCCTGTCAGGCAGGACAGATGTCAGATGTCAGCCTTTTTGATTTGCTCCTGAGAGGTTCGACGATACACCGCCGGCCCTTGGGGGGCGCTAAGGTAAGCTGCGTGAGGACTCACCAGCGGTACTGCCGCAGATCAATACTGCGAATGGCGTTGTCTTGGAGGCTTAGCTTGGCAAGGCCGTCCATCTGCTGCAATCCGTCAATATCGACGATCCTATTGCCGTCTGCGCGGAGCTCGCGCAGGTGTCGCAGGCATTCAAGCTCTGGTTTCAGCCGGACAGCTTAGCGATCCTTTCCCATAGAGTGGAAGGAATGAATGATGGCTTACGCCGGAGGGAGTCAATCTGGTTGTGGCTGATGTCAAGGTGTGAGAGGTTGGGTAGGTGCCCGAAGGACGTAAGACTGGTCAGTCTGAGTAGATAGTCATGTTAGCCGATTCCGAATATGAGAGTCAATATCGGAATATGACTCGGAAAGCGGTGCACATACAGGTTCGACGCAACTGACAGCGAGCGCACCGTGTCCGGAATGCCGCTGAGCCAAGAGAGGTGGTTGCTGTTACTGGAGTATCACACGTACGTTAGCACAAGCAGCGGGGTCGACTCAGGCACGTCATGTCAAGATGACCGCCGAGAATTAGTCATGACCAACTTACAGGGACAGCGAATCCAATCGGGGCAAAAATTCCTTGAGCCTTGCGACACTGTCCAGATTCACCCGTGACAGGTCAATGGAAGTCAGGTTCTCCCAGTGCGGCTCGAACGGCTGCACATCAGTGATGACTTGCACGAGGCGGTCGTGCGCGACTCCGAATGAGCACTCGGTGAGGAAGGTTCTGTGTGCGGCCGCGCTGGTCGAGGCGCTCTGTACAGGCTGCGGGCGGGAGAAGACTCTTCGCGGGATGTCAGAGTTCGGAGTACCAGTAGCAATCTCTATTTCATTGCCGCTGGGATCGGGCGCCGTGTGTTGTTGCCGCTCGTCAACAACTGGTCGTGCAGAGTTGCTCGTTCTCAGCGGCGATTCCTCTACCAATCTGTCAACGTGCGTAAACATCATGTGAAGAAATGCATCCTACTCACCGGGTTCTCCGAGATCGCCAAGCATCTCGGCGATGCGCTTCGACCTTGCAGATGGCACTAGAACGGATGATCTGCGGCTCGTCCCCGCGGCCAAGGGACTACCGTCTTCTGCTTCTGCTCCGGGTCCATCAGGGGCGGGAGCATTCCGTCCAAGTCCTATTATCGGGCCGTCCCTCTTTCCATCAGAGAAGCTGACCGAGCGCCGGGGCGCTTGCTGCAGTGCCGGAGTGCAGAATTTTTGTGGGTCCTTGAGAGCAGACGCGGGGGCTACGCTGCTGCTTTTCGTCGGTTGACGCGCAGCAGGGGTCAGGAAAGGGGATGCTGCCTGGCGAGGAACGCTCGATTGCGGCGGGATGAGAGGTTCAGGAGGAGAAGTCTGTGATGCTGGTATGGTTGCATGTTCTTCAAGCCTCTGTCCTCCGTCGAAAGAATCATCTGAGCTGTCTTCAATTGCAGCCGAATGACCTGCATCGCCGAGACCATCGTCTAGGTCGTCTTCAGAGTCTGTGATTGCCGACATATCCTCGGGGTATTTCCTGTTGTTATGTGGTATGACATCTGTAGCGGGAATGTCAAAGACGAACAACGTCAGTCCCGCTCCGTCATCATGAGCGTCAAGTTCCTCCCGCGTCCGTTCATCATATCGTCGTTGTTGTCGCCCGAGTGAAGTCGCAGATTCATGGCTGCGTCGACTTGACTCCCGCTCGTCTCGTATACTCTCGATGTCATGGAATGGGTCTTCGCTTTCGTATTCGCTCTTTCCATTAGCATTATCGAGGTCCCCTCCTCCTGGGGTGTCCGTGGCTGCCTTCACCCATCGCATACTGGCCTTATCAAAAACCATCCTACCCACCCTGTCGGGCAGAGTAGGGACATCTTCTGGGGTTATGCGCGTGATCTGCTTCGGCCCTGGATGCTTAACGAAAGACCCCGTGCTTCCCGTCGTGAGAGTTGTACCGGAGGCCGTGCTCGATGAGACGAAACGGGTCAGGTCCTGAATTTTACCAGAACGGGTAAAGGGAGAAGACTGGACAGCGGCGATACCGGGGGGAGCAAGGAGGGTGGGATTATGCTCATGCCCGTGACTATTCTCGGCAGTGGGAGGAGTAGCGTCCGCTATTATCACCGCAACGCCAGCGGATGGCCCGGAGAATTGGTCCAACTTCCGGGGGTCGAGAGACAGTTTGAATATTCTCTCCGTGAGTGCCCGATTGCCTGGATCAGTGGCGTTGGACGAGCGGGCTAAACCGTGAGTACATAGCGGTTGCACGTTTGCCTCATTCACACACTCGGTATTTGAAGGAGCATTCGCAAAAAGTGATGTGCGCCCAGATGGCACTTTGAGCGACGAATCACTATCACCATCGACCTGGACACGTAGCGAGCTGTCATCCATTGATGGGCGTCTAGGTCGTTTGATATCATTCCGAATTTGCGCCATCAGATCGGCTGCCTGTGCTCTGTAATCGACTGCGGGGAAGATACCCTTTGAGGGAGCTTCGGCGAAGGTCACCGGGGGATGCCTGAGCGGTGAACTCCGGAAAGCAGATCGTCGAACTGTAGCTCATTTCTTAGTGCAAGAGTCAGATACAGGGCAACATGTATGCTTACTGTGAGGAGTCAGTGTTGACCTTGACGCAGAGGATCGGGTGGTTCCGATTGTGGCCATCGTGGACATAGGTGTCGCCTTCTTTGCCGTGGCCATCAGCAACCTTGGCTCACCCTTGAATTTTCTTCTCTGCAGTGGCGGCCTCAAGATCAGCGCTGCTCTATCGCCACGGCTCTGAAAGCCGGTTGAAGAGCTCAGCTTAATGCGCTTTGCACTGCGTAAGCACAACGGACTAGAGTCAGGCGCAAGCGAGGATGCAGACGGAGAAGTCGTGTCTCCATAATTTGCAGTGTCACTGCCACCCGAAGGAGTGTTGACAGCTATGGAGTCCACTATCGCAGAGAGGTGATCACGCGTATATGTGTCATAGTTGAATTGGAACAAGCGAAGAGGAGGATCCATATGTGTAGGCGCCGTACCCGTCGTTGATATATGAGGCAGCACTGAGTCGCGATGTGCTCCGTCTTGGTCGCCAGCACCAGCAGACGACCTGGGCAGCTGTGCTTCGAATGTGAAGGGAAAATCTGTAGATCCCGGAATGCCGCGCATGGCATAGGGATTTGCTAAATCGCGTTGTACCTCGTCTTCTGCCCGAATCGCAACAATATCGTCTTGGGTAGGCATGCAGGCTTTCGATAGGGTAACCGCGACCCCAGGTACGATGGCTCTGGGCGGAGGGGATGCAGTCCTGTCATGTGATGTTGTGGGTGGCGACTCGAACATTCTCTCCAGAGGATGGGGGCTGAAGAGATTGTTGCTTGAGGGCTGCTGGCGACCAGGCATCCGCTGTAGGAACGGAGTGGCAGGGACGTCATCTTTCACCAGGAATGTCCCACGTACATGGATAGAACCATAATTCAAGTCTCCATGTTGCACAATAACAGATTCCAAGGGCTGAGTAAGGGAAAGGTCAGAGGAGGATTGGCCACGGGATGAAGGTTCGTCGTCCTGGTTAACCCATTCGTCCGCGAGTTCGTCGGTTTGCCAAGCTGGTCTTGCAAACATGCCAATGAGCAATATAATGAGATAAGAAAGTAGAGAAGCTAAGCGAGGATGGATTCAGGAGCACAGTTGAGCACGACGACGCGCGAAACACCAGTTAGACGCTGGTGAGACGCGGTCTCGCGTAGTCCACGTGACCGCGGGGGGTTGTTGATTGATTATGGGTCCGTGTTTGTTTGGCTTGCACAAATAAATCAAGGCCTCAGCCACCACGTACAGGGCCCTTGCAACCGTCTGGCCATCCTCGTGCATTGCATTCTGTTCGCCGAGCTCTCATGCGGTTCTCGAACATATTTCAGGAGCAATTCCCGTGCTCTACGGAGTTGGATGCAGACCTTAGCCGACGGCATGCGCGGTACACGAAGGTCCACTTGACACCGGAATTCCGGAACTCACTGAATGCTCGCGGAAGAAAACTGCTCACATACATTCCATACAGCGTAATCAATGAGCACGTAAAGAAGTGGCGCGTTGCAGTAGGTACAAAGGCTCATTTGCTTTTAGCAGAACAAAGGAGTTTTTTTTTCTCAGGCACTGTTTCAGCTCAGATCACGCGCATGACAGGTTGCATGAAGCGCAGTATGTCAGACACGTTCTGAAGCACCCAAGCAGGACTGCAACATACCGACGCCAGCGTTAGGCCACCCCGCTCCTCCTTATATAATGCATTCTATTCTGAGCTATCGGTAGGGATCCATCACTGGACCGCTTCCTGATTCCTGAACCAAGGTCATGAGGCGAATTATTAGCGAACATTCATCCGACGCCTGGGGACGGTCTTATGTCACCGTATGAGTAAGCAATGGTGGTGTAGATTAGGAATAGACATTGCTAAATGAAAATTAGCTAGATAGGGAGGACCATGCAAACGCGATACACATTGGATCAACCCTGAAGTTGCTTCCGCGACGTCCACGGAGCCTGACGGATCGCTCATCTCTTGCGCTTGTCCTGCACCATGATGAATCGTCGTCCGAAGCGCTTTTACCTGAGACTTGCCGTCGTGCGCCGCAAGTTTTCGGGCCGGTGACGTACTGCGACAGTACCTCTAGGGCCAACGATCTCGCTCTATTCAGATGGGTCTTTGGGGGGTCAAGTCGACTCGCAGTCGTGGTCACGGAATCATCAATTGTGGATACGATTGTATCTGCCGAGGTGTTGGCCGAGGCTCGGATATCGCGTTGCGCGGGAGACAGCGATGTCGCCCAAAGATGACGTTGTGTTATTCTTCCAAAAATGACCACCGGAAAGTTAAGCTTTTCCGGTTCCCCATCCGACATGTGTGTCATTCCTCGAACTACTCCATAAATTCTATCACCTTTCGCCGATGTAGACCGAGGCTGTTGTCTTCTGTTTCTGGTTGTGACGGATTCCAGTCCTAATTATATTCCACCTGACAATCTATCCGACTTGTTCGTTTCTCAAGGATTCACATGCACTAGCCCAACTGTTCAGCTTCTTCTAAACCACAATCACACACAACTCTCTGTACGTACCCACTCCTGAAACTTATTTATCCATTTCTGGTGTCTAGGTTAGGAAAGGAGCACAGGTCGCAAGGTACAGTGAACCCTGATGCTCCAAAAGGCTCATCGGCGGACATACAAGACTAAGGCATCACCCAATGAAGGATTGGCTCGCAAGTGTTTCAGATCCATCATCGGCTTTGAATGATTAACTCCACCTTCAGGGTATCTTCAGGCTCAACATCACAAAAGGCCCCGGTTGCCATCTCATTGTATGTCCTACACAGCCTTACCAGCGCAGCGGGTGACAATTGTTGTGGAGATTGACTGGCGCGGCTAGCTGCAAACCGTTCCAAGTGTCACCAGCTGTGGGCCTACGGAACAAATTAACCCGCTATCTGTCATGACTATTCTCGACCTGGCCCGACAGCGTGGCCGACGCATTGGGTTCGGTGGCACTCGTGCTAAACCGGCACTGTCGTGGAACTCCAATTTAGGTGTAAGGACATACTTAACTCTTCATATTCTAGCGTCCCGCAAGTTTAAAGTCGAGCTTCTGAGACATGCCTCCAATTGTGTGGCGTTCACTGACTTGGGGAGGCTGCCGAATGCCTCGGAGGATCTTGTAATCATACATCGCCGGATTCTCGTCTTAACATTATTAGAACAACGCCGAATTTAGGCTCAACCACGCGTCGAAAAATCACGTTGTGACAAAGGAAGCGCAGCTTTTAGTCTTGGATGAAAGAACATGATGCATTGTATCGGAGACCGGATTGGTTAGCAGAGGCCGTTCACTCGATTTCTCACCTCCATTTGGCTAAAACAGACTCAGTTTCACGGCTTTGCAACTTCCGAATAAGGTGACTCCAACCCTCTCATCTTCCCGCGGCATTGGGTTTGATAGCGAAGCTACTCCCCAGCATCTATTCGCGAGCACATGATTATGATGAAGTGGCAATAGCATGCCGAGCGGGGCGCGTCCTTATTCCACCGTGGGTTCCGGCTTCCCTTCACTCAGGATCCGTCCGAGAGACTGGGAGCTGCTACGCCCATCAATCGCGATGGCCGCTTCCTCTAGGCTGAGGCTATCCTCAACCTACACCACCCTTGAGGCAGCGATGTCGTGGCGTGCCTCTGCCTTCTCGATTCACCGCCATCATTGACGTAAACAATCATGGGTCAAAGTTAACTTCCTGACAGCTTAGCCCGACGATTCGCGGATTCCTGATTGCGAACTAGCTTTTCTTCTGTGCCACCATGCTTCTTGGCAGCCATCACCAATTGTGTTACAACTCTACGTTGTCGCAAGCGGCTACAGCTTCAAGCGGGTTATGTCGAGTGCGAATTTCAGTCGCTAGTCTGTTGTCATTGTCATAATCAACCTGTATGCTTGCGCGCCTAACTTTACCAACTTTAAGTGATAGGGCATTTAACGTATAGCGCTCCTGCCGAGCGTGCCGTGGGCTCGCGTTTCGCTGTCCGTTATCCCAGAATGCTTACAAATCGTAGAAGGAAAAGGTGCGGCTTTGTTTGAACTTTGCAACTACGCACGATACTGTACAGCTTCTGCTCCAAATACCTAAAGTCCATAATCGCATTCTCGAGGGTTATGCGGCTGCCCCTCAGTCGCATGGTTGGGGACATGAGACGGATTCAAAGTTCCGTGCGGTCTCAAAAATGTTCTGCTACCGTGCTCGAGCGACAAAGACAGAACTGATACTATGTGAAATTCGCGCGCACATAAGCACACGACATGTTGTTTAACTAGCAGCTTATATCCGCCGGATACCAACATGTGCCAGCACGTTGCGAAGCATGGCCCCCTCGTTTCCAATGTCCGGCCACTTAAGCCGCTCGTTTCAGCTGATCAAGTTCCAAACGTGTGCGGCCCGTTGGAGGAAACCGCTCATTCAGACGGCGACCGTCGAAAGATTATCTTCGACTGCGTACGCACTGCCTCCGAATGCTCCGAATCCAAGCGGACTGTCGTCGAGTTGCTCGAAGCAAGAACACCGGCAGACACACTCGGTGTCTGATGAACTCCTGGACTCGAAAGATGGCGGCAACGACCCGTTTCATTTGCAGTGAGAGATAGAGTTACTAACTATCCGCCCATTAGTCTTCCGCCTGTGCTCCTCAGTGATGCCAGATACTGTCGTGACTGTCAGTCACCAGGTCCCTCAGACGACCATCGCGATCTTTTCATTAAGCCGGACGCACGGACCAGCCTGGAGCGCGGCAGTGCCATCAAATCTTGAGCGCCCAAATGATTTTGCTGGATTGCCGTCCACGGCGGCGGCCGATCTTTGAAACCGCAACCACATCTGCTTCGCCGCGATATCTCTGATATGATCCGATGCAGGTCGGTGCTCATCCAGGTACTGCGGAGCGCTGCAAGGTTAGTGTTAGTGCGTCTCCTTGCTGGCCAAGGCTCTTCCATGAGACTCCGGCCACCGTCAGCCACCGCCATCGCAGGGATTTTGAGATCACACTAATTAAATGCGAGCCGTTGCGATAATCGTGCGGCACTGCACGATCGCCACTTGCAGTTTCAGATGGAGGGCATCGGATGCAGCGATCGATGGTCGATACGAGACGAGATGTTCTATGATATGGCTGTGATACTGTGGAGTACTACTATGGAGGTAGCGATATAGTATGTGTTTCAGGGGAACCTTGTTGTAGTACATTTTCTAAGTATTTTCTAACTACTAAGAGGGCAAGCACGAATAATGCGGGACACTATCGTACGAGGTAGCCGATGTTATCGTATTTTCTACTTTGAGACGGGAGAGGGGTGGGATGACTCCGTACGTGGGACGCACGGTAGGACGAAACACATAAACTGATGGAAGATGCGTGGATGCGATGCCGATGAAGACATGCATGCAGACCCAAGGATCTCAGAAGAGGAGAAGAGAAGACGAAATACGTCTGATGAAGATGTAAGAGACTAAACGCGGTCTGCAAAGACCAATGACCATGTATGTTACGGAACAAGCAACTCGGCGCAACTGAGATGATACGCCGATAGGAAGAAGGACGTACAAGAATCGTCGCACAATGACCAGAACGGCGGGCACAGAACACAAAGGAACTGGAATAGGAAGAGAAGAGTCTAATGAATAGAAGAAGAAAACAGAACCTGATGGCGATGGAGATGCTGATGTGATGTGATGCATGCAGAGAAAAAAACCGAGATTGCAAATACGCGAGTCCGGGAGTGGGAATGCAGATGCGATTGAGTACGACGATGATGGATGCATGAAATGTGTCTATCTATCTACGTGCAATGATAATGTTATGGGGTGTATGCGTGCGTACGTGGTCCATGCTTGAGCTGAGGTATGGAGAAGAGATGCGATACGGTGGAGGTAAACGAACGAACGGATGAATGAATCACGGATGCTGGCTTGTCGATGTAGTATGCGGCTTTGGATGAATGAATACCTGAGATGGAGGATAGGGCAGCCAGACACACGCGGCGATGCGCAAAATCGGAAATGTCCTCGGAAATAGCGTCCTTGGGTCAGCAGCGCGGACATCGGGACAACCGGGGTATGATCCTTGCTACAGCGGCTTGTCTTTTGAAATATAGAGAACCAGATTCAGATCACCGCCTACCTGCATAGAGACACGGATGGACCGTATACCTCTCATGATGGGCGGCCTCCACCCCCTCACCAACGCACAGGGACCCCACGGAGGCCCATTATGCCTCTTCCCCTGGCTCGGCCTCGCTCGCGGCACCTTTCAGGATCGCCCTCCTTCGGGATATCGACAGGGACGGGCTTAATATTTTCACGCTCCACGACCTGAACATCATGATAGTCGAGGGAGCGTTCGATCTCCTCCGTGCTGAGGATCAACGACGACCGAGAGCCAGGGGCGCGTCCATGTCCGGCGAGCCCGCGCCCAGTACCAACGACAGTCGGAGCCCTGCACGACCCTGCGCTCGATCGCCGCCGAGGGCGGGGTGCGATGCCAGGATATGGCGAGCGGCCACGAGGGAATGCTGCGGCGCATGTACCAGTGCCTGAGCCAGATGCGCTTCGCTCGGCTTGGGCGACCTTGAACGAGACGACAGGAGCGGCGGCGGTGCGTAGAAGCTGCGGATTCGCATCATTCCGCGGGAAGATGGCGGAGAGCACGCGGCGGTGGCCGCGGGAGGAGGGAGGCGACACCGGGGAGGGAGTATGGAAGACTATCGGGGACAGCTCGCGGGGCGGCGAGGCAGGAGGCGAGGGCGTTTGCACTGATGAGGCGAGAGACTGCTGAAAAGCGGCAGTGAGGAGCGCCGGGGAGGAATATGTGGAACGATGAGTACGATGGGACGACCCCGTGGCAGGAGTGTCTGACGGAGGCATCGCGAAACCGACGGACGACCGAATCGACGATGCCCCGGAAGACGGAGCAGGTTTCACATCAACGCATTCGACAATGGTGGTTTTTTCATTGTCCTCGATGAGATCAACATTTTGCGCGTCTGTATGCAAGAACGTCATCTCTCCGGGTGTCCGTTCGAATCGTCTGACCCCTTCGAGCACAGCCTTCTGTTGCTGGTGGCACTGATGCGCGAGCAGGATATTAGTCCGTCCGCGCTGGTGCAAGAATGGTGCATTTTGCGCCCACTCGTCCATGCGGGTGATCATCTGACCATGACCCTGGAACGAGCATGGCGAGACAGAGAAGTCGAAATTGAATACCAGCTCTGGCGATGGCTGCAAGCGGAGAGGCGAGCTTGGAGGCGGACAGACTGTTTTGCGTCGGGGTATGGCGATGGGCAGTGACGCCTGCGGGGTATGAGGGCTGGTATCTCGGGATTGGTATACCGCCTCGGCCTTGATTCGGGCTGGTGGCCTGTCGACGAGGGTGCGAGAGGAGGAGCGGTGGAGGAATGGTATCGGAGCACTCATGATGGTATCGTTGCTAGGGAAAGTTTTCCTCAGCCTCATGCGTTGTATGCGCGGATGGCACCGAATATATGCGTACTTACCGGAGGGTATGGCCACAGAGCGGCAAGGAAGCGTGAACAACGACCTCTATGGATGCGAACGCAAGGATTGTTGTTCACTTTTGGTTCTGGCAACGCCTATCTGAGAGCATGCAGCTCGAAGAGAGGCGATGGAATGCCTTCAGACGATGGAGCGGCGCTCCGACGTTGTACGTTACTAAACGCAGACCACTGCAGCCGCCGAATAGTTACGCGGCTGGCAGGGCTGACCAGGGGCAATCTGCTCTGAAGCGAGCACAAGATGGCGCTGGGGAAGAATGTGGCCAGCCTCGTCTGGCCTGTCCCGCAATTTTATGGTGGGACTTTTCCTGTTCGGTGATGAGCGTCTCGGCGAACAGGTGGCGGTGTCACTTAGCACTGTCACTGGCTCTGTCACTGGCTCTAGGCCGTCAATCTCCGGCGGTACGAGCTGAGAAGGGAGCGGAGGGTTCGCGGCGGAGCGTGGACTCTGTGAAGAGTATAATGAAACAAAATTTCACCAGACCTGCCTGGGTGGCTGGCATATAAGGCAATGCTCGAGCCTACCCATACTTGTTTTCCACGTGCTACCTGTGGGCGCTCGCGCTCAAACTCAGCGGCGTCAAATCGCTCTTCCAATGAATCGCCGTGAAAATGCGGCGATAAATTCGTTGATTAATTGCTCGCCGGGGGCCACTTCACTACCATGCAATGTCGCGGTGATGGAAATCACCAATCTTAGCTCGATGTCTGCCCTTCTCTTCGACGCTTTCCCTCCATCACAACCCGAACAACGCGACCTTCTCTGCGCCGATCTACACGCATTCTGACGCGTCCGAGTCCCGGCACTTACCATGGCATTGCATGGAGTGACGCACGTCGCATTCCGTCCTACGTTGCTGTTTCTCGCTCGCAAGCAGCGTCGCGGAACCTTCCGAGCGGGACGTCGTGGAGGTGAAGGACCGGACTTTTGCGGATGCACCCCCCGGCGGCGTTGCGATCATTCGAACATCGTGACCGAGATGACACTGCTCGCAATCTAGGTGCATGCTCTACCTGCTTCTAACCTGCTTCAGCATTTATGGCGACGCGACGCTCTTATCAAAGCTGGTGTCCGATCAAAATGCGTGCATCTGCAAGCCTCACGGTTATGCTGCTCGGCCATGTCCGTTATCGCCATCTGCAAGTCCGAGTTGTGCATTTGCTGCTACCAATGGCTATATTATGCTATATCGCACCGTATAGTTATATCATAGCACATTATTATTTGACACACTGATGCATATGCCTTCAGCAACACGTCTCTCCTATGCGCCTCTGTCTACGCACCTCATTCGGGATACGTCAGAGTCATGGCGATACTTTTCAGCACGCCGGCCTCGTCCAGCTTAAGTTCAGATCACCCATGATGACTAGGTACGCGCTAAAAAGTCGACACGATCGTGCATCAGATTGCCATGTAGTCGTCCTTGCTTTGCGTTTTAATCGGGGCTCGGATGGCTTTCACGGGACGTCCGGACTTCTGCGACGTCTGAGGAATGCCGGCAATGTCAACGTCCATGTACAGTGCGAGGTGGACCGAGGATTCTGAAGGAAGGAGCTAAACATAGAGCATTCTCTCGGCATGAGAGGCGTACAACACCTGGAAAAGCTGATCGAACTCGATATTGACGTGGGTAGCGCCGCTTCCTCTTCACATGTTGTCTCCCCTAGGTCGCAGACTTATTGAATCCCCTTTTCCGAGGGAGCGACGACAGCTTCACATGCACACTCCGGACATTCGCGGACGCCTGATCAAGCTCATATAAATCAAGTCGTCCTAGCTGTGCATTGTCCCTCCATCTGCTGTTATCCTCGGACGAACGGGAGGCGGTGGTGTGAGCATGCCAGTGTGTTGGATGCCAGCCACAACGCGGGGACTGCTGCGGGACCTGACAAAATGAGTCGGAGAAGAGGTGAACTGCACGTATGTATTAGCATTAGCCATCTTCACACTCTCCTTCGTTCTTCAAATTCACGGAGATCAAGTAATACAAATGTATCTGGCATATATGTGGTAAACCTGGCGCGGGCTGTCTGTCCATGGATGCATGACACGGTGCTCGATCGTCGAGGTGCATGTAGCTGGGGTCTCCGAAAGAGGAAGTGCGGTTGCCTGATTTGGGGCAGAACACGCGTGTGCAGCGTTGTTTTGCGCGCGCCACGACTGCGGCGACGACGACGACGACCCCACCGGCGGCGTGCTCGGCCCAGGGGCAGGGTTGCCTCGAGGCAGGATGAGCCTCGTGTCGAAGCATTCAACTGCCCGCGGCCCTCGCGCGTGTCATTCCCTCCCTTTCCAGGCAGCGCCTTTCTTTCCTCCGTGCCTGCCCACTACACTTGTCTTCACCACCACGACCACTACTCATCGCCGCCACGAACAATTCGCATGTCCCCAACCGCCCTCTCCTCCCTCCTCGCCAGCCGTACGTTCAACTCCCTCCGCTCCAGTCTAGACCCTCCCGCTGACACCTTCCCCTTCCAGGCTCCTCCCCGTCCTCGATCGCTTCCATCCGTGCCGCCTGGCTCTTCCTCCTCCTCGCCGCCAACCACGTCCTCCTCCCTCTCCTCCTCGGCACCCTCCTCCTCGCCCCTACCGCCCGCGCAGCAGCAGCGCGCTCCACCTCCGCCCTCGTCCTCCTCGCCAATGTCTGCGTCGCGTGGGTCGCCGTCGGCGTCGCCGAACTCCTTCTGTAAGCCTCCTTCCAAGCGATCTGCGCGCATGCTCACCGCGCGTGCAGGTACTACGTTCACGAGGAGACCTCCGCTCACGTCGATGAGAGGCTCTGCGTCGCCCAGGGCGCACTCCGCAGCGCGCTCGTGCCCATGTACGTCTCCCCGCTCTCACCCAATCCTACTCAATTTCACTAGCGCGCTAGGATCGCCACAGCCACACTCGCCCTCGTCCTCCACGCCTGGCTCTCCTCCGTCCGCGCTCCACAAATTCAATACGATGACACCTACACCCGCACGCCACCGCACTCGCGCGCGAGCTCGAAGCAAAAGACCTCCCCACACGCGCACTCGCGCTCCGACTCGGGGTACTCGTCCCGCGCTGGCTCGGGCGCGCAGAGCGGCCGCAGATTGGTAGACGTCGAGAAGGCGGGCGCAGGAGCGGACGTGAGGATGGCGCAGCGGAGGGAGCGCTGGACGCGATGCATCCGGATCGCACTGGTGCGCTTTCCCGTTTGTGCCTACGCGACAGAGTCTGGATTGACATCAGTGGGCAGCTCGTCCTCGCGCCGTACGCCTTCTTCGGCATCTTCACCGGTGCAGGAGCCAAGGTGCGTCTTTTGCTCCAGTTCGCGTTCATCTCCGCTGACGGGCGGCTCTAGCTAGGATTCGATCATCCCGGCTCGGTCGCGCGTGGGGAGCAGTTCTACGTCTGTATGGTGGGCGTGCGCCGGCTGTGAGTGGTAGTGCCGGATGCATGTGTGAGATGCTAACCTCACGACAGGGCCGTCGCATCGGCAGTGATCGCAACGCTCGTGTGTGCGAGCGCGGTGGGTCTCTTTGGTGCGCTCACTTTGGCTCCGTAGTCGTTTCCGTCTGACGGAGCGAGTTCATCGCTGGCTGCGTGCAGTGCATCTCCTCGCCCGCCGCCTCATGGCCCATCAAGACATCCTGACCGAAAGCTACGCCCGGGAAGAGATGCCGTCCGCTCCCCACCTCTCGCGAGCGGATCTTCTCCGGCTGGGTGCGTACTTGCTGTATGTCCTCGCGATCGTGCTGTGAGCGCCCTGTGCCCATGCTGCCCTGCCCTCGATGCTGACGATCGTGTGTATGTGCATGTCTGCAGCGCGGACCTCGTCGCGCTCGGCTATACTGACTCGGGATCAGGGACGAGTGCGAGTACCTCAGAGGCGGTGGTCGTGCGGGAGATGTTCATCGCAGGTGGTGCGTGCACGATACGGGTTCTCTGACTAGACAAAAGTACTGACGGGTGAGACGCGCTGAACAGGCGGGATGGCTGTAGTTGTTCTGTTCGGGCTGCGCTGGGTACGCCCTTTTTTCCCCACTGCTACAATTCGCACTGACACACCCCGCCACCCGCAGGGCATCCTGCGCACCTGGAACCCGTGCCGCCCCCGCCCCCGCCCAGCCTCCCAACTCGACCGCGACTCGCACGCGCCCCGCATTTCGCTCCCCCTCCTCGCGCACCTCCCGCGGCTCTCCCGACTAACAGGACTGACAGGAATCGGGCTCTCGCGCTCGCACCTGCCGCCGTTCCCTGGACCGTCCCTCCCGGAGTACGACGCACACAACCGCGAGCAGGGACAGGGCGCGGACCCGGGGTACGCGTATGGCCGCGGACAGGAGCGGGTGTCGCTTGGCTCGGGGGTGGAGTATTTGTATGACCAAGAGCATGCGGCGTACGCGTATGCGCCGCGGGCTCCGACGATGGAGTATACGTACCGCGGGACGGCGTCGCATGTGGGCTCTACGTCGGAGTGGGAGTCCCTCGCGAAGCGGGCTGCGACGCCGACGACGGTGCATGTTCCTGAGGAGGACGACGTGTCGGGGGCGAAGCTCGTGCGGGGGTACTCCCCGCGGTATCAGTCGTATTCGCACTCGCCGCAGTATGGCGTGCACTCGCCGTCGCCGCAGTACCCGGCGTACGAGCCGCGGTACCTCCCGGAGGAGCAGGCGACGCCGTCAGAGGCGGGCAGCAGCACGCCGTACGCCAGCGGGCGCATGGGCAGCGTGGGAATCGGGAGCAGCGCCGGGGGTGGCGGGGGAGACGGAGGCGACCGTGACTATGGGCCCGCATACCCCGGCTCGTACCCCGAGCCGCTCGACACCGTGCGCGAGAGCGATTTCGAGCCCGTATACCCGGGCGACAGCGCGTATCGCACTTCTGAAGCCGCAAGTCGCAGCCGCGCCTCGGAGATGCGCTCGCAGGTCGGGTATGATTCCGGGGAGAGGGAGAGGTATTATAGGGCGGCGGCGGCTGCGAGGGCGCGGGGTGCGGGGGTGGAGATTGTAGAGAGGCCGCAGGATGCGTTTGTTGTGACGGTGCCATGGAGGGATGATGGTGAGGATGATGGGCGGGGGTATCGGGAGGGGCGGAGAGAGGGCTGGGGAAGGTCGGGTGGGTCGGGGTGACGACGACGACTCAGACGTCCGGGTCTGTCTGCGCGTATGTGATTTGCTTTGCTTGTCTGCTTTGGTCGGGTGTGCGATGCTCACGCTCACGCTTGTTGTTGTACGATATATGCTGTATCTCTACGGACGTCGAACTCTGGGACGTTGACCGCTTTGCTCACTCATCACCCCCCGCATATAGGTTATCTTCGCTTTCGCTCTTGCATACATACTCACGCATCGTTTCTTGTTTGCTGTTCACTGCACCACCTCTGGCATTCCGCGTTTGTACCTACGTGGGACTTACTACAACCCAACATGCTATTCATATACAGACCATCCACTAGATTTGATGTGCACATGTATATTTTGCAAGGTTCATATCGCCATGTGGACGAGTGCGAACGAAAAAATAACGTGCGTGCGGATGACCATAAATATAATAGAAAACAGCAAAGCAGACGATTAGATGACAGCAAAGACAGTCTGTGAGGAACCTCCATGGTACGGATCCCTCTAGCCAACCCGATGCCGCTCAATGATCGACTTTTGACGATCGTCTCGGGATACACGCCTGCCCACCATCCGTGAGCGTACATCGAATGAGAGAGGGAGAACACCGACCAGTAGTGCTCCATGACGTTGCTCTGCCCGAGCTTCCGCAGGAAGCCCTCATCGTGCGTGATGATGATCAACTGGAAGTTCGAGTTGCTCTTCCGTTCGTTGATGATGCTGCGCGCACATCGTCAGCGCTAGCGTCTACCGATACCAAGGAGAAAAGAGAGCAAGAAGCAGGGAGCAGGGACGCACTCGATGAGGCTCGCGGCGAGCGCGTCAATGTTCTCCGTGTCGAGCGCGTTCGTGGGCTCGTCCAGCGCAAGTATGCCGCAGTTCTGTCCGAAGGACTCTGCAAGCGCGAGCCGGATGATGATCGACGCGAGCATCTTCTGTCCCGCGCTGCAGCGCCCGCGCATGTCCATCTCCACCTGGTCCTTCGTCATCACGACCTGTGCAATTCATAGACATTTGAGAGCGTGTGAATGGAGAGCGGTGAGGAGGACGTACGCGGTAGTTGTACGACCGCTTCGTCGCGCCGCCCTCGCTGTCAGAGCTGATTTTGATGCCGTCGATATCTGCATGCGTGCTCAGTACGTCCAGCGAAGTAGGGAGAGAAAGCATGCACCTGTGCCCTGGTATGTCTTGTTCCACAGGTGTCGCATGGTGTCGTTCACCTCCTCCATCTTCAACGAGTGATATTTCATGATCGCACTGACGGAGCACGTTATCAACATCCAGCAGCTAAGTACTACCAAAAGCGGAGCTCACTTATCAAGCGCCTTGGCGTACTTCTCCAGATCGTTGTTCGCCATGTCAGACATCTATGCTGCTTGAATATCGAACCTTGTCACGAACGGATAAGATGCATACCTTGACCTTGATGAGCTGTTCTCTGTACTTCTTGCCGATATCCTCGTACTCCGACACGTCCTTCTCCAACGTCTTGAGCTGTGTCTGCAGGGAGCTGATCTCTCCACCAGTGTGCGCATACTGCAGACTTTTCAACAACACACACGTTAAGCAGCCTAAGCATAGCACCAACCTGATTCTGCAGCTTCGCTTCCTTATCCTTTTCGACGTTATACTTCTCCTCGAATATCCTCTTCGCCTTCCCGGCCTCTTCCAGGTCCAACGAATCAATCTCCGCCTGCGTGGCTATGATATCCTGCTGCAGCTTCCGTACGCGCAGGTTCTCGCGTAGATTGACCACCGACGCGGCGGCGTCGCTGATCTCCTTCTCAATAAGCTTGATAGTGTTGCGCAGCTCGTCGATGTGCTGTTGGAGCTTCTTCATATCACCTTCATACTCTTCGATCTTCTCATTGCACTCCTTCAGACGACGCCCGAGCCTCTCTCGGACATATCTATATGAGGAGTTAGATTCTTCAGGACAAATGGGTCTGATCAACCACTGCTTATCACCTCTCGATTGTTTTGTTCATGTCCTGAAGCTTGTCGTACGATTTGTTCAAATCCTGTGCGGTCACCTGTGCTTCAGAGATCTTGGAGTTCAGTTCTCTCAATGCTTCACTACGTTCCCGCTCGAGCTGTTCCATCGGTCCTTGGGCGTCTGCTATTTTGCCTTCCAATTCCTGCCGCAGCACTTCATGAACGGTATCTCAGATCAAAGCAGCAATTACTCACCTTGAGCCTAGCCGTGAAATTAGCGATGTCGGTCTTATAGTCTTCGATACGGTCCTTGAGAGTGGTCTTCTCGCGAATCTCGCTCTTCAGCTCGCTCTCTCGGATGCGCAGGGCATGAAGGTCATTTTCGTGTGTCCGGACGCTATTGTGGAAGCGGTCTCGTTCTACCGATAGGTTCTGCTTCTCACGGTCGAGAGCTCGGCTATGAGGTGATCAACCCATCATCTCATGAACAAATGAATGGGAACTCACAGCTCAGTTGACACAGTATCAAGCTCTTGCTGCAGATCATCAACTGTCTTCGCGGAGCCCGTGGCAGAGAGTTCGGCCTCGATACCAGAAATATCGCGTTTCAGCCTTTCGATATCCTTTTGGTTCTGGATAACAGCTCCAGCATGTTGACGTAGAGTTGTTATCTCTTTGAGCTCCGCCCTAATGTCACTCAGCAGTTCTTCAGCCTACCAATGATGCCACAGCTAATTAAATATCGAGGATGTCATCAATAAACCTTGTGCATTACGGCATACCTCTTCAGCTCGTTTCGTCAAGACAACAATCTGCTCTGCCTTTTGAGTGATCTCTTGGTCCAGCGCAGGTACCTCGGCATTCTTGATTTTGTCACTCGTAGCTTCATCCAACGCCAACTCTTGCATGTCCTTCAGGGTGGCTTCCCAGCTAGTCAGCTCCGCCTTGGTATCTTCGATCGCCTCGGGGGCGGATTTCCTGACCATTGTCTTGACCTATTCCGTGCATATATCAGTATGACTTATACCTCTAGTGGCATCGTAACAAAGCACAGACCATTTCATCAAAGATTTTTAGTTCCTGCTGATTCATGTCTCGCGTGCAAAGAGGACAACACTTCTTTGCCACGCCTTGCCTCAGCAAGCCCCGGAAGACATCTTGACTGCCGGCGCCTTTCTTGAGTTCGCTACGTAGATGTTATGTTGAACATCAAGAGATTTAATAAAGGAAAGACCGCCAGCACGCACTCTCGACGATTTTCAATTTCTTCGTTGCAGGTATTGATGGCTTCTTTAACAGAAGCGAAGACGACCCCGTCCTTTTCATACTCCTTGAACACATTCTCAATCTTCTTGTCGATGGCTGTCATTGTTGTTTGCATGAATGCCATATTATATGGAAAGACCGCGAGGGACATTTTACCTTTGGCTTCATCAGACTTTGACTTCCGCTGAGCCTTTAGAGTCGACAAAGTCGCCTCGGCAGCTTGCAGCTCTCGATTGGCGATATTTGACTGGCTCTCGATGTCAGCTCGTTCTCGCTCCTTCTCACTGCAAGACCCCATTAGCTTCGAGCCAAGGGCCTGAGCGTAAATACTCACGTCGCAACACGATCCAGATCCTTCTCCATGGAATTTGCTCGTGCGTCTCGTCCGACAACCTTGCGGAACTTAGCATTATTGGCCTGTATGCTGTAGAAGAGCTGAGAGGGCATGTCAAAGATCGGTGCTGGAAACGAACGCACATGTTATCGACATCAGTAGTTTTCGACCGCAGTTCGTCCTTCTTCAGCCCTAGCTTCGCCCTGGCATCTGCCTGCAGGCTGAGCGTCGTGATATCCGACGTCAACTGTTCTCTGCGGAGCTCCGAGTTCCGCGCTTTTGAACCTGCTTCTGCCAGACGCTGGTCGATATTGGCTGCTTTCATATCGGACTTGGTCCGTTCAAGTCGTCTCTCTTTCTCCTCCACATCGGCCTGGAGAGTCCGGAGCTGAGACGAGAGAACAGAAGCTTTCTCCACCTCCGCTTCGGCTTCAGATACGCGGTCTCGTGACGTTTTCTAAGGACCACAGAGTCTTCAAACGTGGTGAAGACGAAGTAGGTTAAACAACGCACGATACGCTCTTGAAGATTAGCTTTCTCTTGTTTGTAACCTGCCAGCTCTGACTGCAAGCATGTCGACTTCGAGTTGTACTCTTCCGTCACTGTTCGCAACTCGTCCTATGCACAACAAGTTACGATACAATACCGAGTCGAAAGGAGAAAACAGCGTGCATATAGGAGGCAAGCGTACCTGCAATCTATCGGCCTCGGCATTCTGTCGGCGGCGTAGCTCTTCGAGTCTGGAAATGAACTCGATAACCTTGTCTCGTTCAAGCGGTGTGTGATCATAGCCCCTCATTTGATACTTCGCGCTGAGATCTCTGATAAGCTCTTCGCGGTCTGCGATGCGTCGTTCTTGTGCCTGAGACGCGCTGAGTAAGTGGAGGACACACGAAGGCGTAAATTACCGTCTCACGTCGGTTTCCGCTACCAATCGACCTTGCTCACTGACAAGATCGACATGCGTCCGTCTGATCCCTTTCAGATCCTCCTCCGTATCGTGCAATTTGTTGGACTCCGACTTGAGCTTCTGCCTCTGTTTTGCAGTGTGCTCGTCGAAATTCTTCAAACGATCCACCAACTCATGATCAGTACCTTCAATGGAGACGTTAGCAAGTATGTGTCACAACATATGTCATCAGTGTGGAGGGTGCATACCGTCCAGCTCTCGAACATTCTCCCGTGCGTCGTCCAGTTCCTTCTGATATCGTGTTTTCTGGTCATTCAGGGCATCTACTTTCATATACGTCTCGCGGAATTTGGTGGCAGAATCATAGAATCTGGCATTGGCCTTCACTAGCTCCTCGTACTTCTGTTTCAGCTCTTCGTATTCCATTGTCTTCTCTGAGACAGTGCTCCTTGCTTCCGATAACCGTTTCCTCAATTTATCGGCATGTACCTTCTCTGTTGCGAGAGATTCGAGGCGCTCCTTCTCGACTTTGAGCTCTGCCACTCTATCCTTCCGTAAAGCTTTGATGTTGTCTAAAGCCTTTGTATACCTGCGAATCATACACCATCAGCATCTTGAAGAGTCTGCCCGCCCGCATTACTCACTTAGTGGCCTCAAAGATGTCATCAAACTTCTTCTTCAGAATGGAGGGCTCCGCCAAAGGCCAGTAAGAGTCCTCTTGGTGGCAGAAGATGACATTCTCTAGGACGGCTTTTGAGACGCCAAGAAGATGGGGGATTTCGACATCCATCTCAGCACACTTGGTAGATATAGCACCTCTCTGGAGCAGGATATAACCAGGATACGATAGTCATGACATAATTGGCCGCACCTTCCCACTCTTCTCATCCGCTAAAGCCAATATGCTCTCCAAGGTCTTCATTGTCAATGCCCCATTCTTCTTCAAAGTCACGGACAGGTTGCGAACGGCTAACATCCGGTTGCCATTGGCGGCGTGGAATCGCAGTTTGACCTGTGCCTTCACTTCTTTTTCGTTCGCCATCTTCGGATCGTGGACGAACGCACCGCCACGCGTATTGGGAGGCTGATCTCCCGTCGTGGCGTATTTCAAGCACTCAATAATCGTAGTCTTCCCGCTGCCATTATGACCGACAATGACAGTAACGGGCGTGAAGAACTCGATGACAGATATCTGTTTGTCATCGAAAGAGCGAATGCCTCGGATAGCGAGTTTGTCGAGGCTGGCCATCTTACAGGAAGAGATGCAGTCAGTTCACAATCTCAGCCAGCTCCGTCTATCGTATCAGGCGGAAAAGTTGACGAGGACTAGCTGGGTCGTCACAATGGAGGAATGTTAAGAGGTTAGGCCTTAGGAGCCGCGGCTGAGGACGCGAGACGCGTTACGCGACGCGTGACCGACGCGTCTGTATCACGGTCACGTCCCAAAGTGCGCCGGTGTGACAGCTGTCGCCGACAAATACATCCACATGGACTCTATACCGTATCCCACCTTCGATGACAACTCGGCATGGGGGACGACAGACCCTTCGAGTACTGGGGACCCAATTCAGGACGCTATGCGGAAAGATAAGCTTGTGAAGTACGGACTACTTTCCTGTTGTCCAGCACAGCTCTGATTCATGCACACGCTTTCGATAGAGAGATTGCGGCAGCTCAAGGGAATCTACGTGGTTTGTATCGCAAGTGTCTGATCTGCACTGAATCCTGATTATGCTGGCAATCTACAGCACTGCTCAGCAGAGTCCGAAACGTGCAAGGAGACGTCGACAAGCTGTCCTCCGAGAACGAGACGTTGCAAATGTACATCGATAACCTGACGATGCAGATGGCCAAACGGCGATGATCATCATGAAGTTCCCTGTGACTGCCTGCTATCACTGTTCACAGGCATGTTCTGTCGTGTTCATAGTGAGGAACGTTTTGATGCTCGGAGCACAGCTTATTGTGCCATCATGACTCCTCCTTTCAACTGAGAAGTTCAAATTTGCTTCTTCATGAGAACTTCAACATCATTATAGCGGATGTGTGTGGCTTTAAAAACATTATATGCGCTCCTCTGAAATGTTTGATGCATGTATAGTGTCTTTTCTAACAGCACTAATAGTGAGACATCAATATACAGAGATCGATTTAGCTCGTCTATCCTAGAGTACAATCACATTCCCGTTCAGCATGCTTTTAGCTACATTCAGCCGAATAAAAGTCAGCCGCATGTGGACCTTCAGGTTTGTTCTCCGGATGCGCCGTCAATGGCTGAACGAGAGCTGTCTGAGACACCTCTGCTCTGTTCGGTTCCTCTTGCTCGGCGCCGGACGTGAACTCTTGTCCGACAGGCCCGCACAAGATGCCTTGAATTCCCCAACGGAAGGATTGATCAGGCTCCAAGACGATCACGCCTTTCGAAATGTCCAGGTTCGAGGCATGCATGGACATGTCACTCTCATCCAGATCGTACCGCGTTCACCCAGGTGTCTCGATGAGCGGAGGCTCGAACGGCATCCCTTGTAACCTCAGGATGTCCTTGAACGGCGCCGCAGGTATTGCTCAACCCATCTTCTGCTGAAGCTCCTCGGTCAGCCTCGTGAAGGAAGCAGCCCTCCCAACACGATTGTTGTGAGCCACGGTATCAGCGATCTTGGCCTTCTGGCGCTCAGTGACGTGCGTCTGCTTGACCTGCGCATCGACTCCAGAGAGGCATGCTACAGCTGACTCCGTCTTGACTTTGACTTTGTCAGCCGTGCGCGACCGAGCTTGTCCTCGAAGCTAGCCACCTTTCTCAAGTATGCGACAGCAGTTTCTTAAGGTCGTCCTTCTTCGCCTAATGGTCATCCTTGCATGTTCGTAGTTTCGCCCGGGCCTCGTTCAGCGCCTCATCTGACGCACGCCTCAACTTGACGAATGACACATTCAAGTAAAGACGCTTGATCGCCGGCTGCTGCTCCCAGTGCTTGTCTTCCGTTTCAACAAGCTTGCATTCCCTTCGCGCGATCTGCTGCCTCGACTCGAAATGCTACTGGTGTTGCTGCCGCCAATTTTCTTTAAGGTCTATTTCACTTGCTCTACGAACTCGGCGTCGGCCTGGCGCTGTGTCTCTTGAGTGCTGAGTTTGGTAATCTGTTCAAATGCAGACATCAGTTCATCCTCCAGCTCCTTGACCTGTTTCTTAATGGTCGTCAGCGAATCTCTTCGCGCTCAGTCACCCGACCCTATAGCGCGACTCGCGGCCTCGTATTCTAGACGCTGAGTCTCCGAGTTCGCCTCAACAAACGACTCGTTCCCGTTAGTCGCCTTTAGATCATGGGAAATACGTCAACGTACTAGTGTGATATCCTTCAGTCGTGGAGAGTTACTAGCAGCCGAGATCGCCCAGTACTGCTAAGCAGGGGGCCGGAGCACAACGTGTGCTACCAAGACAAGCAGTGACCTAAATACCAACAGAGAAATCAGCCGCGGGGTCATCGATGTCTTCGATGGCAGTTCGTTCCGGAGGGCCCTGAGAGTGCACCAGGATAGACCAGGACTTGAGGCCAGATTAGCGCTCGAGACGCGTCGTACCGTGCAGATCACGGGACCCTGTGGCGTGACAGGCGCGCTGGTGACGCGTCCCGCGAAAGTCCCGCGTTCTATAAATTCTATTACTTCAAGCATCAAGCTTGAGCTCACTTGATCCGTTCAGCGAAGTCTCAATATTCGCCGCCGCCATGACCGAACCGCGCATCGCGTTCAAAGCTGGACGCTGCTTCCGGCGGGAAGGCACGAACTTTGTCGATGTAGATCCCACCAAGGGAGCTATCATACTGCAGAATGGCGAGGACGGATTGCTGCATTTCATTTGGAAGAATCGAAGTACAAACACAGTCGAGGAGGTGCGCGTTGACTGCGCACTCTGCTACCATTCAAATTTGCATTGATTAAATTATTGCCACAACAGGACCTGATCCTCTTTCCCATGGACGCGACCTTTGTGAAAGTCGAACAGTCCGCCTGGGGCCGAACATACGTCCTGAAGTTCTCATCCTCTAATCAACGGCATTTTGTAAGTGCGCCGTTAACGGAAACCTGTTCAATACTAATGCTCCTCGTTTTGCCTAGTTCTGGATGCAGGTAACACATATATTTCTCCGACTGTGCTCATCGCTGATCTCAACTTAATTAGGATGCCGATCCTAGCAGAGACGTCGAGTTTGTGAGCAACGTCAACCGGCTGCTGACCGATCCGCAGACTGTCCCGATATGGTTTGCACCTGGATATAATCCCGGTGAGGACGCGCAGGTTTCCAGCTCGTCTGCACCTACAGTGGCTACTCCAGCGGAGGCAGATCTATCTCAAGCCGGACCGTCGTACGTCGGACATTTCGACGCAATGACTAGCGGCTGACCGATGCACGTAGCTCCCAGTCTTCTGGAAGCTCGAATCCGTACAACGCTACGCCCGAACAGCTAGCGCAGATGCAGCAGATCCTCGCATCGTTGGCTACTCCTGGCACGCAGACGATGGAACCTGGTCCGTAACTCTCCGCCATTCCCATCTAGACTACGACTGATAATCTTGTAGAGCTGTCGCTGACGGATATCCTTACCCCCGCGAATCTGATGCCTCTATTCCATTCACATCCGGAACTTGTGCAGTCTCTTTATCCGCACTTGCCGCCAGACCTGCCATCGCCTCCTTCAGAAGAAGCGCTCCACAGGATCATCTCGTCGCCGCAGTTCCGCGCGGCGTTGCGGAATTTCGACCAGGCATTGCGGACAGGTCTGCTTGGCGGCCTTGTGAGGGGTCTTGGATTGCCGGAGGAAGCGGGAACAGGGATACAGGCATTCCTGCGAGCAATCAAAGAGCAAGCGCAGTCGCAGTCAGGAGGGGGAGATGATACAGATAGGATGGACACAGCAGAGTAGATGACCGATCCTGTAATATCATCCATTCCCAGTCATGATTACACGATGTTGTACATCTATTGACATACAATGTCCCGTAGGCCAGTATACACCATTCAATGGCTGCGGCCTGCCAACCACTGCAGTACGATGTCTCTGAGGCCTGATCAGCTACGCATGCTCTGTCTTCCCGGAACATCACTCACAGGTTGTGTTGGCTCTTCATCGAACACTGGAAGAGAAAGCCTTAAAGCTGCGCGAACGAATGGAGCAGTACCACACACATACCGAGTAGCACTAGAATATCAGTCGAGACACCGGCATTCAAAATGCTGTACGCAACTCAGATTTCAGAAACTCACCGACACCGGTCTGTTCTGTATCTTGTCTAGTTGCCTGGAGCAAAATCAGCTTTCAGGGGCGTAAAAAACCCATATAACACATACAAGGCCTTGATCAATTCGTTCACAATTGCATGACCCTCGAGATCGTTCTTGTTGCCGAGCTACCATATAAATCAGTGATCTTATACCACCTACAGAAGAACATTGTACACTCACCACGAGAAGTGGTACGCCAGTCAAGGTAGGCTGTGCTAGGAGCTGGTGTAGTTCGAATCGTACGATATCAAACTTTTCTTTCTGTAGTACCCTCAGCAACTAGTCGATATTCCAGGACAATACTTGACGTACGTCTGCGGAGTCTACTACAAACCTGAGGACGACAAAACCTTCAAATGATCCAAGCTGACAAAAACGGGGGCTTTACTCACACTATCGCATCCACTCCGTTACAGTAACGTTCCCATATCGATCTGTATCTTGGCTGTCCTGTGGTATGCATTGATTGGTACTCAGGACTCGTCCGAGACTATCAACAGCCCCGTACCAGCAACATCCCATATCTTGAGCGTGACGTTCCCTTTCCGAACTTTTCGGAAGTTGAATGCAATCGTAGGCACGACTTCCTCACTCCACTGCAGCGGTTCCGTTTAAGGACGAACGCGCTCCTGCGAGAAAGGCAACCATGGTAGCTACCTGGCCCGACCCTATTACATTCACGAATGAAGTCTTCCCTGACGCCTAACATAACCATGAGCACGGTTTGGAATCCTCGCTTCCAAAAAGCTCTCGCTCGTACTTGCAGCCCTACAACGGCAATTTCTGCCGTGCTAGAGAAGAAGAGCCTGAAACCGCATGTTCGCATTTAGCCCGCCGCAGCAAGCGGTAGGTGCGCTGCAACCACTACTACTCACCCGCTAAGCCACTGAAGAAACGAGGAGAAGACCGATGACATGTATCAGCAAGCAAAAGGCACAGGCGGCACTTGCTCAACGGACAGCAGGACGGGCGGAATGGGTCTGCGGGTGCGTGCAAGATGTTGCTTGTGAAGTCGAAGCCGAGACAAAGCGCTGAGAAGTGCCACCTCGTCGTTCGATCACTGGATCTGGCCGTAGATCTCGTTTTTCTCGACGTCCTCTCTGCCGTCCAGCACCCAGCCACACCCATCACACGACGCGCCTTTGTCCTGCAACGCCTGCCCGCAGGTGATGCTTCGCGCGTTCGATGTATCTCTTTGTGCTCTCTCTCGACGATCGCCTGCGCTTGGTCTCCGTTTCGCGTCCTGGAGGTCCAAGAAGCATTCTAAGAAGACCGACGATACACCACTCCCCGCGGACATAGTCAAGGCCATCGAGCGACTCATTGGAGGCTCCACCGGGCGGATAGCGGCCATATCGAAGCACCTTGCGCGTAACAGATCCACTGCCGATATCCTTCTCCGGGAGCTGCAGAAGGCAACTCCCAAGAAGAATGGTGGAAGCCAGGGCACGAAGAAAAAGAAGAGCACGGGAAACGCATTCACGGAATTTCTAGAGAAACAGAGCGCTGCCTCGCTTGTTGCGAAATGTGAGTACACCGAATGCACTCCAATGAATTGCCGCTATACCTCTGTCGACAGTAAAACGGGAGGAAGTATCAGCTGAAAGCGAAAGCGAGGACGGCACGTATTTCTCATGTCTTTACATCTTTCTTGGTATTGGTCTCTGATACTCGCGCCCTATTCTCCGGATTAGATGCCATCACAGCACCGAACCAGAAGACAAAGGAAAAACTGCCCTTCTACATGCGTCATACAGAGGGCATGCTGTCTGACCTTGAGGGCAGTGCACTGGAAGGTCAGTCTGCAGCTGCTTCTGATGCATCATGCTGTCTTCAACAATCCCCCAGACGTTGCGCCTCTCTCATTGAACACCATCCCTAAGCTGACGCATGGTCTCAATCGGGTCCTCACCAGGTATAGTAAAGCCCATTATGTTGTAATCTGAGCTATGACGAGCTACCTTCATAGTTCCGGAGTACAGTGGCTGCAAGAACCCCGGTCGCAGTTTTATAACTACCCCACATGGCTGAAGAGCATTCCTGATGTTGATAAATTCGCATTTGAGCGTGTTGAGGGCTTTGTGACCAGTTCTTCCGATGAAGTGCGTCCTTTAGGAGGCGCTATCTTTCCTGCTTCGCTGACTACAGATAGGACCTGCTACGTAACGCGCGGGGACATGGATGTTCGTTTGCAGGCTCGACATCATCTCTAACCGGAATGCTGAGTCAGATCTACCTCCTACTTTCTGGAGAAAAGCCTATCGATACCAGCGCGCTGAGCGGTTCATTCCAGAAAGAGGTATGTCTGACGTGTTCTTCGTTCTGAGGTATCCGTTCATGGAAGGCAATCAATGTATCAGCCCAAAAACTTCACTCCGGGCCAGCGCATGCCTGTCTCTGTCAGTTTGAGTTATCGTGATGGTGTGTACGCGACCGATTCCGATGCGGCACGTCTCGGAAAGAGCGAGACGATCCTTTCCCAGCTCGTACGTTGCATCATGATATGCGTATGATTGTCTGAATGACAATTGGTCCATCCTAGGGTATTCTGCTCGAGAAGTTCTTTACGACGCCGTTGGAAGAATTCAACAAAACACTCATGAGAGGCACTCCAGTACCCCTCCCTCTCGACCACGCTGCTCAGAAGACGGCCTACCGCTACGCCAAAGTGGGTTGTCGAAAAAAATACATTCATTGAATCTATTGCTCACTCATAATTCCGCATAGTACGGTAAATTCATGATGCGAGCGCAGCTTGATTGCCATTACCCGCATCTGCCAGGGACGGGTGTCTTCGACATCAAAACACGCGCTGCGATGCCTATCCGGTATGACTTGCAGAATTGGCGGGTTAGTTACAATGTCCGCACGAGTGACCTTTTTATCTGATGGGGCCCATAGGTTTATGCAGATTATCAGATTCGCACTGTTCAGGGCGCAAGAGAAAGTTTCGAGAAGGAGTACTATGACCTCATACGTTCGGCTTTTCTCAAGTACAGGTATGTAAGAGCTTTCGATTTGTAACATTATTCATTTAACTGATGAACTATGAAGCTTCCAGGCACGCATAGGCAATATGGATGGTGTCTTCGTCGCATACCATAACACGGCAGAGATCTTCGGCTTCCAGTATATTCCTCTCGAGGAGATGGACATGCGCCTATTCGGCCACACTGAGGGCGCACGCGTCTTCATCAAGTGCGTTGGCCTGCTAAACAAGATTTTCGAAGAGATTGTGCTCTACTTCCCGGAGAAAGTGCGTTTAACCCCCCATTGAACACCCTGTCGACCATGACGGATGATTCATCATGCGCATCTTAGTCCATAAACTGCACATGGGAGACTCAAGAATCCGGCCATATGATGCACATCTGGATCGAGCCAAGGATCTGGGAGGGCGACGATAAGCCAGTGATGCAGCTCGACGTCAAGGTCATCAACTATCTTGACATGGAGAAGGTTTCAGGGTCCGCAGCGGTTGAGTCCACCGACCGGACATGTATGTATACGTTCTTGGCAGCTTACCGCTACAATGCTTAATTGGGCCTATCTTGTTCCGCAGGGACGGTCGGCTATTCGATCACCAAGTCGTCGCTTTCGCAGAACGAGGTTCGCGCCAAGCGCCGTGCCGCTTTCGACCGGCAGCTGCTCATATACAAATATGGGCTTAATTTGAACGAGAGAGTCGAGCATAGTCAAGATATCGATCTGGCCCATATTGACCCTTTGGCCAATGCTCCCAGGATCAGAAAGCATTCTCACAATGACTTCATAGAGGAAGAGGAGCACGAAGAGCAGCTTCATTCAGCTCCAGAGACTCCAGAGCCTCAAGAGCCTTCCACCATGACTCCTATTGCGACAGTTGCGGAAGAACATCCTGCAATATGGGGCGACATATGGGGCAATTATTCTGCACGGGTGACAGATAACGTCACGGAGAGCTCACATTCCGAAGACAGTCAAGTCTTTACCGACTATGTGGCCGATGAGCCATCCCCGGCAGCCCTTGGACTTCATAACTCTGTCAATAACGACGGGAATTCCGATGCTGCAACGTTACATGCCGACAGGGAGCATTCTGCCATATGGGGCGGAATATGGGGGTATATGTCAGAGGGCTTCGCGGACCACCGGGACCAGTCACAAAGTAGCGACTTGGCTGACGTCTAGTGGGTCAAGACTGGAGCGGATATATCCTCCTCGATATTGTGTGCATGCGCCAACAAGCTAAGTGCATGCACCTTCCAAAAGTCATGCTGGCATTTCGTCCGTGGATACGACAAGTTTTATGGTCACCGCGAGCACGTACGTCGAGGCCGTCGTCAAACGTTGAGTAGCATCATTCTCCTACCAATGGCTCGGCATACGGCACGGTTCGCAGTACGTAGGGCAGCAGTTGATGTACCACGAGATGCTGCGGAACCACGAGTATCCCTAAGCGACACAACTACTTTACTGAAGCATCCTACAGTCGGAGAATACACCGCGTCATAGGATTAAGTTTGGAATGTCATACAGTTCGGAGAGCACTACTAGACCACCCCCAAATGGCAAGAAACAAACTATGTCTAAGTTCAACACGGTTTTTTACGCGTTCGAGTTGGTCCGACATTCATTCACAATAAAGGCCTTGCTTCTAACATGCCAGTTCATTCGGTTCCCGCTACCTTCCGCCCAAGCTGATCGTCGAGTTCCAGATCCGGATCCTCCTCGACCTCGACCTGGGGAGGCGCGCCTGACGCAGCCCTCGCCCTGCTCTCCTCGTTCTCTCGCTCAATCTGATCTCGCATTTCGGCGACGTCCTGGTCCACCTTGGGTGCCACGCGATCGACGCCTGCAGCTTGTGCAAGCGAGACACGAGCACGATGAGGCGCAAGATGTGCAGAGCGCCTCGGGGGACGCTTGAGTCTGCGACGTGCGACCTATCGCAGCGGATGAGAATGACGATATCACAAACAGTAACGAATAGACCCACCATGACCGGAACAGAACATTTCTGAGAGAAACATGATTGTTAAACAATGTTATGCAATGTAGATGACCTCTTACCTGGATAAGATAGTGCGACGTTGAACCGAGCAAGATCCTGAATAACCAGACCGATCATCAAATTTGTGATGGCGAAAGTGATTCCAGAGAGACTGACCCTTTGAGGTTGCCCAAACCTCGGGAACCTACAATGAGCATTGTGGGCTCATAGTAGTCAACAATGTCTGCATGGTAATAGTGTGTCAGCGACGGGCCCGAGGCATGAATCCCCCGCCTCACCGAGAAGCATGTGCCGACTGTTCTTCGCATGCCAAGCCTGGCAGGATACTGTAACATGAAGGCGCGTGCGCTGCAGAAGGCTAGTGGCCTGTCGAACGAGAATGTATGCGAGGGCTTGACGCTGATGCAACGTAGGGTTAGAGGCGACGAACGCAAAAAAAGAGCTACATGACGCTCACTTCCTGCTGGCTACGCAACTTCGTCGCACGATCCGAGGGGTTGGGTATCAAAGGGTCGACTATCATGATTTCATCAGGTTATAGGGGGTCGTGATATTGCGGAAAGACGTACTCTTGCTTTCGTTCTCAATGACCGTTACAATCAACCTAATCACTCACTCATTCAGTATCTGTATGGCATGTGGGATAATGATTTTAATACGCACATCTCGTCACCGTCTCGCAGTACAGTGCCGATACCCCACTCGAGCGCGTAACGACTCTCGTCACTCAGATCGCTCGCAAGCACATAGCGCTTGGGTTTGCGTCCAGTCTCCTCCAAAACACGTGCAGGATCGCCATGGGTGATCGTGATCGTACAACGGTCGCGCTGGAACACCGGCCGCGAAGTCTGGAAATGCAACGGGTCGGGCCTCACCGACTTGCGCCTGCGTGGACCATGTGTGCTTGAGTTCAACGTACTGGGGAAGTAGGGTTCCGGCGGCACGACAACATTAACACCCTCGCCAAGCGGGTCGGGCACGTCGACAGTGTCGTGGTCGGTGAGATCAGCAGGTATCAGCGCGTTGCGCTCGGTGTTGCGTTCCGTGACGGGGTCAAGCTGGTCGTCGTCGCTCCAGGACTCCTCTGATCCCTCGTCATCCTCCGCTTCTTCATCCGCGGACTCGTCATCAGATGTCGCAGAAAGTGAGAATGCGTTGCGTGGGCGAATATGTGACACTTCGGTGTCAGACTCGGCATCAGAAACAGACAGAGCCTCAACGACGGGCGACGTGTCGCGTGTTCGGCCGCGGCGCAGACGGAACGGTGACTGGCTACGAGTGCGTGCGCTTAGGCCATCCTGCGCGTCACTCGAACCCGAGAAGGAGCTAGAGCGGAACGCATTCGACCTGCTATCCTTCTTCTCGGAGCGCCCTCGCTCTTTGTCGTCGTTCCCGCTGCGACTCAGAGAGAGCGATGACAACCCGCCCATCATCGAGCTGAGCGACATTCTTGAGAACGAGCCGCTACTTGCGCGAGCGGTGGGCTCGGCAGCCTTGCAGGTCGTCGGAATGTTTGAAGCCGTGAGAGAGAGGGCATTCTGTGAATCAGCGTCGTCCTTGGTCAGCACATTGCAGGAATTGATACGTTTCGGGGCACCGATAGGGGTGCCAGGGCGTGATGGGATGGAAGAGGAGACTGAGGAGACCGAGTTGGATCGCTGAAAGGGCAAGGTAACAGTCGAGCTGGACGCCGATGAGGTTGCACTACTCAGGGGGTAATCCAGCTGCTTGCCTTCACGTGGCGACGGCAGAGTGGAATCCCTCGATGCAGACCCGTACTTGGTCTTCCAGTACGATCGTTTGCGCGGAATGTCGGTCATGGGAGAGGGTGCTGATGGAAGGGCGATGGAAAGATGTGGAAAGGCTCACCTCGGCTTCTCCAGACAAAACCTGTGCGAATGCAACGATGTCAATTAGCACGGTGTTTGATGGGACATGTAGCGTGAGATGAGCGCGGGTAGTCGTTGCCAAGCTCAGCGGCAGGCAGCGAAAGAACGCTCTAGACGATAAAGGAAGACGAACACATACATATTTAGCAGCTTCCTGCACGTTTCCCCCCTTGTTCTGTGATGCATGTGTGAGAACGCGAATGGAATTGACCCTGGGAGAATCGGTTCACCTCGAGCGCGAATCTCGCCGTCTTCTCTGGTATTCCGAGGCCGAGTAGTTGATCTATCTTTTCAGCCGAAGCCATTTGCGTTGCACAGAGCGAAAGGTTGGGTCGCAGGTTCAGAATGCGGGGGAGAGGTGTGGGGAAGGTGGTGATAGAGTGAGCAGTACTTATGCTTGTCCGTACTCGGCGTTACAGGCTTTAGCTGGCCCGGAGGCGGTGATTTCAGTCACTTTTGCTTCTGTCCATTCAATCGCTCCTCTCACTCTACTAAACACGGAACATGATCAACTCATTAAACTAATCCAACGAAGCCTCAACCGCAACGATTCACATGAAAGCTAGTGAAAGCTAGGTATTGAGTCTCAGGGACCATTCATACGAGGAACTTTCAGTGACGATCACTTGGCCGTGGACTGGGCCCCAAGGAGGTCCAGATCTCCCAAGTCAGTAACTAGTCCATCGTATCGGGCTGGATCATCCGCCTGATGATGCAGCTCGAAATATCGTATTTTGATTCGCCTGCAATTTTCTTCGTCGCCCAAAATCCCCGCAAATTGAGATGATGCTGGTGTGCACCGACGCCATGCGCCACAATCACTTAAGTGCGGAGCACACCGGAACGCAATGTGCAACGCGATCACGTGATTTACGCTACTGGACAGCTCTTGCCGCCCGATCGATTCTAAAATGCTCCATCGTAATCCGACCTTCTGCCCTCTGTTTCGAGGCGAATCCTGCGCCTATGGATTGGTGAAACCGTATGAGGCTACTAAAGCAGATATCTTGGACTGTAGCTCGAACTGATGCCCTAATGACACTTGGTTGAATCATTTTAATCGGGCCTGGAGGCTGACGAGCCTGGCATGTCAGCCTCCAGAGGTATAAATCCCCCTTTGTCTCCATCATCCCCTTTCCCATCGACTACCTCATGCAGAACCTGAACAACAACAATCTTACTCTCGCGCTCTTCTTGTCGTCCGGTAGGACTCCTGGCCACCTCGGGGTTCTAGTCTCTACGCTGGACGACATCGACACTCGGGTACACCTCGCTCCAGGACTAGCCTATGGACCGGCGCTGCTTCTGGCTGCTCTTGTGCTCAAGGTCATTACACGGCTGCGCCGTGTTCGAATTCAGTCAGGCAGATTCCCTCGGACGACCGTGCCACCAGTCGGACCTGTCCTCTGCCGCTGGATCTCGCTCATTCCCGCAAGAATTGTCCATTCTGTGCGGGCTGTCCTTCATGGTCTCAATGCTGCGTGGATTGTCTCCGTCTGCAAAGCCACCCTGGACGACATTTATGGACCGCCATCGAAGACATTCATAACCCTACAGCTGACTGCTCTGTTGGTATCTGGGTTGTTGCTTGTCTTGCTGGTACATGCTGTGCTCCGATTCCCTGCTTGGCAATGTTGGGCGACTTCGGGTACTAGCATCTTTACACGATCAACAGACATCACGCTGGTATGTGTTGACGTATCTCCATATACTGCTAGCTCAAAGTTTTATAGTCTCAATCGCAAACAAAGAAAGGGAAGAATGAAGAAGAGGATGAAGCAAACAGTGTCGAATGTCTGTCCCTTCTAGACTCTGTGCATGATGTGCAAGAACCAACGGTGCTCCGAGTCGTCGAACATGGTGGATCTTCCGATGCTGACTTATCCGAAGGCAGCACCATCGTTTCAGACTTGACAACGTTGCTAGCAGAGGCGCGTCAAGACATTTCGAAGGTGGAAAACCCCTTCGCCGACGGTGGTCTGCAGCTGGCCAAGATACACACTTGCCTGACTTCCACTCCGGAAAACATCATTTGTTTCTCCACTCCCCGCACAATTCCCGTCATCAACACCAGGGATGTCTGGTCCACCAGAGCAGAGGCGCGACTGGCCTACTCGAACGAGTCGTTGACGGTCGTCCATGGTGACTCGGAGCGGACGACTCAGGACGCGAAAGTGCGGGATGCCCGCATCGAAGAGCTTTCGGTGACGCTCCCGAACTTCCAAGGTGTGGTTTTGAAGGCAGAGGAACAACGCTATGTTCAAGATCGCAAGATCGCGGAGCTCCAGGAGGAACGTTTAGCGCACCGCAAGACGATCGAACACCGGGATCAGCTGCTCAAGGAGCGCGATGACGCATCCGCCAGGCACAAGGAGGACGTAGAACGGTACAAGGCTCATATAGACCGTCTTCAACTTCAGAGGGAGAACCTGTTGCACAAGGTGTTCGCCCTTCGACTGGATGGTGCCGCGAAGGAGGATGATTTCAAGACGAAGGGGGACGAGCTGAAGCGTGCGCTAAATGCATGCTCGAACGACCTTGCTAACGCCCATAGCGACCTTCTGTGTGCCGAGACCATCAAGAACACCATCAAGATGGGGCTCGAAGCGCACGTCCGCTGCCTGCAAAAGGAGGTGGCAGACCTCAAGGACCGCGCTGTAGTTATGGCTTTCGCTTTTCGCAAGGAGAACGATGGAGCCAACACCGAAGTCAAGAAGCAAGGAACCAAGGGAAACGTTTCGCAGGATGAGAACGAGGAGCGGAACGAACTCGTGCAAGGGACCGGCGTTACCCCTAAGACTCGCCGAATTCGGGAGCTGAGCGAAAGATTAGAAGATCACGAATCTCGTCTTCGCCTCTCTCAAGCCGCGCTGGCCGACGCAGACAGGAACTGCCGCCAATACAAGCTCGCATGCAGGGCCCTGAAGCTTTCTACCAAGCGTGGAGATGCCACTGCTGAGGATCTTGCCGCCAAGCTGGAGCAGAAGAGTCGCGAGGTTGACGAGCTAAAGGCTGTTAACGGTACTCTCGTTCAACAAGTTGACTTTTTGGAGGCGAACTCGGAGACACAGTGTTTTGGACGCGAGGACGAGAGGCGCACTCTACAAGACCGGGTCAAGGAACTCGAGAGTTCGCTGTCGGCAGCATGCGCGGAGCATCATGAGCGCGAGACAACATTCAGGGACCAGGTCAAGAAGCTGGAAGACGAAGTGAAATCTGCCCACGAGCAGATCAGCAAACTCTGCGCGCAAGAGTCACAGCTTCAGGCGGAGGTCGAGCTCAAGGAGCAAGTGCATAGACTGAAGAGGAAGTTGGCTGCGGCGAAGACGCAGCAGCATCAGCAGCACGTCGAAGCGCGGCAGCAGATCGCGCAGTTGGAGAACAAGCTCGCTTCGGCAGAGAAAGAGCGTCAGGAGCAGCGGCTGGCTATCAAGCTTCTTGAATATCGCAAAGAAGCGATCATCAAGTTGAAACGTGCGTCGGACGAGGCGCTGGATGAGGCCCGAGCGGAGCTACGGATGTGCAAGGAGAGCCATCGAATGAAGGTGGACGGCCTCGAGAACACTGTCGCGCACTTGAAAGAACAAGTGGCTATCTTCGAGAACAAGCTTCCTCGCGCAAGCAGGGCTGACAAAGTCAAGACGGAGTCAGCCGCAGCATGCCTCACTCGAGTCGGTGCGCACAATCAACGGACACACATCATCGAGCGCGAGAGGGCCAAGGTCGATGATACCGTGGCTCACGGTGGTCGCGGTAGCAGGGCTGCTTCTTTCACGAGGCTGACCGAGGAACTTCGGCGGAAGATGGGTCGAGCGACGCCTGCGGCTCCGTTCAAGGACATCACCAATCGCGTGGCGAAGGTGCGCGTTCCGGGGCTACAAGGGACGCCGTTCGAGCCTCCGCTCATCCTGAAGGACCTCGAGACACCTGGATGGATGCGGCATGATCTGGACGAGAGCGACATGTCGGACCTTGGCATGCATGCGTCGAACGTGGAAATCTCGGAAGGCGCGATCCTCTTCGGACCTATCAATGCGCCTTCAGGCCTGATCAATCCTCGCGTTGGGAAATCCAAGACATCTTTTGCAGTTCAGTCGGACAAGAGTTCGCGTCCGGCGACGAGCAAGAGAAAGGAGGCGCCTCTCGCTCAACTCCTGAAGATGCATCCAAAGAACAAGTCTAGAGGCCCACAAGTGGCTGAGTTTCCTTTAACTGAATGCGGCTAACGAGCCGTTAACGAGGATGTGTTTGTACGATATGATAGGTGCCCATAGATGAGCTAGATCTATTTTTTTTTGCATTCTACTACCTGTACTTTTAGAAGAGACGCCTTAGATGCGCCACAAAACCCAGAGGAAATTCGTAAAATATTCAACACCCCATGTCTCTGCTTCAAGAGCGTCTGAAGGCGATCATGGTAAATGCGACAGCTCGGAGTGAGATGTCCGCCGCGAGATAAGTGTCAGAACGTTTCATCCGGGATATACATTCAACACGATAGCCAGTTCAACCAGCCTTGCGGCATTCCAATGTCTGCTATACTAATCTATATTACAGATGTACCTGCATGCTAAGATGGGCGGAAGATGTGCAGAGCTGCTTTCGAGCGGCGAAGCATTGTGGGTATACGTGCGCATAACATGGACCGAGATGACGCCAATTGTAGTACAAACTCCGGAAAGGCGAAGATGGAGGCGGATAAGAGGTTGAGATGATCCGTGACGGAGTCCAACGATTTTCTGCCCGGCAGCGACGCACAGGTGGAGGCAAATCAGAACGTCGACGCCCATGCCTCGAGATCGAACGTTGATGTCCGAGAACGCTCGATGAAGGGGTGTTTCTGTGATATGTCCGATGTATGAACAAGGGCGCCACGTAGCTATGGAGACTCACGAGCAGGTCCTTCGGCGTTCTCCTCTGCTCCGGGTTCTTCAGCAGGCAGCTATCCACAAAGTCTTCCGCCTCCTTCGGGAACCGCCCTTCTGGCGTCAGCCGTGGCGCAGGTTCGTTCACAATGTGCTGCAAGAGCTCAAGGATGCTCATCGTCATCCCGCCACCCTGCAAGCTTACACCCCGGCTCTTCCGTTTCTTCTTCTTGTCCTTCTGTTCCTTTGTTTTCTTGGGCAGTGGTGCAGGCCGGCTCGGCGAGAGCGTGCCCTCGAATTCAGAGAGGTCTGAATCGTCTGAAGACGAGTCGGCAAAGGGGAAGCGGCCCAGCGCAAGCTCTATGAGCGAGATGCCGAGTGACCACACGTCGGACTTGACCGTGTATTGCGCGCCTTGAATTCGCTCGGGCTGCAATCCTCGTGGGTCAGAACATCTTTTCAGTGTAGCTTGCTGGCAGACGCACACTCATATATGTCGACGTCCCGACAAAAGTGTCGGCGATGGAGTTGATGAGCTCTCCCGACACACCAAAGTCACAAATCTTGATCTGTCCTTGTGAGTTGCAAAGGATATTTGACGGCTTGATGTCTGTGGCCCGCTAAGAATCGCGCAAAATAGCGAAACGGAGCTGACGCACCTCGATGGATGATGCGATGCACGTCGTAAAGGTACGTCAGGCCTTCCAGCACTGCCAGGGCGACCTTTCCCACCACATCGATATCAATCGGCCCGATCTTCTTGTATATGCCATCCAGCGAGCCCTTGTCCATGAACTCCATGCAGATACAGATATTCGGGTCCGAGATGAACGCGCCATAGAAGGAGATGATGTATGTCGAGTTGCAGTCGTGCATGATTTGCAGCTCGCGTAGGATTTGCTTGCGCACAGACGGCTTTGCGTCGATCAAGACAATCTAGATGGTAGCATGACGCGTAAACAGGGTGGATGATGCGGCGCATGGGGCGCGCGGCGCGCTCACCTTCTTCGCCATGATGGTACCTGTGGGCGAGTGCCGCACCTTCTTCACACTGCCTCCGTTGCCCTGCCCGAGTTCCTGCAGGTCCTCCAGATCCTCGTTGCGGAGGTCGTATTTTGTCTGCGAATTCAACTCCAGATTCGCAAGAGTTGACGAGAGGGTGCTATGATATGTCATGCGCTTCGATGAAGCACCTGCTGCTGTAGATATAGAGGAATCCACCGCTGGTTGCTCGCCCGACTCAGCAGTGATGCCAGAAGTGCCAATCTTCGGTGCCTTCAAAGTCATCGGAGGAGGCCTTTTCTTCGTGCGTGAAGCATCTGCAGGAGCGGGAGCAGCGCGTATAGGAGCAGGCTCCGGCTCGGGTGGCGGTTGTTTAGAAACGTCAAGCTGGAGAGCCTTGAAGTTGCGCTTCTTGCGCACGGGTCCTGCAGGTGCTGCCATTCTTTCGGGCTAAGTCAACACCGCCGGACACAGCTATAAAGGTTTCAGAGCAGAGCGCCGCAGAGATCGTACTCGCAGCACACGAGGGTGAAGTGGAGGGAGTGCGAGCCTGCCGGCAGCAGGTCTTCCCATATATTTGATTACGTAATGTGATTGATTGTCTCCAAAAAAGGCAGCGCCCTTGATGCCATAGAAGGTGTAGCCCTATCAAGCTGCGGCTGATCTCGACAGTCGTGGATCCAGTTAACTCTCAACTCTGCTACTATGAAATACACTGTTTCTCTGGGTTGAGCTGAAGGCAAATTAAGCTATTCCGTTACATTGATCTCAAAGGTTGATTGATACGGCAATCAACGCGGTGATCACTCTCTGTTGCTCTCGTGGCCGCGTACAATTGGCACGAGCCATACACTCGACAATTGTATTGCAAGCCCCGATGACTTCTCTTGGCAACCCAGCGCTCAGCAGCGCGGTGTTTGCTCTTCAAGTCAGTGAGTATCTAAGTGCTGTGTCAGCTGAACTGATTGGCCAATGTTCTCGCAGAAAACAGATCTCGTCGGCTTGGACGAGGATGCCATCAAGGTAGCTGCTGAGTATGTAAGTGCCTAAGTGAACACATACTTTGGTGGTCAGGGTCGATGCTCAACTCTCTTTGGCAGATTCGTGGGAGACTACGAAAAGAGTCCTACACTCCCCAGACGTGGAGAACGCAGCCTCTCCACCTCCTCCCGCACGAGCCATTCTCAATAGATGACCCATCCAGTAGAGAGTGTTTGGACTGGATCTTCTTGATATCCTCTCTCAATTTCAGCTTCTGGTCAGAAAGTGAAGGTTTGCCAGACAGATATGGTGTGGAATGGAGGAAGGGATGGCACTCGAACGACAGAACGGTGCATACGGGCTATTGGTCGTTAGTGGCTGCGATAGATCGAGGTTGGAAGACTTCTCAGTGTGCGTGCTTATGTGTTCTTAGCATATGTTTCAGCCTTGGAAGATGGGATACCCTTAACGGATCCAGCCTTCTACTCGTCGGAGGAGTCGTGCCCCAAAGCGTTGTTAGAAGGGATATTTCGGCCTGCACCTCAATGCAAAGAGACAATGCCTCTGTTCAAAGAGAGAGTCGCCATTCTTCGTGAAAACGCCCGCATCCTCTGCTCTGTACGTATATTCTCGAGATGCTCGATTCATTGTTGACAGCTCTTCCTCCAGCATTTTGGGGGCTCTTTCCAAGGTTTCTGTCAGGATTTCCTGCGACGATACGGCGGACGCGGTACCGGCCTTCAGCTCGTCCAGATGGTGATCGACTCCTTCCCAACATTCCGCGACCAAACCATGTATGAGGGAAGAACCAGTACGTTCTCCTTCTCCTCTGTACCCTCAGGAAGCTAAAATGTGACTAGTATACTTCTGGAAGCGCGCCCAAATTCTCGTCGCTGAAGTCTGGGCAGCCTTCTATCCCTCCTCACCCACCACTTCACATTCGCTTTTTCCCGCGGGCGCCGCGATACACGAACTGACCATGTTTGCCGACTACCGCGTGCCACAAATACTGCACCACCTGCGTATCCTCACTTATCCTCCGTCGCTGGTTGAGTCGCTGAAATCCCGACGCATGCTCGAGTCGGGATGTCGAGAGGAGATCAGCATCCGCGCGGCGAGCATCGTGGCAGTGGAGAAGGTACGGCAGAGAATCATCGAACAGTACGAGAAGGCGGATGACGAAGAGAAGGAGCCGTGGGAACGCTTCGGACATGCGCAGGAAGCTATGAACAGTGTCCTGATCGATTTCTATTTGTGGGACTTGGCAAAGAAGGTAGAAGCAGGGGAGGACAACATCGTCGGGATCAAAACAGCAGAAATGCTGCCTGCTCATTGCATCAGGAGCGTATGGTACTGACGCTGCTGAGATATCATTCGCACATAGTGAAAAGTAAATCAATCAGCAGACCATCGCGAAGATGATGACAATGCATTCTGTCCTCTATCAGATGTTAAGGACGAGAAGGCGACGATATTGGGCCGGGCCTGCACTGACTCATCTTCCGCAACTGTCCATCATCACTAATATCATCCCTCATCTTCCCCCCCCCCCCCCCCCCCCCCCCCCCCCCCCCAGGCATCACCTGCAATGCCCATGAAAGATCTGCACAAGCCATATGAGATCAGTGCATATGGAAGTTGGGTAGCCATTGCTGTTGATCCCAACACACAACCAAGGTTTACAGTTCGTACAACCTACGTCATTCTTCCGCGGCGAATGTAATATGACAGCACTTGCCACAGCTCTCAAAACGCAAATGGTGCAAAGTCAGAGGCGCACGCACAGCCTGGGGTTGGTTCGAGTCAGCCGGTGCTGTGCCTCTCGATTACCCCCTAGAAATCCCTTCCGAGGAAGGGCTCCGCGTCGGAGATATCTATGTCCATAACATCATTCAGTTCGAGGGACTCGACGCAACGCGTCAGGCGTGGATCCGCGTTGCAGAGGTCTGGGAAGGCGGCAATGCGTGGATCAGCATACAAGAGGGCCACGAACTTGCTGACGACGAAGGGCAGCGATGGAGGTTTGCTCTGACTGCCAAAACCGGTCGGCCGACGTTTCGGAACGCATGAAATTTAAGATGGGATGGATTGGCGATTGCAAGTGCTTTCTCACGCAATTCCATTCAAACGGCGTGTTTGGCTGTACAAGCTAAAAGTCGGAAGCAGTTTATAAGTCTTGATTGTATGGTGTACTTGTAGTGTAGCGATCGTCTTCAGCAATTGCTCGTTCGAGCGCTCATCAGAGTCTTATCAATGGGAGTGTTGAACGTTGAATTGCCATGTTCAATAATAGCACGCATTGACTTGCCACACCTAGAGAATGTGAGTTCGGTAAACGCGTCCGCAATCGCATTGATCACCTGGACGGATAAAGTCGTTAGGACGTGATTCAATAAGGCTACCGTACTAATTGACATGATAGGGCGTGCAGGGCGTGATATAGTAACGTGTAGACAGGACATGGAGATCGTGCTAATGTACAAATCCAGGAACAATAAAGGTCGTGCCATCATTAAGTTAAGAGGTCATATAAAACATCATGCTTGTGTCATTAACGTGTCCGGTGGTCGACGTATCGCGATGGTATATGGTATGATGGAGTGTGTTGAGGTGTAGACTGTAGAGGTATGTCCGGCGTCTAGTCCTAGTCGACGTACTTGATCTCGCTCCCGTGCTGCAAGATGGCGCGCGGACGGTACCTGAGTGCCTTGTCTTGCATGCGCTCTTTTACTGTGATGTGGTAGTATGGGTTTGGCGGGAGGTGCCTGCCTTTGCCAAGGTGTACACTGGTGAACGAACGTCAGCGACGTCTGCGACAAACAAATAGTTTCCAGAAGCATTCACCTCCAGCCTGTGTGCCACCGACCGTTCGGCTCTTGCCAATTGTAGCTCGTAGGCGTGACCTCCAGAAGCCACCAGACCGGGATCTGCTTCAGCTGGTCATGCATTGGCTGCACTGCATTCATCTTGTCCAGCACTGCTGGGCGCTCCACTGGTATTTGCTCACCCGAGCCTTCTGTGCTGCTGCTCGGGTCATCGCGTAGCCTTTTCTCTTCGAGCGGAGGCGTGACAGGGAAGCCAAAGATTGAGTCGGGTATGTTCGCGCGCAAGAGCTCAGCCTGGTCAAATACGATGCCGCACTGCGACGCAACGATCTGACGGACCATCCAGCGCAGCGTGATGTCCGAGAGCGCGAGCTTCTCGTCGTCGCCAACGGCGCTCCCGCCGATGTCTATACCAAGTGATGAATCAGCACTCTTGTTGGAAGAGTCGCAGGGCACAATATCATACCGCAGTGGCACCCGGCGAACCACACCTCCAACACGTCGGTTCCGTTCACGATTTCTTCTGCCTTCTCACTCTCCTGACTCCATCCAAGGTCCGCGTTGGCGGTGGGCAGGGTGGCCCAGCCCTCGCCGCTGCTGCCCTGGTTCATCGAGCGCTTGCGCAGAGCCTGTCTCAGAATCCCGCGAGAGAATCGTTGCGAGGAGTCCTTCCGAGGGGTGCGATCTGCAGGCGGTGGAGATGCCACATTCTGTTGGCGCGCGGTCTTGTCGTTTGCCTGCGCTGGAGGTGTCGGGTGGTGGTACAGGTTCGGTCGAAACTTGGCCCGATGCTACGGAATACTCATCAGTGTTAATTGAAGGTCAGTTGGATAACGTTCCCGCACCTCATCTAGTGCCAAGGCATGGCGAAACGTCTTGATGGTCGTGTTGTTCGCAATGAATGGCAGCGTGCGGCTGAATAGAGTGCCAACGCTTGCTACCGTATCCCTATGCCTTGCGTCAATAAAGATTTGGATTGCCTAGATGAATCAAGGCTCACCAAACGCCGACAAACTCGATCTGCACAGTCCGACAGAATGTCCGTTTAAAACCCGCTGCAAGGCGGGCATTGGCCGGACCGGTCTGCTTGTATAGCTTGCATGCGAAGGGTATTTGCTCCGCATTGCCTGTTGGCAGGAGGCCAATCTTCATGCATGACGAGTTCTTTAGTCATTTATCAGGTTTTGGTCAACGCATATTTTACCTTGTGGAGCATACCAGCCAGAGCTCTTGCGGTGTACGCACCACGAGAGAAACCTATTTCAAGTGTGAAAATGTGTCCTGCAAGGGCATATACTCAATGGAGCGTACCGAAAAGGCAGATCTTGTCACCAGGTTGGTAGTTCTGCATTAAAAATCGGTATCCGCCACGCACGTGCGCTTCCAAATACCTGATGAACATGAGCGAGAAGTTCACAATATTTCAATGGTGACTGGGTAATTACCATGCTACCGCCTGGTCCAGGACTTTTGCTCCCCACTGGAATAGAGGAGATACTACGCCGGGATTGAGGTAAGTGCCAATGCCAGGCTGAAAGAGAAACGTCAGCCGAAGTAAACCTCAACAACTCCAAGACCCTACCTGATAGTAGCACAGCTGCTCATTATCCTCTTTCTTGAGCAAAGCATACAGCTTGACTACATTGGTGTTCTAATGGCATGGGTGTCTCAGATCAGCAGTCAGCAGAGCATTTTCATGCGCACCTTTCCATCAAAGTGGTCTGCCGTCCCATCAAAGCATAGAACGAGCGTGCGCGGCTTCTTGGGAGAGTCGTCACAGATGGAAAACGTTTGAGCGGGCATCTTCCCGGTGTTGGGTTGTGGGGACTCGGTGGGAGTCGTCGGTGCATTATCCATGTCTAATATACGTGGGCGAGGGGGCGAGGGGGTCACGCTATGGGGGTATCAAAGGAACAGGAAGGGGTATAAGGGGCGGCCGTCCGCTGCGGTGAGACGCGAGGACAGGAAAGGGCGGTGAAGGACGTGCGACAGCGCCGGCCAATAGCTTGATATCAGCGGTTGCCTTATTGGTGCTGATTTACTCCAAATCGGGTCACCTTGGACGACGGCGCCTGTCCACGCCGCTCCGTAAAATTCGCAGCTTATTGCCTCAAGAGGATTTTGCCTCGCAGTATGGCTTATGCAGGGAGGACCACGCGGCGGAGAGCACATTAATCCGAGATCCAAAAATAATTGCCGGTCCAGTCCCGCGAAAGTTTGATCACGACCAGTGGGAAGGGGCCCACTAGTCGGAAGCGGTACATTTGCAAAAAGCAACGACTGTATTATGAAGAGGATCGGGAGTCACAGGGTATCGCTCGCAAAAAAGGACAGGGAATGAGACAAAACACAGCATCAAGCATCAGAAAACAACACAACAAACTCATCGAAGGCTTCCATCCGCGCATGAATCCTATTCTCCGCGTCAGCGCGTGACATGCGCCTGGTGGAACAATGACAGGGTCAGCATTCCTATGCAGGGCTCGATACAATAAGTCCTTACATGGGTGGCTCTTTCGCACTGTTTGTGAATTGCACCGCCTCCTCGCCTGAGCTGCCCATCTCCACCTCCAATGATGCGCCATCATGGAACATAATTCTGTAACATTCAGCGCCGCCGCGCAGCGATCTCACGCACCATCCTGTGGAAGCAATGAATCTTGTCTCCGGAATGTTCGGATCTTCCATAACACTGCCAGTGGATATAACACCTTGATGGGCCACAATGTCAGAGTCGTCGTCCAGTGTCTCTCGCAAGCCAAGACCCCTAGCAACACGACCAGAAGCAAAGCCAGAGACAGCAGCAAGGTGAACTTCGCCAGATCGTGGGCGCAACACAGGAGAGAACTTTGAAGGCCGTGGAGGTAAAGTAAAGGACGGTAGCACCTTTAGGCTCGCTGTCGTTGCAACCGTCGCCAGAGTATCCTCGGAGCCGAGCTTACCAGTATCAGACCTGTCCACCGAAGTCGCGTGTGGCAATCCAGTCTGCTTCTCAATTCGCGATAGGACAGCTCCCATGCGCCGACGCCCATCAAGCTCTCTGTCGTCCGGAACCCTGACAACAGCCTTGTCGTGATCGTGTTCCGATAACGGCGCAGGGCTTGGCAAGAACGTGCGATCTTCTAGCCCGAGGCTCTCAACAGCGGTGCAGACTAGCAGAAATTCTGTTAAGCGTTTCACGCCAGTCTTCTCCTGCAGATTCAGAGCATCAAGCGACTGTCCAGGAATGAGCACGCCTTCCTCCGTAGCCGGCAAGACCTTCTTGATCCACTCGCCAGTTCCTGCCTGAGAAGGTTGTGCCGCCGGTATGAAACTCGAAACCTCGACCGAATTGCGCCGCCGCCACAGACGTATGCGCATTCTGCTGCTTCCAGCCGGAGAAACACCTTCGCCACCCTGCTTCATCTGGCCATCGGACCTGGCAGCAGAGAACAGCAGTTCAATATCGCCACATGGTTCATTCGCCATGAGAGTGCACTTAAAGTCCGGCTTGTACAGGATAAGCTGCATCACCGGTCAACGATGTGAGGTGGCTTCAACTACATCATGTAACGCTGCCACATGCCTTTGGGATCCGCTGCTTTAAATGGTTCACGATCCGTCCTGCGTCATCGTATGACTTCCAGTAGACTGTTGGCAAGTCATCCAAGGAGTATGTAGCGAGAGGTTCCGCCAGGCAACACGGCGTGCTCAAGTGAGGTGCACTGAATACCTGAACCTGAATGCCGTCAAGACGTGAGCGCCTGTAGTACTCCTAGAGACGGCACCGTTGTTGCCTACCTTGCGACCGTTCGGGCAGATAACTAACACCTCATTTCCCTTCTCACCCTTCCGTCGTTGACCTTCACGTAGATCGACCAGCAGAGATGCAGACGGCAGGACAACGATCTGTCCCTGTGCTACCTTGTGCGTCTGGGGAGCAAGGTACGCCGTCGTGAAGGCAATGGGCCTGGTGCACCCTAGTGCGACAGCAGCAGTAGGAGGAGAGTGAGGACGTGGCTTGTCGATCGACTGACTTCTGGAACGCGCTGGCACGCCCAATGTAGTGTGCTTCGTCTGTTGGGCAGATTGTTTGTCCATTTCTTGATGGGGAGATGATACTGGCGATGACACGGACTTGCTACGTCCTCGTGTAGGAAACAATGATATGCGACTATTAGGAGCGGCAAACAAAGGGTGTACAGTAGCTTCATCGTTGTATTTGCGCGCACCTTGTTCATCGCTATGTCTTTCGTAAGTAGTGAATACGGCCGGCGGAGGAGAATCAGAGCACGAAGTCAAGTCCGGCGTCGTAGGAGTAGAATCAAGATTGGGAAATCGAACGACCGCGTTGGGTTTTCGGAACCTCGGAGTGTTCGCTCGACCAGAACTTGGAGCGGACATAATCCGCCTGTAGCGTTCGTCATTAGCATCAGATCGAGACACCACAGGGTTCGACAGCTCGTTGCTGAGCATGCCGCGTATATCTTGGTTCGTAGTATTCTCCAATGGCTTCCTCGTGAAACTAGGCATACTGGACGTTCGTCCTACAGTCGAGTCAACAGCAGGTCGCTTGGAGGATGGTGCGCCTTTAAAGAGAGAACGCGGGTATCGCTTGGCCTTGTCTTGTTGAGGTATCGCCTGGTTCTCTTTCATAGCTGTGGATTTACTCGAGGCTTGATGAGTGGTTTGAGGCGGAGAGAGCGCTTTGACAGGAAGTGCTGGGTTGAAGAACGGATGATGAAGAATGCGGTGAAGTGGGATACGGTCAGCAGGATCCTGATGATGGCATTAGATCTTGAGCTTTTGTCAAGAGCAGAGCACCGAACCATTTGAAGCAAGCCGGCAGTCAGGTCCTCTGCTTCGAATGAGATCGTGTCTGGTAGGATGTACCGACTCCTTGCGATATTGTTTGTAGTGTCGCGATCGTCTGAACCCTATCGTAGCAAGGTAAGTTCTACGAGCACAGAACTGAATATGAAGATGTTGAACCTCGAAGGCTGGAAAGCCAGAAAGGCATGTTACCATGAGGCATCCTAAAGACCACACGTCTGCACTGAACCCATACGGTTCGCCAGCCACAATCTCTCTGCAAGTCGGGTGATGAGGTGACTTGAGCCGGTCAATGATTCCCAGACTCACGGTGCTAGATGGTTAGACGAGCCACTATGGGTCCATCCGGTGGTAGTGCCCGCGTTTAATCTGATCGCATGGTCAAAACCAGCCAATTTCTGGTCGAAACGTGAGCAAACGATAACAGAACATAGACAGTCACTTCACGCACAGCGCGGCAACCTTCTGACAGCTGTATGTTCGAAGTAGTTATACCTCTGTGTAGAATATGCTCGCTCCTCAAGTATATCAGGGCGTCTACGATATTCTTGAGCACACCCCTCAATTCATCTTCCGAAAGGATCGGTGGATGCCGCGACTGTAGAAATTCGGAAAGTGAACCCATGCGACATAGCTCAAGGACATGATAAAGGCCGCGAGAGTTCGAGAAGCTGGAAAACAACGATACGATGGACGGATGATGGAGTGCTTGGTGCAGGGCGGCGGCGGAATTGTGGCGAGCAACCTCGATGTCCGAGGACACAAGCAGCATCTGAAGACTCAGCAAGGCATAGAACCGGTAACGTCGGTGCAGACATACTTGTTTCAGTGCAACGTCCCGGTTGCGAAGCCGTCCCCGTTTGCATGTTGCACGGTACACGAAAGAGGTCCCACCTCGTCCAATCTCTTCATAAATGTTATAGTTCTGTTTGCCTTTCAATCAGCGAGAGAATGTTGCGGGAACAAGGCAGCACGCACAAAGATTCCGTCAGAACCACCTTGAAGCCCTTCGACGGCAGTGGTGCCGCTCGAGACGCGAGACTCTGGAGCCATGCGAGTGAGTCAGGGTGCTAAGTTGCGAGGGTTCAACGATCATTGATTGACTCTTTCGGTATTCTATTTCATATCAACATTGAACATAATGCCCGCTTAGCTCAGCGGTAGAGCGCGCCACTCGTAGTAGCCTTTCACTGAGCTATGTGATGGTGAGGTCGGTTGTTCAATCCAGCCAGTGGGCATTGTATTTTTTTGGTACTTTGCATTCATGTCATTTCGAGCCTTATACATCCTTCGGTATTATGTTGGTACAAGCTGTGGAGCAATGAACGAGAGATGACAAGGTGGAGTGATCGCTGTAGGGCTTGGCATGATTCTCTGATCGTGAGTTTTGAGATGCGGTAAGTATCAGCTTTAGGACATGATAAGAACCCACAATTGTCATAGCGCAAATCGAGGCAGAAATTGAAACATCCTCAGGGCAGAATAAAATGGTCTTACTATTTAGATCGAGGACGAATTAGTGGTGGACGGTTAAAGTCGACAAATATAAATTCATTCCATCCGAATCGTATGTACAACAACGTAGAGTCTACATCCACTGCACATCAAGGCAAATATTCACCTCAGAATACTGTCAGAATATTCAGGATATCCTTGAGATATCCTGTCAGGATATTGTCAGGATATCACTGGAATATCTACAGGATTTAACAATTATTCTGGCAGTATTCTGGCAGTATCCTGTCATTATTCTTTCAATATTTTGTGCTGGATTTTTACCATACCTGGTCAGCTGATGCCTATAGCTTTCGCTCACTAGTGCCATATATATATATATAGGTGTGCAATCTTAAAAAATATGATCATTTCCCTGAGCACAGTACAACACATCCAGACCACTCTTGTACGGTACTAATCAGTAGCACCATGAACCTATGTATGCCCAGGAACATCTCGCACAATAGAATGAGAAATGAAAGGGTGTTTGGTGAAGCAATCAAGAGCCGTGCTCAGCTTTTTGATGTGGATCATCTGATAATTTGACAGCAATTATTATAGTGCACTTCAATGAGAAGATAGCCTTACCTTGTCAATTGTTCTCGCATCACAAAAATGACGATGTGATGTGCAAGAATGGAGAATGTTGTACAGCTTGTCAGTAAGCAGCATGGTTAGCATTCTGATCAAGAAAAGTGCACCACCATGGGGTCGTTAGATCTTCGATGCTCTCCTCCTCTCTCTAACCCTTGTGACTGCTGACAAACACCAGCTACGATGGTACCTCCAGTGCAAGACTGAGCCCATGCAAAGGCAAAGGCTGCTGAGTGTCCACAGTCACCACATTTGGATCCTGCTAAATGTCCTCGGCAGTCTGCGCCTTCTACATCTGTGAGTTCGACTCAGAGGACATTTAAGGATCCATTCAGCAGAGCAGATGTTGGGAGATCTGTGCTGAGTCGCAGTGAGAGTCCTTTTGTACATGCTGCTAATGAAAAGCAGCTCGCCTGTGGATCGACGTCGGGAGGAGTACATAGTGCAGGTCCACTGGCTGCCCATGCAGGTGCAGTGGTTAACATCATGTCTTTAAGACATGCTATAAGCAAAACTGCTTCAGACCTGTTGCACAAGCTCAAGAATGATGTACAAGGTGTCAAGAACAAGCTGCAGGTTCATAATGACAACACTGTCACTGCTGGTGAGTAGATGCGAGCGGATGACTTTAGTTGAAGATGTCGTTGACAAGTGGTGTGGCAGGGTTGAGGAGCTGAAGAAAGTAGTGCGCACGATGAATGAAATGAACCCGGATTGCCTGGAGCACATAGATCAAATGGAACATGCTTACGATGCTCTATGGGAGAAGACAGAGAATCTTGTTGCGATAATCAATAAGGGGCAGTTGATGAATGTGAACGAGGCTGGCAGTGCACCTCAGGCAGTCTCACATGCTGCTTTGAAAGCTGAAGAGAAGCCTGCGTGCAAAGAACACAACAACCACCTTCAGGTTAGTCATAGCATTTCATGTCAGCAAAGGTGCAGGGAATAGAAAACTCACCAAATTTGTTATGATAGGCTGTTGTTCGCAGCTCTCTCTATCATCTCATGGGCATTGATCACAAGAGTCGTCCACCTGAGCCACTCGGGCGAGGACAGTTTTGAACTGATGAGGATAATGACACTGAGTGTCATCTATGACCAACTTGGAGCAGCTGGCCAGAGAACTCCATTGTGCGGGTCAGGATGGTTGCGAAGAAGATACATATGGATGGAAGCTGATAGGACAAAGCTATGTCGGCAGAAGAGTTGCAGAGGACTTCAATTGCAGACATTGAGTCTGCAATTTGTGCTGTGTGGGATATGCTAAGAGTGAAGCATAGGGCTGCCTGGAAAGACGAGAAACTGTTAGATGCAAACAGAGTGAGAAATTGATGAGACCATCACAACAGAAAGATGAAAATGTCGAACATGTGTCTGTGGCAATATGCTAAGAGTTGACACACCATCAGAGGAAGTGTTTGCCCAATCAGAGGAGCAAGAGCATTTATCTGCTCTTGTTGATCCCAAGTACAACTTTCTGTTTGAGTGGAAATATCAATCAACAGATGAGTCCAGTGATGATGAAGGAGGGCCTATTGACTCTGAGATATCTGAGGAAAAATGTGACAAGCCAGCCAATTGGCAAAGTGAATGGATCTCACGGCCACCAGACTATTGCACTGAGCATGTAAGGGATGTTTCAGGAGCCACTCGCAGCACTGCAAGAAATTGTACCACAGTGCTTTAGTATTTGCGTGATGTGCTAGCACCATGCCAGCATCACCATTTAGGATTCACGCAGTGCGTTAGCACCATGCCAGCACCCAGGGTTCAATTTCAATCAATGTTCATTGTTTTGCATGGTGCCCATCCACGTTGGAGTTATTTCACATGCACGTGGTCATCGACGCTCAGGCCACACGATGTGCAGCAGCGCATATACTCGATCATCCCCCATCCCTGCTATGGCTCAGTCTCTTTACTCTGTACCACATCTGTGTGTTCTTTCAAGCTCTCTTTCCGCTGCAATTCTCGATGACAAGACTGCTCATTTTTTGTGGTCACAACGGCCCAAGACATGCACACCTGATCATCGACGCTCAGGCCACATGTATCTGCGACATGCATACACCCCCATTGCTGCTACAGCTCAGTCTCTTTACTCTGTGCCACGTCTGTGCATTCTTTCAAGATCTCTTACTGCTGTCTCCATGGCTGCAAAGCACAAGCCCAAGCAGGCTGCACTGCCTGTAGTCCAGCCTGTTTTTGCTGTCCCTGGTACTCCACCATCTGTGGCCCGTATGCATTTGGAGACTCCTGTCACTGGCCCGACACCCAATTCCAGTCCCCACCCTCATAAATGTTCAAATGCAACCAATCCCTCTGGATCGTCTGCCCCTGCTCTTGCCTCCAGGTCATCCCATTCTCGTTCCAGCTCCCATCTCAAGTTTTTACCAGTGCAACAAGGCTGCAACCCTGCTTCTCCCATCGTCCAACACACCATCAATTACCCAAGCATATCATCTATTTCATGCTTGCCCTCCCCTACTCCATCTGAAGCATTCACATCCTCACAGATGTCAGTGTCCTCATCTACTTCATCATGCTCTCGCTCGAACCAGAGGCCATCTTTAACAGTGTGATATGGCCGCACCCCTGCTCCTCCCATCGTCTAATGCACTGTCAATCCCCCAAGCATATCATCTACTCCACGCTTGCCCTCCCTTACTTCATCCGAAGCATCCTCATCCTCACAGATGTCAGTTTCCTCATCTACTTCATCACACTCTCACTCGAACCAGAGGCCATCGACGAGCCTTGATGACCTTCATGTCTACATGGCTGAGGAATGTTGTGGGCCATCGGCCCGCACACCTTGCATGGTTGATCTGAAGCTCAAGCGCAACTTTGGTGCTGACACACATTCATTATGGCCTACTCATGAGGACATGGTCAATGCCAGCATGACCTTTGGTAGGGTGTACTTCACTCCACTCCAGCCTAATACTGAGGTGAAGCATGCCCATGCAAAGAGCCTCTGGCTAGAGTTCTTCACATAACTCTATCAAAGCGAAGAAAAGGCAAAGGCCACACTCGAAGTGGATGCACCCCTACCTGCACTCAAGCACATCAAACAGTTCCTCTTTGTCACCTTTACCACAGGCAAGTCAGACTTCAAAGGTCACCGAGGCTGGTCTTATTGGACCACAAGGGATTTCTAATCCACCATTAGTTGTGCCATAAGCTCAATATATGCACGCTTTTAGTGCCTGTTCTTACTCTCGCTTTCACAGCTTAAGAGGATTGGTGCTGTGGCACCCACAGAGGCATAGCGCAATCAACTTCACAATGTATGTTGTGCTCCGTTCTCCCTTTGTTGTCGCTGATACCTCATTTCAGGTGATCAAATATTAGAGCTTTGTGAAGAAACTGTTGCCCATCTGCAAGTGACCAAAGTGAGTCGTGCGTCAATCAGACCTCATCGCCTTCAATGGTGCTGCCCTTTGTGGTAATAATTCTCTCAGCAGTAACTTTACGGCAAGTGCTCGCTCAGTTTCTGAACACTTATTCTTCTAATTCTCTTTCGAGTGCAGCGTATCATGACTACTGCATGCTCCAATACCTTCTTCATCTCCAGCCAGTGCAGTGGTGCCCTCATCTTGGCCCGACACTATGAAGACTCCAAAGAGTCAGCACATGTGGGTGTATGTAGCCATTCTCGCTCGTGCTTTCAGTGTCACATGAATTACTTTCTTACAGCACACTGAATGGTGGCAAACTGGCATAGACAAGGACAGTGGTCTCCGCACCCAACTATTTATAGATTGGCACTACATGAAGAACATGCATAACCTTAAGAGTGAATTGTAAGCTGCTCTCGCTTTTGCTGAGGCCAACTTGCTGAGCCTTCCCATCAGCATCAAAAGCAACATATCATTTTTGCCTGCTGACATGGCTTACCTCAACTCTACACTGGCTTTGTTCTCACTCCTCATATTTCGTGGCATGTTTGAAGAAGATGTTCTCGCTTGGCACAAAAATCCATCTCTTGTGCTGCACTTTCCATACAAGCTCACCATCAAGGATGAGTTTCTGGACCAAGCCCTGATCATCAACGAAAACCTCAAGGACGCCACCTATAACATGCTTCATCATTGGTTCAGTAAAGTTTCCAAGTCTCTTAATTGAAAATGTACGTCATTTTCCATCATCACACATTTCATTGGCCAAATAGCTCTCTACCATCCACAGACTTTTCAACTTGCTCATTCTGGTATGGCTTTGCTGGCTGGATGGCAGACAGGGTTCCGAAGGTATATATGCTGCCAATCAACTTTTGTCAACTAGCTGCTCACAACTCTTCTGGTCAGCATCAACTCAATTATCTGATGGGTCACTGATTCAGCTCGGAGCACGCAAAGACTACATATCAGGTTCCTGATCGCCCCATCGATCTTTCTGCTGCACGCTACGATGTAACGAGTGTTGATCATGACTTCCTTGACTGGCACAAGTCAGTCGACTATGACAGGAATGATCTCACTCATGCACCCCTTGAGGCTTCTATTAAGGCACTCACCAGCAACCCTGAAATTACATTGCTAATTGAAGAGTGGGAGGTCCTCGAGCTGCCCGTCTCTGACAAGTATCAAAAGCTGAGCTTTCAGCTAAATACGGTGAATGATGTCAGATTCGACTCTGATTCTCATGTCACTGCTGCCATGGATGCTTGGGTCAATGTCCTCGAGTGCTACACTTGAATGTCTTCCATGGTCAGTCCCCCCTTTGTTTTGACATTTCATCCAGACTGATCCTCCTGTCATGCAGAAAGTCCACTGCAAACTAGTCACAGAGAGTGAGCAACAGTCATCGACCACATTCTCTGCTTTGACACCAGCTAGGAGCAGCCGCTCTATCTCTGCATCCACTAGCAGAGTGACCTCTGTTTCCTGTGATGTCTGCTCTGGTGCATCCATGCCAGCGACAGCCTCAACACGTGCATCTTCTCCAGCTGTAACAGATTACAGCCTTGATGAAGAAGCCACAGGGTTTTATGATGATGATGATGGCACAGAGTCCGAGATAGGCATAGAGACCACAGCTCCGGGTGACTTCAATTTCGACGTGGACACTGCAAAGAAAATGGTCGTCAGCGATGAGTTCTGTCACGCCTCCTCACAGATCATTGACACTCTTGAGGCACCCAACTAGCTTATCCCTATCATCAAATCCTCTCCAGGGAATGCTCGCTATGCCATCCTATACCATTATCTTGTCCTTCTGAAAGCAGATCGTCTCCATAACCAAGGATATTGCCCTTTCTGCTATGACAATTCTACCCTTCCCAAGGACAAACATGAGAAGCACCATTCACGTAACATGGGCCAACACATTTGGGTATGTGAAGCTGCACATCAGCCCAAGTTCTCTCATTGCACCATGTGCAGCACTTTCTTTGAAGGCCAGATTGACTCCCCCATCATCCAAGATCACTTCCCTGACTGCTTGCACAACTTGCTGCTAAAGTGCTGCCACATCGAGCCTGAACTAGAAGACTATGAAGCTGCTGACCTGCCAGACATTGACCCAACCAGTCTAGATGGTGTCATAGATGATGATGTCTATGATGCAGACACTGATGATATTGCCACACAAGCAGAAGTCGATGTGACCGGTTCACACCATGCCACCAACACAGTCTCTGACATCACTAAAATCACTCATGAAGAGTCTCTATGGTGTATGCTTACTCGGTGTGTGCTTTGTATTGCCTATTTTGTCCTTCACTTCATGCAGTTCTTCTCAGAGGCTGGCAAGCACTGAGCGCTCAAGTGCATCACCAAGTCTCCATAAGGGCCTTTTCGCTCTTCTTTCACCCCATTTGTTTGTTTGATGAGGAGCTGCCATGGGACTACAAGTTCGAACGTGGATGCAAGAAGCTACATAGGCTGTTGTGTGTGTTCATTATGATTTTCTAGCAGCCATCACTGACATCTTTACAGTAATATCATGGACTATGAACCTATGGTGAAGCATCTCTATACTCACTGGAACAAGAGAAGTGTGACCTCGCTGGACTATACCAAGCAATTCAACTGTGCCTTTCCTCCTTGCAACTGCTCCAAAATGTAAGCTCTCTTGCCAAATTCATTGTTCTGTATACTGACCCGTCTGGCAGACGCACTCTGAAAGAGATGGTCGAACACTTGCACAATGTTCACAAGTACCCTCTGCTGCACTGCAACTGCAATCACATTTGTCCACCAGATGAGTACCTCATACTGCCACATAAATTCCATTTTCTAGGTGACCTGAACCATAAACAGAAGCACACTGGCTCTGCCATGCATGACGTATGTTTAGTTGAGAATCGCAGAATGGCCGATCAGCAGCATGCATATAAAGGCATTGAGAAGGCATTCCAATCCAAGACTGCTGCCACCATGGATGACGACACACACTGCTGCTCTCTCTGACAACATGCTGCTGCCTCCCTCCATGGACAGTATCGCTTCAGATGGTGCACTTAGCTCAGCACCTGCACCATCATTGATCACTACCAACATCGTGCTGCCACCTCCCCTTCTGATTATACCAACCCTTGAAGGCTCAGCAAACGTCACACCCCATCTGCGTGAACTCTGCCAGTTTTTTGCTGCTTTTCATGAATCTAACCCATGGTTTGTGAACAATCTAATACTGCTGGATAGGATCAAGGAGGAGCAGTTTGACCTGTCAGGATTTTTCGATATGACTGATGACGAGATCAAGAGCACTTTTGCTGTGCCACTGGGTAAGCTGAAGGCATTGAGGAAGCATTATGTGCAGAATTGTTCAAAGAGTTACAATGTGTAGACTGTTTTTATAGTCGGCAGTCTCGAAGATGTATGTAATGAACAGCAGCATCATAGGACTACATATAGTAGAGGCTAGTATAGTGTTCAAGTAGTGAATTGCACCAATGATCAGTTAATTTGACAGAAACAAAAAATGCAATGCCCACTTAGCTTAGTAGTAGAGCGTGCCACTCATAATGGTAAGGTCAGTTGTTCGATACAGCCAGCAGGCAGCTTCTTTTTGCTTTGTCTCGTAGCACATCAAATGGGGGAGATTTTCCCCTAACAATTCATCCCATCTGAATCGTATATACAACAGTGCTCCGATCATGAGTTTTGCGACTTTTGGCAGAGAGCAGTATCAGCTTCAGGGTGACAAGAACCACTATTGTCATAGCAGGAATCATATCATCATCTCTTCTTGCTTTGTAACCACCATGTTAGCATTAGGTGCCCAACCAGCAACCACCAGCGATACTGACATGGTGAGCTCAGGTGAAGAGTGTACTCCCCCAGGAAAGTCTCTACCATCTGTGAATGCTGCACAGGTCTCGGCCCCACCACATCTGCCTGAACACAATATTATGAATGCTACCATGCACTCACTGTGGAACAATCTCACCAATCTCGTGATCTGCATTCAATGTACCATCAACAGCCCTTATGACCATGACACCTATGAGGACAAATTCAAAAACAGTGCAGCCTCCCTCACCACTTGCATGTGCAATTTCCACAATGTCTTCCTGCATAATGACACTCTCTCAGGCAGTGAGATCAGGCTGCATGTCCTGAACCTCTACCAAGCTCTTTTTCACCAACAACTCACCTTTGTGGCTGTTCTCCTGGATGATGACGATGCAGTAAGTATCAATCAGCTTCAGGGCATGACAAGAACTGAACTCATTCTCATCCTTCTCTGAGAGATGGGGGGGCCCCATCCTAGGGGAGGGATTCTGTGCCACATTCGATCAAGGTCACATGCTCGATCATGATGGGATTACTGTATATTTGAACTCCACAATCTTATTCCCCTCCAACTCCCTACGGTGGCTGGCAGAAAACATCCACAAACATCAGAATGTGGCTGTCAGGCTGTTTCATTAAGTAAAAGTCATCTCTGGATTATGAGAATGATATCAGAGTTTGATTGAATAATATAATTTTCGCAATGCACTCACACAACAGCTCATTTAGAGAGCTGTTGTAGTGATTGTCTTATCACAGCGGCTTCTCAACAAACACCTCTGCTGACTCTGAACGAGATTTGTGAGAAGACCTTTGCAAAATTTGGCTGCACTCCATGCCTTTGGCAAGCGTGAGTGGCAAGAAAATTGCTCAAAGGAGAAAAAGATGTCATAGCCATCGCTCTGACAGGATTCGGCAAGATGTTGACATTTTGGATGCCCTTGTTGTTTTGAGACAATGTGATTCAAATAGTTGTAACTCCATTCAACATTCTCAGCAAACAGAATGAGAAGAATTTGGCAGCATGCGGCATCTGTGCCTCAACTGCAACACTGAGATTATTCAAAGTAAGAAGATTGCTCCATTATGTGAATGTATACACTAAACATGTTAAAGGAGATTGAAGATGCAAAATATCATGCAATTGTCGTAAACCTGGAAGAGCTGATGAAAGAGGGCAGTGGGTTTGAAAAGCTTTAGAAGAAGGACTATTTTACATCCAAGATTATCAGCATCTTCTAGGATGAAGCACACTGCATCAGCATCTAGAGCCCATTCTGCTCAGAATATAAGAAAGCTCACCACCTTCGCTATCACCTTCCAAACACATGCTTCCTCCTTGCGATGGCTACCTTGCCTGATGAGATCAAATGTGATGTGATGTCCACACTACAAATTATGCCAAGCAATTCTGTTATTATCCAGCAGTCAAATGATCACCCAAATGTGTATATTTGTCACAGTATTAGGTGGCACCTTTCTTTTTGCACCATTAAAGTCCTCATTTGGCAACCACAAGTGATTATTCAGACGCCAACCTTCATATTGGTCTCACAAAGTGAATACTTGGACAAACAGCACAATACTGCCACATACATTGTGGATACGACTGTGTTTACCACATAATCATCAAGCACCCATGATTCAGCCACCCAGTCACATGACACTGACCACTTGCCCTATTCAGAAGTTATCAGGCATTGGTCACATGACACCAGGCCACTTGCCCAGAATGGAACCCTTTGGCCCCCAATAGGCTCCCTCAAACTCATTGGACCATCAAACTAGCAAGCACCCAATTTGCCACTCAGATAGTGGCACCACTTTGCTGCCCAGCCAATAGGCAGGCACTACAAGAGATTCCCCTACCAACCGGCATACAGTATAGCCAGGTACAGGATAGGCTGGATCTTCCCACAAACTTATCCAGATGAAGACTGATTGTCTCACCCATTGTTCTGAGTTTGGACAGATCCTCTCACCTGAGGTTACAACCATTGTGATGTGCCCTGTTGGCCATCACCCATTGGCCCCTCGACAGTGGGCCCACTTTCTGGCAATTGTCTCATTGGATTAGATAGGATTACCTCAGCATATCCACAGCCTTTGTAGATAGTTGCCATAGTTGCTGCCAGAGCCCTTACTGGTTCTGGCATAATGTTCTCACATGTAGTTTGCTAGGACCCCAGTAGGTACACCATAGATAGAGTAATAGATCTTGAACTGCAACCACCACCATCTACGTGAGTGCCTAGTGCACTTGCCCAGCATTCACTCTCCCCCGAAGAATGCCTCGTGGCTTTGCTGCATCACCTCAAGCTCTACCACCACCTGCGAGACACTCTCAACACTGTTTGACCTGCTGGATCAGAATCAGGAAAGTTGGTGGCACAGCTGGAACTTGCGCACAGAGTAATCGATGAGGTCACTGGCTGGTTTGCTGGCCTTAATCCCGCTGACCCTGCCCTGGCATCCCTGTTTGCAGCTGCAGGTCCATTATCTCGACTCACCTCTCACCTCACACCTTTGTTGCAAACTTCCTCACCTCAGTAAGCAGGTGGCGACTTCGTCGCCACCATCTCAACCCTTCGCAATGACCTGGGAACCTGGCTCACTGCCCTCGAGGCACATGTGAGCCAGGTGTCTGCTGCGCCGGCTTCCTCCGGTCGCCCCTCGGTCATGACACCTCCAACTAAGATGGCCAAAGGGTGGTCTTATGCAGTGGCAGCTGCACCCTCACACCCGGTTTCCCCCACACGTGCCTCGAACCCTCCATCCACCCACAATGCCCAAGCACCAAAGGGTGCTGGTACACTGGTCCAGTACGTGGTCTGATACTCCGGTCGCATCCCGGCACACATAACCTCCACCATCCCCGCTGCTATCCTCAGCGATGTCAACTGTGCCCTGGCCATGGTTCCAACTGCCAAAGGGCTTTCTGCACTCGCCGCATACCCCAGTCTGTCATGGCACGTCAATGACAAAGATAGACAACCAAAATAGAGTCCCCTTGAGGGCCTCCTGGCTAAGAGCCTACAGCGATGAGCTGTGGCGATACGACGTGCCCACTGACGAGGCCTAGTAGCTGGTCGCAGAGCAAGACTTACTGGTGAGGCTAGAGGTGCTATCACAATAGTGAGGATGCAAATAGAATGTATAGCACACTGAGAGTGTCTGGTAAGACCCCTCTGTGATGGTAGTGGTGGACGAAGGAGAATAAGACTGAGGTCTTCTCCTCGTCTCGCTGGTCCTTATATATATGATTGTCTAGCTACTATACAGTACTATATAAGTGAGTCACACGCTACTCTACTGGTCAGTGCTACAATCATACGACATGTCCCAATTATCCTGATTGGCTGCCTAATGATACCCCACGGAGACGGAGCTCCTCTTGAGCACGCAATATGACGTCATGGCAATTGCAACATATGACACCATGCCGAGGAACTCGGTGTCACATGACAATGCCGAGAAAGATCCGAGGTCATGTGACTGGATGCCTCGTTATCTTATCTCATTAGGTCATGTGACTTCTTATGCGATGAGAAATGATGAAAAATGATATGCTTCTTAATAGCATTTGTTTCGATAATGACTTCGTCAGGTAAAACCGTGACATCACCCCCTCCTCAAGGTTCATCGTCTCGATGAGCCAAAGCCTTTGGCGCCTCATATGGTTCACTTTGTGAGTGAACTATCTGCCTCTGAAATGATTCCTGGAGCGTAGCGTTCGCATATGAGTTGGGCGACACGATCACCTGTCCTGACCTCGAATGGTTTGCTGGTCATGTTAACGAGAAGCACCTTGATCTCCCCTGTGTAGTCTGGGTCAATTACCCCTGCTGCGACATCAATTCCTTTGAGGGCTAGCCCGCTTCAGGGGGCCACTCGAATGTATGTCCATTTTGGGGGATCAACTGCAAGCCCGGTGTCAATGAGCGTTCTGGAATGTAAAGGAATGTCTATGTCTTGTATGGACTTGACATCCCATCCTACAGCTTCCGGAGATCCCTTGTAGGGTGCTTGGGCATTTGGATGAGCGCGGAAGAAGACCATAAATTCATCAGGGTGGTCAGACATGGCGATTTGTGTCCTTTGCGCGTTCGCATCTTAGCTCTTGGGGCATCTGGGTGTGTCTTGTGGAATTCCTCCACTTTATCTTTGACATTCGTGAGGTTTTCCAGTGGTTCCCAAGTATTATCGCTATGGTCATAGTCTAACCATTTGACGAGATACTGGGTTTTGTTGTGCCTGACTCTTGAATCCAGGATGTCCTCCATGTCCCATTCCTCTTCCCCATCCATGATGACTGGGGGGTTAGGGGGAGGTATACGTCTGGGGATAGAGTCTTGATGGAACATTATAAGCTTTGAAGCATGAAACACTGGATGTAGCTTCATGTCCGTTGGTAACTGCAGTTTGAAGGATACGGTTCCGATCTTTTCGAGGATCTTGAAAGGTCCATAGTTCTGGGTCGCAAGCTTTTGGCTTTTAACTTTCACATGGAGATCTTTCCCTCAAATTAGCACTTCGTCTCCTACTTTGAAAGAGACGTCCTGCTTTTTGAGATTGAAATACCATTTCATCCTTTCTGCTGCTAGTGACAGAGCGGCATGAGCTTGTTCCTGTGCTTGATCGCGGTTATGGAATAGGTGTTCCAGGGATGAATGTTGTATCCCTTCCAGTACGTCCGGTGCCATGCGGGGGTGTCGACCATGCTCAATGAAAAATGGGGACAGGCCTGTTGATTCTGAAGCTTGATTGTTGTATGCAAATTCCGCTGTGGGCAGTAGTGTGGCCCAATCAGTTTGTCGGTAGTTGCAATACATGCGCAGATATTGCTCCAGAATTTGATTGACTCGTTCAGTCTGCCCATCCGTTTCAGGGTGATAGGCTGTAGACATCGTAGATTTGATGTGAAGCTTCTGGCAGAACTCCTGGAATAGCTTGGCTGAGAATTGTGTGCCTCGATCACATATGATTTGCGGAGGAATTCCGTGGAGTTTGAATACTTCAGTGTAGAAAATCGACGCTACTTGAGATGCCGTCACCATGTCGTCTACTGGGCAGAAGTGTGCATGTTTGGTGAACCTGTCGACGACTACCAAAATGGCAGTCTTCTTTTCTCCCCTATGGTCCGGGCTTGGCGGTAACTGTGTAATCAGGTCACAGGCGACCATTTTCCAAGGCCCTTCTGGCACTGGGTTCAGTTGTAACAGTCCATAAGGCTTTTGCTTGCTTGTCTTATTTCTTTGACAAGTTACGCAGCCTTGGACGTACTTCTTCACATCAATGGTGAGCCCTGGCCACCAGTAATTCCTGCTGATCAGTTCTTGCGTCTTTCATCGACCGGGGTGTCCAGCCGTGGAGATGTCATGGTGTAGCTTGATCAGCTCATTCTGCAGCGTAGAGTCCTTTAGAACATAGACTTTTCCTCTTCTAAGCAGCAATCCATGCTCGAAGTTCCACTCTTGGAGGTCTTTTCTGAACTCTCGCTTGCCAGTTTTTAGTAGGTGCTGGTAACCCTTGGTCATTTCATCATCTTGTAGTGCCAATTTCACTCTTTCTAGAAGTTTTGCATCGTCAACTTCGGAGAAATGAGTGGCTGAGATCGCATGGATGGCAAAATATTCAGATCGAAGCAAAGTTTGTCCTGAATTGTCATTGCTCACCCCCTTCTCATGATCTGGTCTCCTGGACAGAGAATCGGCACGCATCATCGTCTTTCCAGGGCGGTGATGGAGAATGAAGTTAAATCTTGTAAGGTAAAGTGACCAGCGAGCTTGGCATCTGGTCAATGTTTGAGCTTGACAGAAATAGGTAAGGTTGAGGTGATCCGACCATATCTCAACCGGATGAGGGTGTCCTTCGAAGTACTGCCGGTATTCTTCCAATGCCCGAATGATGGCTAGCATTTCCTTATCGTAGATTTCATAGTTTCGCTTGTGTTCATTGAGTGACTTAGAATAGTAGGCGACAGGATGTCAGAGTTCATCTTCTCCCAACTGTTCAAGGACTGCACCGGTTGCGAAGTCCGAGGCATCAGTCTCTAATCTAAAGGGACATGTTGCGTTGAGGAGTGCTAGAATTGGGGTGGAAGTGAAAGCAGTCTTAAGGGCCTCAAATGCCTTTTGTTGAGGTTCTTCCCATTTCCATGCTGTGTCCTTACGGGTTAATAGAGTCAAGGGTCAGGTCATTGGTCCGAAATCCTTGATGAATCGTCGATAAAAATTTGCCAGACCAAGGAATGCTTGTACTTGCTTGACCTTGGTGGGCACCGGCCATTTGAGCATGCCGTCGACCTTTTCTGAGTCCATCTGTATCGACCCTTTGGAGATTATGAGTCTGAGAAACTTGATGAAGGTGGTCGCAAAGTGACACTTTTCTGGTTTCATGAACAGGTCATTGTCTCTGAGCCGTTGTAGGACCTCTTTGGTCAGATGGTCGTGTTCCTCCTGGTTATCCATAAAGATGATGATGTCATCTATATAAACTGCCACCTTTCCAGTGCGAATGAGATCACTTAAGACGTCGTTCATCATGGCCTGGAAAGTGCTAGGGGCATTACAGAATCCGAAGTACATGACAGTAGGTTCAAATAATCCTCGATGGGTAATGAACGCTGCCTTTTCCTCATCTCCCTTTCGAAGGCGTACATTGTTGTACCCCCATCTCAGGTCTAGTGTGGTAAATATACTAGCCCTGGAGAGTCTGTCAATGAGATCGTTGATTCACGGGAGTGGGAACTTGTTCTTCTTGGTGACACTGTTTAATGCCCTGTAGTCTTGGAGAAGTCTAAGAGAGCCATCCTTCTTCTTGACAAAAAATACCAGAGCGGCGTAAGGGGATTTAGATGGTCGAATGTAGCCTTTGGCTTGTTCACTGTCAATCCATTCGTCGAGCGAGTTCTTCTCTCGTAAAGACATAGGGTATACTTTTGCCGGTCTTGGGGTTGCCACGTCTGGGACAAGATCAATTGCGTGATCATAGGGTTTACACGTCAGCATTCTTTCTGAGCTCTTCTTCGAGAACAGATCTCCAAATTGATGAAATTCTGGAGGAACGAATTTGGACCAATATTCTTTGTCCTGTGTCTCTTCTGCCGGCTGTTCTACCAAATGCTCCTTTACCTTCTTGCTTATGCCAAGGATGTCGTGCACCATATTACGAAGATCCTGGTCTTGCAAGTCTATCCAATTAATGAAGCTGTCTTCCTGATCCCACCTGTCATCCTGGTGTACGTTGGGAAGAATTGCTTCATCTTTGAGTCGAGGTTGCGATAGAAGGTTGACTTCTTCTTCACTGACTCTGACTCGTTGCTTCTTCATATGTCTGCATCTTGAGAACGTGACCTCTCTATGTTCCCAGTCAACTCAGGGGTTATGTTCTTGTAAAAACTTCATGCCAAGGATCATTGACATGCGTCCGAGGTTTGTGACGAGCAAACTCTCAGTTGATCGGTGCCCCCCAATTAAGATGTTTGTGACTACACGATGAGTAATCACGCCACCCTTGTTGGGGCTGGTGTCTGCGTTGAGGATTCTGATTTCATGGTTTAGAGGTATCAACTTAAACCCGTGCTTCTCAGCGAATCTCTGATCGATGTAGCAAGAGAATGCTTCAGAATCCAATAAGGCCGTTGTCTGGATTTTCCGTGATACGAATCTTATCGGCAATTTGATCAAATGTTTAGAAAAACCTGCGGATGCAATATATATGTGGTCGCTAGATACATTTGTTCTCACGGTACTAATACAATTGTCCTGAAGTGTGACACCAGACTCGTCTACACTTCGTACTGAAAATCCTCTGAGAATTCGTCCAGCTCGACGATTCTTGCGTTGGTGTCCTTAACCGTAGATGCCAAGATTGTTGATTCCGTGTCTGCACCATGTGCCTTTGCCTTACCCTTGCTGGATGGGGGAGTAGTCGAGGTTGTGCTCATTCCACGAAGTGCAGCAATTGCTTGTTCCAATGCCACAATTTGAGCTGATGACTCCGCGCTACTTTCTTCCTCCACTTGTCGCACGTTCATCGCCTTGCCCTTCCCTTTTCCTTGGCCTTGCTTCAGGGCAGGTCAGGTCTGAAATCGCTTGCCCTTGTATTCTGGCTTGGGGGAGGGGCACCGCTTTCCTCGTTCGTAGGCATGCTTTCCGCAAAACAAACATAGTTTGTTTGCCAGCCACTTGTCCTGTTCCGGGGAAAGTTCATGTGCAATTTGTTCACTTGTGTCCATGGCATTAGGGTCCTTGGGGGGGTCACCTTTGTCGTTGCGGTCTGTCCAGTAGACTTGTTGCTCGAAATCTGCTGGAGATGCTTGATTTCGATCTCCAGGCAGAACTCGAGATAATCCATCCAGGTGGTGGGAATCTTCGAGGGGTCTAAAGTCTCCATGACTGACATGACCATTTGGATGTGGGCAGACCATTGTTCCCTGATCTTGACGATCAAATCTTCGTCAGAATATCCCGATTCGGGGGCATAGGCCCTGAAATTTTCTGCGAAGGTGATCATCGTCTTGTGGTGAATTGTGCAGTGTGCGTCCAGCAGTGACTGTGCTGTGCACTTGGAATCAAGCATCTTGTAAGCCATTTCCAGTTTCCGGGTGTATTCGGCCCATGTGCCGATGTCTTGTCCAGAGGTGAGCTTGATTGCATACTCTTTCATGTACAGAGCAGCTCCTCCTTCCAGATGTGCGTTGGCCTGCCGAATCTTGTCCTTGTCGTTGGTGAAGTGATTATAATTGAGCCATATTAGCAGGTTGGTGAACCAGGTCTCGAAGTTCTCCGATGATTTTCTCCCTGAATACTTGGGAGAATCCGGGAGCTTGATTCAGCAGGGCGATTGACTGGATTGGCCAGCCGGTTGTTGGATACCTTGGGGGGGCGCATTGATGATGGTGTTATTGAGTCGAGACTCTAAGCCAACGATGTAGGTCGTGGTCATTTCCTGAGCCTCCTTCAGGGTGACCATGTTGCCGTAAAGGGCGTCCATCTGACCCTTTACTTCATTCTTGTAATCTTCGAAGTCCTTGCGGATTGCTTGGGCTTCAGCTATCAGACTGTTGTTCGACTTGATGAGCCGTTCATTGTCAGCAGAGAGGGTGCTGATCTTGGCTCTTGCAACTTTTAGCTGGTCTCGCGTTTTCACTGCTATTATTTTGACATGGATGTGGGCCAGGATTTCTTCCTCCAATGAGGCCACCGTGCACTCGTGACGTTCATCCATCTTTTGACGTAGCACTTCATAGGAGCTCACAACGTCTCTCATGATGAACGCTCACACCACATTCATTGTCCATTCCTTTACGTCCCTTGGAATGGTGTTGGGTGTGGCGGCATCTGCGGCTTCCTCGATTGTTGCGTAAGGGATCCCCTGCCATTCCCAAGTCTGAGGTGTGGTGAATTCTGGCAGGGTGGTGGGCGATGGGTTTCTGACTACTCCTGACGCCTTGGGTGTGCTGCTGTCATGTGGTTCTTCCACAGGGGCAGCTGATCCTGCTTCAGATGATGTAGAGGTGGCATGGCTCCTCCAGGGGTCTGAAGGTTCACTTGCGGTGTGTCCTCCTGGGAATGCAACACCACCGAGGTTATACTGAGACATGGAGATCGAGGTTGAAGATAGTGAAAATGATGAAGTGGATGGTGAGTTTGAAATGGTAGGCTTTTTACTGGAGTTGATTATTGACTCCCGGTAAGCGTGCTAGTTTGATGACATGGTTCCTTCATGCCACGGCTTCTTCGAGCCTTGCTGGGTGAGGGTTTCTTTGTTCTAGAAAGTCTTCATACCAGGTTTATCCAGAAGCGTTCTTCATCTTTCTGATATAACCGGGCAAGACGTTCCCAGTATCAGTTTTCTATCCACTCGCGAACTGGATCGATGATCTCGATGTCTGTCTCAATGAGTCAAAAGGGTGTGTGTAGGGTGACTCGGTGTTCGATGTCAACCGGATAGTGGTAAAGTGAGATGGAACACTCTGATAGTAGGGGTTGATAGATGAAGTAGCCCGTACACACCAAATGGTGATAAAGGTTGGTTATGTAATGTTCGACCACGTAGTTTCTGAATATGAAACTGATTTGGTACCGGGACATGAAACTGCTGATACGGTAGTACAAAATTATTACTGGTCCTAGTAAGGCCAGTAGCACAACTTCTTCTCGAACCTCAAAATATCTCTTCCTACGTGCTCCTGCTCCTTGTTAATTCCTCTGAACGAGATCTTTCCTAGTTCCACGCAAAGCTTAATGGTGATGCGTCTATCGATGAATGTAAAGTCATCGCCTTTCCCAATCCTCTTGTTGAGTGCTCCCAGGTGTCGTAAGATGCGGTCATGACACTGGATCTGTTTCTCCGTGAACTTGGCAGTGATGTGAGGCTGCTGTAAGACCTTGTACTGCTGAATGGTAGCATATACAGTGGGGGCGATGTTCTCGGAGAGTGTGCCTTTGAGATTCTCATGGATCCCACGAGGGTGATAGTCCTTTGAGAGTGCGAATGCGAGTACGGTGGTGGCGTCATCGTTCGACCACCAGTGGGGTTTGTAGATGGGAACGGATGGGTCAGATGCGTCTCTGGGAACTGCTTCGGCCCACGAGCTGACCTTAGAGCGAAGCTTCTGTAGGTCTGAGCGGTAATTGTTGGGCTTGGCCCAGAGTAGGTTGCTTGCTGTTAGACGATGAGTGCGTCTGGGATCGAGGTTGTAAGGGTGGTAGCGTCCATTGGGTGGTACGACACCGTTGTGCACTTGAGGTGCTTTACTGGTCGATGCAGCGCTGTTCCTTTTGAAGGAAGGAAGCAGCTTAGGCAGTAGAGGCAAAGTGGAATGATATGAAGGAAGTGGTGTAGAAAAAGCCCTGCCCTGGGCGGATGTATCTCTGGGCGAAAATGTGCGGCTACCAGTGTTAGACACTTGGTAGGGGCGTAAAAGGTCAGTCTTATTCTAATGTCATGGCACGCCGATGACAAAGATAGACAATCAAAATAGAGTCCCCTTGAGGGCCTCCTGGCTAAGAGCCTACAGCGATGAGCTGTGGCGATACGACGTGCCCACTGACGAGGCCTAGTAGCTGGTCGCAGAGCAAGACTTACTGGTGAGGCTAGAGGTGCTATCACAATAGTGAGGATGCAAATAGAATGTATAGCACACTGAGAGTGTCTGGTAAGACCCCTCTGTGATGGTAGTGGTGGACGAAGGAGAATAAGACTGAGGTCTCCTCCTCGTCTCGCTGGTCCTTATATACATGATTGTCTAGCTACTATACAGTACTATATAAGCGAGTCACACGCTACTCTACTGGTCAGTGCTACAATCATACGACATGTCCCAATTATCCTGATTGGCTGCCTAATAATACTCCGCGGAGACGGAGCTCCTCTTGAGCACGCAATATGATGTCATGGCAATTGCGACATATGATGCCATGCCGAGGAACTCGGTGTCACGTGACAATGCCGAGAGAGATCTGAGGTCATGTGACTGGATGCCTCGTTATCTTATCTCATTAGGTCACGTGACTTCTTATGCGACGAGAAATGATGAAAAATGATATGCTTCTTAATAGCATTTGTTCCTATAATGACTTCGTCAGGTAAAACCGTGACACAGTCCCTCCAGCAACCTCATCCTGGTTTTTCCACCCAACACCTCTCACCCCTGCATTGAAGCTCACCTCCCGATAATCTGACTCATCCTGGGCATTGGATGTGACCAAGCTATCAACCGGGATAGCAAATGGTCCTGCATTTTCCTCAGCAATGTCTACACTCGGACCCACACTGGTGCTGAGGTCCACTCCCTGGCCGTGCTTGCTAAGGAGCTTCTCAAGAACCTGGCTATTAAGCGCCTCACCATCACTCAACCTTCGCACTGGGCATGATAACCTGAGCTCATCGTTGGTACCTGCTCATCCGTGGTCCTTGATTTTGAAGATCTGGATGGCTCCCTCCTCGCCTCCATCCTCCACACCCCCCTATTCGCCTTCGGCGCTCCCGTAACTGCTTCGCGCTGGCATGAAAAGCCACGCCTTCACCAATGCATGAGGTGCTGGGCATATGGGCACCTAGCCACTGGGTGCACCAGACTGCTTAGATGCCATGTCTGTGCTGGCCGTCATCATGAAGACTCGCATCATTCGCGGTGCACATCATGCGTGAAGGAGAATCATGCTGCCTCCGATCCCTGCACCCACTCCAGATGCATCAACTGTCATGGTCTCCACCATGTGGACTCCATCGCATGCTCCAAGCAGGTGGAGTATAGAAACCCAGCTGCCTCCACTGCCCCTGAAGATGGCACAGGCATCATCAGCCCCCCCACCACTGACCACACCTCTGGAGAGCATGGCGATGAAGTGGACATTGTCATGTAGCTGCTGTTTATGTACTGGTCTGCCCTCTACGTGACTCTCCTGGCCTGGCGCAATAGCACACTGGGCCCTCCCTTGCCCTGTACATTACCCTGCTGTACGATGCTGCACATAGTGCGGGATATAAATAAATGCTAAAAAAATAAAATAAAAAAATAGATAGAGTGATCAGGGACCAGCCCTACATGTATATAAGCTCATGAGAATCTAAGGGAGGACCTTAGATTCATTATACTATTGTATGCGGCCAGCAGGCCAGCTCTCCCCTTCCACCTTTTATGCAAGGCCATGCATTGAGGCTTTGCCTTGATTGCTGGTTGTATGCCACTGCGCGCATCCTCAGCCTAGCCCTTGTGGCAGGCTTTTTCAGGTTAGCTTTAGGGCAACCTTTTACGTGGATCATTTGTGCAGGTCACACAAGCAGACTTGCCCTTGATTGGGTTAAGTGCTTTGTGCTTTGTGACAATATTGAGGTTCGCAAAAATGAGCACTCACTGTCCAGCTTCGAAAACTTGACTTTTCTGATACCCACCAATCGGCAAGAGGGTGAGCCACTTCTGAAGGTTTTAGTATTCTTTGATAACATCGAGGAATCCATCAAAGCAAGGGACGTGCTGCGAGTGAAGTTACTCCCCCGTGAATGTGAGAAAATCAAGTGGTTTAACTCACGCATGTTAGAGCAGTTCCGAGATGATACACTGCATGAGTTTGTGGCAAATGAGCTCTATGGGATGTATGCAACAGACTCGTTCAGTATGGTAAGTTTGCATTATCACATTGAGTGCAATATCTGCCCACTCACCAGTATGCCAGGGTATTAACCTCACCAACATCAAAATCGTTGTACAGTGGCGAGTGACTTGCGATCTCAATACATTGTGGCAATGATTCAGGCGAGGCACCCATGATCTGAGCCTTGATGTGAAAGCCATCCTGCTAGCAGAAGTGAGATACTTTAATGAGGAGAAAGAAAAGGCCAAGCTACGTGCTGACAATCGAAGGAAGCAGAAAGAGAAGAAGAACATTGATCCTTGCACCAAGAAATGCAAAGCCACTTCAGAAGCATCCTCAGGTGATTGACAGCTGAAGTGCATCCAAACAACATCCTCTGAGGATGCAGCCACTCCGGAACAGACAATGCAACATTTGTCCAACTATAATGAGTTGTGAAATCAATTTCAGTCTGTCAGTGATGTGTCCGTGGAGCTCCTGGCTGCATGCTACTCCAACACTAAACTGAGGATCCACTGTAATCAGGGATTGTGTGTGTTGGTGACTTTATTAGCGAGGGTTTGCTGTGAGCTGTTTAGATCTTGATGTCACCAGCGATGGAGATCGGGAAAATGGTGTATGATGGTGTGAGGTAGTGGGCAAGTGCAGCTAATAGTTGCTAGAATGGCAAATAACAATGGGGCAGCCAATTGTTATGAAGCGTTCCCCGCTAGAACGTTCAGAACCACGTGTGCTTTCTCACACGTACTAGTCCACAACGTGGACGGAGACTTAGATATAGAATATACCTAACGCCTCCAATAGTCACACAGACTATTAGCAGGGTTTATAGTGTGGTCAAGCCTAGTAGACGATATAGC